CTCGGCTGTGCTCAGGGCTGGCTTCTGCCTCTGTGCTTAGGAACCACTCCTGGTGGGCTGGAGGGGGGTGGAGGGGGGCATCTGGGAACCAAGGATCAAGTTTGGGCTGGCCTTGGGCACGCACCGTGCCCTGTCTGCTGTGTGGTCTCCCTGGCCCAGAGTCAGCCGCACATGTGCAGTTGCCTCACGTCCGACCCTGCCAGGAACCTGAAGCACCGGCCGCTCCTGCTGATCGCTGGGACCACCCCAGTCTCTGACCTTCAGGCAGCGGCTGGAAGACTTTGTGGAAAGGAGATGAGGAGCCCCAGGGCGCCTCCAGGCTACAGGCAGCAGGTAAACGGGGCAACTTCCAAGCCCCCCGGCCAGGCCGGACCCCCAGCGGGAATGGGCAGCCCTGCAATCTCCCTGCCGAAACGCCACTGTGCAGGCTCAAGGGGTGGAGAGTGGGGGGGGGGGGGTACAATGCTACCCCCTTTGTCATTATCGCATTATCGTGAGATCAACACCCCCTGCACAGGGCCTTCCCGTGCCCGCCGGCTCCAAGGGGGCCTGCAGAGGTTCCCGGAGCAGCTCCAAAGCCTGCAGGAGGCAGCGTGTGTGCACACGGCCATGCCCGGATCACGTGAACAGTGAACAGTGTCCCCCACTTGGGGAGTGGGGGCCCGAAGGGCAGGGGAACCCCCGTTAGTAAGAAGCAAGGGTTCGATGAGGCTGGAGCCATAGTACAGAGGGGAGGGCCAGCTAGTACACGGCAGGCCCGGGTTGGACCCCAGCATCCCATATGGTCCCCTGAAACCTACCAAGAGCGATCCCTGAGCACAGAGCCACGGGTAAGCCCTGAGCACTGCCAGACGTGTCCCAAAAGTAAACCAAAAAAACCTAAAATCCAAAGCAGCTGCAGTTCAGGTCCAGATTCCTGCGGTTGTGCTGGGGGGCCCCTGCGTTCCTCGGGTCTCTGCATGGCGGCAGAGAAAGGAGCAGCAGATGAAGCTACAACCCCAGGGCAGGCAGCACAATGGGGGGGCTGAGCTGCACCCCTTGCTCTGGGGTTCCGGCAGGATGTGCTGCAGAGGGCGAGTGCTGTTGTCCCACACGCTGTGGGCGATGTCGGGGTCCCTCTGACCCAGCTTTCTCCACCAGGTTCTCTGGAGCCTCCTGGAAACCTCGTGCCCCCCCCCTCTTCTGCCCAGTTGTCACAGTTGTGTCCCCCCTCCGCAGGACCATGCCTGCACCCCCATCCAAAACACACACACACGCCCCAAAAGCAGCTCTGGCCTGGTCAGCCCATGTCTGTCACCCCACTCTGTCCTCGTTCCACAGAAGCGGAACGTTACTGTTCTGTGTCCTCCGCTGTGCCCATTGCCGGGATGGGCTGCACGGGGCTCTATTCAGAGCCAGAGCACCGCACTGATATAATAAAGGCCCTTAAAAACCCCAAAGCGGGGAACTCAGCGTGTTCACGGCTGCCGGGGGTGGGGGGGGCGCGTCGGAGAGAGGCAGTAGCCGTGGTGAGGAGCGGGACAGCGGGACCCCCAGGTGGAGGCCCAAGAGGACTGAATGGGAAGGGCCCTGAGGGGAGACTGGAGGCAGAGACTGGCCAAGCCAGGGCCAGGCTGGGGTCGGGTCTGAAGGCAGGAACCTTCTGGGCAGACGCCGAAGGGGCGACTGCCTGCCCTCTCTTCCTGGTAGGCGTCTCTACCTGCCCCCCACCTGTAGCAGCCACCCCAGGATTCATGGCAGAGTGATGGCCCTCTGGCCCCTCCAGCCCCCCGCATGCGCCTGGTGTGCTGGCATCCCTCCTGTGCGCCCACCCGGCCGACTCCTTCCAGGAGCTGGGAGATGCTCTGGGAACATTCCATGAGGGAAGCAATTTGCCAACCACGTGGGAGGCACCAGGGGCCCAGTGGAGAGAAAATCACTGCGCTGACCAGTGTCCTCCTGGGCCAGCTAGTAATGGGGAGAGGCATGATTCCCAAACCCCTCTCACCCTCATGCTCCAGTCACAAGAAGGGACATTCATGTTGCCGTGCCATGTGTAAAGGGGGTCCCTGTCCAGGCTGTTCTGCAAAACACATGGGAGTGACTGGCTTGGGAAGTGGGTAGAGTCTGCCTGACAAGGAGGGGGCCTGTGAGGCAAGGGGTGGCAAGTGCAAAGGTCCTGTGCCAGAGAGATAAATCCCTGGGGAAGGGAGCACAGAGAGATTGGGGGCGGGGGGAGGGGAGGCAGAGGGCCTGCACGCCCATGCAAGGGGAAAGCTCTGGGCATGCTGGGAGGCAGAGGGCCACCTGTGGGGAGACAGGTAGGGGGAGAGAGGAGGGTCCCTGGGTCATGGTAGTGATGACGAATGAAGCAACAGTCCTGGGAAATAGTGACTGGAGTGGCCTGAGTGGGGCAGGAGGGACCCTCCACCATGTGCTGCTCCCCTAAGCGGGCGCACCCACGGATTGCCAATGCTCCAGCCAATGCTGGGGCCTCAGGGTTAGCCATCGAAGCAACTGAGGCAGGAACCTCCGAGAGCAAAGGTAAGCCCCCCCCCCCCCGATGGTGCCCAGCTGAGTGGGAAGACCCTTCTGTGGTGAGAGATCAGGGCTCTGCTGAGTGGGAAGACCCTTCTGTGGTGAGAGATCAGGGCTCTGCCCCCCAGGCGGTCCTGGGCTTCTCTGGAGACCGGATGAGTCATTCTGATAATTGAATTTTTGAGTTAGGCTTAAAATATGGCCAAGATTGAAGAGGCAATTTGGCAGGGTCGGAAGCCTCTGGGCAGGTCTCTCTGCCTCCGCGCTGCCGAGAACTTATTAAGCAGATCACTCTCCTCGGACTGGCTGCCGGGCGCTCAATCGCATCTCTGGGTCCCTGCTCTGGCCACCCAGGCCCCAGCCAGGGCACGGGGCTCCGAGAGGCAGGAAGCGTGGCTGGCTGGGTCGAGTTTCCTCCCAGGGGAACCGGCTTAGCGGCCGGGGCCTGACACACAGCTGCCTCCTGCCTCCCCGCTCAGGGCTCAGGCGCTGGCTGTGTTGGGTTTATGAAGAGGACGGGCCGGGCAGGTGCAGCTGGGGCCACTGGTGAGAGGGTGAGATGGGGCGCCCCATCCCTGTTTCTCAGGCACTTGTGCTGGTTAATTTCACGGGCGGGGAAATTCGCGCATTTTCTGATTGCGGCTTCAAAACCTCCTGAATTCAGCTGCAGGTAAAATTAACTCACCGGGGACACAGGAGCTTTTTGCCGAGTCCAAATTGTCCTTATTTGCAGTGTTTGTTCTTGGCCTAAATCCAGCCCAAACAAACCCTCCACCCTCCCCCTCCCTGAGGCCCTTCACGCGCTGACTCGCTTCTAAACAAGGGGCTAAGTTGTCCTTGGTAGCTGCTCTGCTGCTAAACCCAGGAGCCCTGGGTGACCTGGGGAGTGACCAGCTGGAGTCCCCTGCCCCCACCCCAGCAGGCGAAGTCAGCAGGGTCTCCCTCCTGGGGATGCCTGGGCTCGGAACCAGGCTGCATTCTGACCTCACCCCCAGCACTGAGGAAACGAAAAACAGCGACCCCCCCCCAGCTTCAGAGACTTGCCTGAGTCCCACCCCTGGGAGGCTGAGGGGAACCCCTGGGGCTCCCAGGAAGCTCTTGCTCCACTCCTGGTTCAGAGGCTCCGAGCGGAGGACCAGCCCTAATGTGCGGGTGAACACACCAGGGGCAGGGCGGGGATCCGGGGGCTGGAAGGCTTCGCTCCCCACAGAACTCCGGGGAGCCGACAGCTCTGAAGATGGGGGAGGGGAGCTCCACTTACCCGCCCCATGATGCGGGGTCCTTGGAAAAGGCCCTCGCGCTTAGCATTTACCATGCTGAGGGGGGTGCTTGGGGATAGAGCTCAGAGGACAGGGACCCAACCGCTGCCCTCAAGGGGCGGGGGACAGATGGTGAAGTGGAGGAGCAAAGAGAAGAGGCCCCTCTGATGCAGGGGTGAAGGCCTCGGAGAGGCACATAGCAGCCCTGTGAGCGCAGGGGACCTGCTTCCCATGCCCCGGAGGACACTGGGGACCTGACGCCTTCCTGGACAGAGCCATGGCACAAGCCCCAAGGAGGGCGAGGGAGGTGGAAGGAGACTCGAAGGCAGAGGCTGGCTGGGAGCGGACTGGGGGGTGCATCCTCCAAGGCCGCCTGCAGGTGGGACCGTGAGGTGGGAGCAGGCAGGGACCCACATCCCCATCAACCTGGTGCAGGGCAGAGGCCACCAGGATCAGGGCAGGCAGCTTCCGGCTCCCAGGGCCGAGCACTGACCCAGGTAAGGGAAGTAAGATTTGAGGAAGTGGAGGGGCAGGAATGAGACATAAGGGAGGAGGCTAGGGATGGGGAGGCGGCAAGAGGGACCAGGTTCTCGGACCTCAAAGGGGCTGAGGGAGTCTGGGCAGAGAGGGGGGCTCTGAGCTGGGCCCAGACGCTCGCCCTGCAGGTGCCCAGGTCCCGAGGCACCAAGAGCTTGCCACTCCCTCTGAGCTGCCCTGGGTCATCTCGAGTCACAGGGACAGTGGCTCCCTTCCACAAACGAACCGGCCAGGCCGCTGCAGACTCTATGCCCACACTCTGGGCCCCTCTGGATTCCTTGATGCCGGGAATGGTGGCTTCACCTCAGGGGCCACGCCAGGGCACGCTGTCCTGATGCCAGCCCGGCTGCCTTGGCCACGTCACATGGTGCCGTCTCTCTCCGGGCACCTGAGCGGCCTTGGCAGAGCCGAGGGCTACTAGAAGCTGACGGGGGCTTTACTGAGACCCCAGCCTGGCCCACCTGGTACCTGGGTTTTGAAGCTGACAGAGGAGCGGACTCATCGAGGTGGAATGAATCATTTCCCAAACATTCTCAAACTGCAGGGCTGGCTGCGCGGAAGGGGGGGGGGAGGGGAGGGAAGACAACTGGAAAGCTGCTGAGAGGGAGGCGGGTACAGGATTCCTCACAGTCCCGCCCCCTCCCTCCCTCCCTTCTGCTAGGCTCGTTGAGAAGCAGAGGCAGCCCCTTGGGGGGGGAAGCACAGGCTTTATTGGCTGCGATTGTCCTCAGGAGCCAGGTCTACTGGGACTGGGAGTTCCTGCATGGGCTCCTCCAGGCCGAAGCTGTGGAGAGGAAGGAGAGGAGGAGGAGGATTTTAGTGCCCAAGGAGGGTTCCCAAGGTTTTGATGCCCACCAGCATCAAACACGAACCTGCTCTCAGGGAGGGACACAGTGGTGGATCAGAGCCCAGGCGCAGAGAGGGCCTGGTCTCCCTCCCCCTGCTCGTGCCTGCATGGGGCCCAGGCACCACCACGGGTGGTATGTCCCGCTGCGAAGCCCAGCGCTGAGCTGTTGGCGTCGTCAGGGCATAGTGTGTGAAGCCAAACCCGCTGGCCCCCAGCAAGGTGTGTCTAACACATCTGTGCCCTCCCCCTCCCGTCCCCTGGGCTCCCTGTGGTGGGGGTGCCGCCCCAAGGGCCCTTACCTCCAGGTTTCCCCGGGCCTTCCGAAGGATCTTGTGGGTCACCACCACTAAGGAGAGAGCAGAGAGTGGGATGCTCAGACACGGCCCCAGGTGGTCAGGGCTCCAGCAGGGAGGAGTCCTGGACGCCTGTGACACACAGAGGGGCCCCGAGGTGCCAGGGCCTGGCCACGGGCTCAGGTGTGGACTATGAAACCGAGGCCCTGCAGCCAGCAGGGCCCCCACAGGGCAGGCATCCCCTGGAGCAGCACCTAACCTGCCCCCCCACCGCCCCCAGGGCCTTGGTCTCTCTCTCTCTCTCTCTTTTTTCTTTTCTTTTTGGGTCACACCTGGCGATGCTCAGGGGTTACTCCTGGTGGTGCTCAGGGGACACCATATGAGATGCTGGGACTTGAACCCTGATTGGCTGTGTGCAAGGCAAACACCCTACCCTATGTGCTATTGCTCCAGCCTCTCCTCCTTAGAGCCCTTTAGCACCCCCAACCCCTGAGTGGGTCTGGGCAGATCGCCCTGTACGGACACCCAGGAGGGGGTAGGGTCAGCGTTTGAGGCTCCTTCCCGCCCAACACCACCTCCCAGGGCTCAGAGAGACTTGGGGGCCTTCTAGAAAGGCCTAGGTGGGTGGTGGCCAGGAATGTGTTGCCCGAGAAGACAGACATGTGGGCTTCGGGCCAGTGCTGCCTAAAGGCTTCATAGATCCCCCCCGCCCCCACCCCCACCCCAAACAGGTCCCAGGCGGTGGCCGTGAGGAAACATTCCTTCCTCCAGAAGCTGGCCCCAGCTCTGCCCCAGCACGGTCAGGCTCCCTCTGGGCCACTCTGGCTATGGCCACGAGGGCCTGCTACCACACAGAGTGGCCACACACAAGCATCGGAAGGTCGAACCCAAGTTGGGCCTCTGCTGCCCCCTCCTGGCAAAGCCTGTACCCCCTCTCGCCTGTGCTCAGCACCTGCCCTCCCCGAGATCCACTCCTGCACCTTCTCCACCTCCTACTCATCCCTCCAGACCTGCTCATGTCAGAGCCTCGAACTGGGACCAGCTAGTTCATGTCCAGCAGCTGCTGTAAGGGTGAGTCCTGCCCTATCCCCACCGGGATGACCAGCCTCTGCCCCTCTAGGGGGGCCGGGAGCAGGAAGCCAGGGGTGGGCCTAGGCACTGGGCGGCTAGCACAGAAGGTTCCGGTGGGCAGCGACAGAGAACTCTAACTGGATAGTGATCGGTGACTGTGTGTCTCAGAAATGCCCCTGAAAGCCAGGCCCAAGCCCGCCTCCCCCCTGCAGCCGGGCGGCAGTTCCGAAAGCGGGCAGCAGAGGCTGAGGGCTGGGGCCAGGCAGCACTGCAGGGGGACCCAGAGCTGCCCGAGGGACTCAAGGCCCTCTCAGCTCATTGCTGAGACTGGAGATGTCTCTGGAACCTGACCCGGCCCTCCTGCCCAGCCTGGACAGTGACTTCGCTCCTCACTGGGCCTGGGGCTCCCAGGCATGCCCTCCTCTGAAGCACGTCCCTAAACTTCCTCCAGGTCCTTCCCCAGACCGGCTCAAGCGGGCCCGAGTTCTTCGGTTCAGCATAGGCCTTGAACCTGTGGGCAGTCCCGGGCCCGGAGCTGTCCCCTCCAACACAACCTGTTTGGGGACTCCCTGAGCCCGTGCGGGCCAGGAACGACAGACATGGCGGGGGACCTGGAAGGAGGTGCTGCTGCCCAAGCCAAAAGGGGCAGCCCGGAGGCGCGGCCCCACTCACGCTGGTCGAAGATGACCCTCTCCTGGTGCTTGCTCAGCTGCAGGTGCTTCATGGTGCTCTGCAACTTCTTCTCCTGCTCCAACAGTTTCTTTTGCAGTTTGGCGATCTCTGCCTTCATTTCCGCGCCCTGGAAAGACGAGGAATGAGAAAAAGGAGCAGAGGACCCACTGCAGCCCGGGGCACGTACGACGAGAGCTCTGGAAGATGAGGCTCCACTTCACTGACCGGGTGCCGGGATGGCAAGCAGGAGTCATCTCCCGCCGGGCACACTGGGGAAGGCAGGGACGGCACAGAGAGGGTGCGGGGTGGGGGACGCGCTCACCCCCAGGCAGGGCTCTGGCAAGACTCAGCACCCGGAAAGCGGGGACAGGGGGGTTGGTGGCGGGGGGGGAGCTCAGATGGTAAAGCGTGTGCCAAGCACACACGAGGCTGAGTGTGATCCTGGACGCAGTGCTGCTCTGGGTAGCCCCGCTGGACCCCCAGCTCCACTGTCCCGAGCCCTGAACCCCTCTGCACCGAGCACAACGGGGATGGCCCCTAAGTGGTGCTGGACACTCCATCCCTGAAGCATCGCCAGGAGCCGCCTGGCTTCCAGCGTGCGTGCTGCTCCTAACCGGAAGACCTCAACATCCCACTGCCTGCCACGGGGGTCTGGAGAGACGCACCATGGCACTTCTACAGAACAGGAGAGTTGGGCACCTGCTTGGCCCAAAGACCTCCACTAATGGACACCAGGAGAGGGTCCTGAGTAGCGTCAGGAGCCCAGGAGAGGGACTGGGCACCTGGCGACGCAGTGTCAATGCAGGAAGGCGGCGATGCAGAGCCCGGGGTGAGAAGTGATCCATTGCCAGGGCACACCAGCTAAGCATCAGAGTGCTCACAGCTGCCACCATGCAGGGGCGAGGTCAGGAGGGCTCCCTGGCGTCACTACCATGGGTGGGAACAGCGGGGTGGGGGGGGTACTCTCCCAAGCACAGCAGCCATCGCATCACAGGAGAGAGCACGACTCCTCGCCCCTCCCCCTTTCCCCTATCTCCTGAGCACTGCTGAGTGTGTAAGCCCTGTTCGTTGCACCAAAACAGCAAAGGGGAAGGGAAGCGGGGTGGGGGGTGGGGGGGTAGAGGGAGGGAGGGGGAGTTCATTTGCAAAGAATTCTAATGTCAGGAAGAATTCTCTCTGAGAGGTGTGGTGTGCAATGTTCTTTGGTTTGTTTGTTTTGCTTTTTGGGGGGGGGGGGTCACACCCGGTAATGTTCAGGGATTACTCCTGCCTCTGCACTCAGGAATCACTCCTGGTGGTGCCTGGGGGACCATATAGGATGCTGGGAATCGAACCCGGGTTGGCCGCATGCAAGGCAAATGCTCTCCCCGCTGTGCTATCGCTCCAGCCCGGCAATGTTCTGTTTTTAAAGGAGAGTGGCAGCGTCACTGCCTGCTTCTGTGCCTCACCGCGGTGCCGGGAACTGAGTGGACTGTAGGTGATCCAGCACACAGGGTCCCTGGCATGTGCCTTCTCATGCACACCCTGGCCCCCAGAGTCCCTAGCCTGTTTAGGGCCGCTGCACGCCGTCATTGGCTCGGTGATTTCACGAAATCTTAAGCAAACCCACGGGATACGTGTGTGCAAAGAGGACCGCAGATGAAAACCAGCATATGCTTTCCGGAAGGGCCTGGCAGAGGCAAGCCACTAAGCCCACGATTTTCTGGCACATGAGCTGTGGGGGGTGAGCCAGCCATCAAGGAGGCGGGAGGCACAGCCGAGAGGAACTCCGAATCCAAACTGCTGGGCGCACGTCCAGGCTCTGCTCTTCACCTCTAAGCCACAGAAATCGGAAGTGACAGACATCCATTATGGATGTGGTTTGTGCAAGAAAGAAGACGAGGGGTGGGGGGACTCCAATCAGCAGACCCCGATTAGAGGGAAAGGCCCTATCCATCAAAAGAAGAGCCAATGAAGTCAAGCGACGGCATTTAAGTCAGGGAGCGTGGCTTGACTCCCGGCTTTCACCTACTTTCAAGACTAACCAGCCCTGTCAGCTGCCGGCACCTGAGCTGCTCTCCCCAAACAGCTCCTAATTCCAACGTCCGGTCTCCTGCGCTTCTCTCCGATGTCCTGCCCAGGGGTAGGACATGATGTCCGCACAGGAGCCCCACATCCTGGGACGGCTGCTCTGCACTCAGTCTTGGCTGCACCTTCTGGAGAGCAGGGCCACGCCTCCAGCCGAGTAAGAGCCAAAGAAGACACCCAGAGGCAGGGCCATCATCCCAGCAGGCTACCGCTAGGCCCACTCAGGCACCCCCTCCCCTCCAGGAAGTTCTCCCTGATAGCTCTTCCCCAAGAGGCTCCTAGGGGGGCCCCCTCCACATGGCACTGCACCCGGTCACCTGCTTGTCTGAATCCCCTACCAGTGCCCTGAGGGCCCGTCTGCCACAGGACAGATTAACACTCATCTGCCTTCTCAAAGCAACTGGTCCCTACGCTACCTCGTCCGTAAAACGGAGGGTTCTGATGCCGCGCATGCCTGCAGTTTCTCTGGACTCAGTTGTTCCTCCACACAGGATGAACGCTGCCCTGATCCTGGCCACTCAGAGCCCCGCCCCCACCTCTTCTTGGCTAGAATAAGGCTGGAGCCAGGCAGACCCAGCTCCTTCTTTGGGAAAATGGCCATATGGATACCTGACCACTGGCCACCAGGGTACCCCACTGGCCACCAGGAGCCAGGGAGGGAGGGAGGGAGGGAGGGGCCGAGTGTCCCACAGTGGGCAAATCACTGTGTCCCACAGGAGAAGCTGGGCAAATCACTGCTTGCCCGCGGCCACTGCCCCAGCCCCCTAGCTGACCAAGCCTGCTTTCCTTCCCTGAGAGCAGGAAGAAAAGGGTCGTAAACTTGCAGGCAGGCTGCCCCAGTTAGCATCAGTGGGGGCCCTGTGCCAGCCCTGTCCTACCCATCCTCACCCTACAGCTGATGGGAATCACTCCTAGAAATCAGCTGGATCGCATGGGATTTCCAGAGACATTTTCTCAAGAAAAAAGATTTACCAAAAACGAGACACAGCCCCTGGGCCTGCTCGGAAATGGGGGCAGAGTGTCCTGGGATTTCCCCAGTGGCTTTGCCAGGGGACTTGTTTCCCAGACCGGGACCAAGATTCTGGGCAACTGGTTTAATTCAGTGTTCAAGCAGCTTTTTGTCCAGTGGTTCTTTTTTTTTTTTTCCTCTTCTTTTTGGGTCACACCTGATGATGCTCAGGGGTTACTCCCGGCTCTGCACTCAGGAGTCACAAATCACTCCTTGTGATATACAGGGGAGCATATAGGATGCCAGGGAATCGAGTCTTAGTCAGCCATAAGCAAAGCAAATGACCTACATGCCATACTACTGCTCTGGCCCCTTTCCAGTGGTTCTTAAAGTTGTCTGGGAAGCCTGTACAATCTGACATGCCTTCTGGGGACCCGCCACCTCCACCCCCACCCCAACTTTCTGATTCAGAGCAGGTCAGGGGCAAGAGATGAAAACTGCCATTTCCAGCCTGTTCCCACAGGCCATTGATGCTGACCTGGGCACCCTACTCTGAAAGTCACCCCAAATCTTTAGGCGCCTCTTCCTTCTCCCCTCTTGTCTGACGATAAAAACATGACAGGGGTGAGAGTGTACCTTTCCTGCCCCAGATCCAGAAAAATTTCTTCTAGGATCTTAGACCCTTTCTGTGGGAAAAGGTATCTGAAACTGCTACTTGGTGTCACAAATGTGTGATGGTCCTGGACTGGACATTTAAAAATCCTGAGTAGAGGGGCTGGAGCAATAGCACAATGGGGAGGGCACTTGCCTTGTATGTGGTCGACCCGGGTCCAATCCCCCGTGCCACAATGGTCCCGAGTTCTGAGCCAGGAGTAAACCCTGAGCACCGCTGGGTTTGGCCCCCAAACCAAACACAAACAAGCAAGCAAAAAAAAAAAAATCGAAGTAGAAAAACTTAAAAATAAAAAAAGCATATACCATGAGATGAGTTCATATTTCCAAATCAAATGAAGGATCGGAAAATTTTTTACTACTTGGATTTATTTATAGCTCCTGTGTTAAAGTAAAAACTCTCGACATAATTAGTTGCTTTATCCTACGATAAGAGTGTAATAGTCTCAAAATATGGGCATGAACATTATTATTGACAATACAGTCACTGGAAACAGCTTTAGGCTTGTTACCCACTGACCACACTAACCTCATTCTTCCGGGGGTCTTGTGCTGAAGGATTCCCATTTTCTGCAGCTGTTCCTCGAAGACCATATAATGTCAGGTGTGTTCATCTCATCCTGCTCTACAGTCTTAAGAATTTTTTTTTCCAATTTTGACCTAGCTTTCCTTCTCATTATACAAAGCATTCATAATTTCCAAGCCAAATTTACAAAAGGTTGATTCTGAGAAACCTGGCTCCTCCCCCTGCCTCTCCGGCCCCTCTGAGTTGCTTATCTGGTGCACCCTTTCTCTCCTCTCGGCTGTCCTTCAAAAAAAGGCAGAAATATTCGTATCCTCACTGTTCCTTCAGATAAACCGATGTGCTTGATACACATTTTCCAAAAGCATCCTCCGGACTAAGAGGGCTGGCGTATTAGATGCATCAGACCAAATAATAAGACTCCAAGAAAAGACGGAGACGTTCAAAGCCATGGGGTTGCCGGGAGAACTCGGCTGTCTGCTTTGCACGCATTTCACACCAAGAAAAAGGCACCGTCTGAAGCCCAGGCAGGGCCGGGGAAGTGGCCAGAGGCAATTTAACACCACCCAGGGGGCCTGTGTGTTCCAGCGGCCACACTGCAGCATCTCCAAAGTTCTCTCCCGGTTCTGAGAGTCTATGATGCCAGAGTGAGCAAAATCAATCACCCGAGAAATGCCGGGAAAAAGGGCCGAATCTCCGGGGCTAATCTGCAAGCGGGGGAGGCCAAAGTGACAATGATGCATATTGAAATGTGAGCATGTGCGCGCACACGGGCACACAAACACACACACACACACTCACACATACATATAAGAGCTAGATTCCACTATCTGACACGCACAGAAGGGAGTGGGGTACTGCTTAGTTCAGATATACTATAGTTTAACCACCACCTGGGAGTGGGAGAGAACATTCATTCATTCATTCATTCATTCATTCAAAAATACGGGCACACATGTTGAGTGCTCACAGAAGAGAAAGGGAGAAACGTGCATCCAATGAGGGTCCATGTGACAGGTTTCTCACCAGCCCTTCTCCACATCTCACCAGCTCCCAGTGCCTCAGTCCCTGAGTGCCAGGTGAGGATGGGCTCCGATGACGAGATCCCCTCCACTTCCTCCCAGGGCGCCCATGAGGGACAGTTCGGGAGAGCTCATCAGAACCGCCTGAGCCAGAGCGGCTGTTGGTCCCTATTCAGGGGCACGTTTGATGAGTCTCAGGGCTGGAGGAGCAGCGGCCGGCTGGGATGTGGCTGTGCCCACCACCTCCCTCGGGCCGGAGCAGAGCAGCGGAGAGCAGTGGAGCGCGAGGCTCGACTACCTGCATCCAGGCTGCTCTAGCCAAGCTCACCGTGTCACAGGTCCCCAGGGCTTAAGAGCTGGACCCTTTCTGCCCCAGAACTCCTGATCTGGAGCCTGTCGTTTCTCAGCAGCAAACGCAGATTGGGACTAAGGCCCACTAAAAAGTGACATGGAAGCACTGGAGTGATAGCACAACGGGTAGGGCATTTGGCTTGCACGCGGCTCACCCGGGTTCGATTCCCACCATCCCATATGGTCCCCTGAGCATCACTAGGAGTAATTCTTGAGTGCATGAGCCAGAGTAACCCCTGTGCATCGCTGGGTGTGACCCCAAAAAGCAATATATATATATAAACTTTAAAAAGTGATATGGAAAACTAGTGGGAGGAACCAGAAATTTCCAGGTATCTAGACCGAGGGCGGGTCTGTGCAGGATGGATGGAGCAGTCCCAGCGATCAAAGTGGGGCGAAAAGGCCCCAGAAGAAAGAGAAGGTCTGGGTGCAGGCCACCCTCTGGGGGCCTCAGCAGGACGTGCCTGCAGCAGGGGACGGCGGCGAGCTGGGCTCATGGGGAGGCCCCACCTACCTGCTGGCAGGGGTTGGTGGCGGGGAGCGAAACCCTCCAGAAGAGTGTCAGTGACTTTGCGGCCTTTTCCAGAACCAGCCTGGCTGTGCTCACGTAGGTGACAAGGTGGCCGGTGGGCACAGGACGCGGCGTCTGCAAGAAGGGCGGAGTCAGGAATCACGGGGCCTGGTGAGCAGAGTCGTAAATCTCCATGGTCACTGGCCCACCTGCTTGGCGCAGACCCGGAGCCCGACGACACCCATTTATTGTTCTCCGAGACGGGTGAATTATATACGAGGAGGGCTTGGGCGGCCATTTCAGCCCGTCCAATAACCATGATGAATCACCCCCTGCACGGGCTGTATTTACGACACCCGGAAGAGAGGCACAGCGCACTCGGCTCCTCCAGCCCCCTGACGTGGGCCGCCAGGAAGGCAGGAGGGGCTGGTCTGTCTGCCTTCCCAGGCCCTGCTCCCTGCCTGCAGGGAGCGGAGGCCTCTGCCAAGTACTTCTCTGTTGGCGCCAGCAAACACAGAGCGGGGGATGTTAAAGGCAGACGGGAGAAACACAAAAGAAATTTGTAAAAATGAGAGGGGCCAGTTAGCTCCATTGGTGAGAGTCAGGGGGGAGGCCAACACCCCCACCAAAAATCCCAAAATACAAGGGCCCAGAGCAATGGTACAGCAGGTAGGACGTTGGCCTTGAAAGCAGCAAACCCGAATTCAACCCTCAGCATCCCATATGGTCCCCTGAGCGCAGCGGGAGTAATTTGCTAATTCCTGAGTGCAGAGCCAGGAGAAAATCCTGAGCATAGCCAGGTGTGGCTCAGAGGGAAAACACACAAACAAACTGAAAAAGCACTGTCTTCACAATTAAATAATATGTGCAAACTAAAATGCCTCCCTACCCCCTTCCGGAAATCAAATAGGCAAAAAGTCACTTATGAAAGAAACTATTCAATTAGGGCCAAAGAAACAAGCACATGCAATCTGTGAGCAGGTGAGGCCATGTCTAGGAATCCGTCAACGACAGACCGACAGAGGATGTGAGCAGAGGGAGGCGCTCACAGCGGCTGAAACATCATCCTCGGAAGGTGAAATTCCAGAAAAGGGGTATCACATATGAGCTTACTTCAGGGTCAAAAGGTCGAGTTCTAGAAAAACACTGGATGAAGTCAGAAAACTGCTGATGACAAGTCAGTGTGATTCAATTTTAGGAATGAGCTCAAAGAGCAAATATATATACTTTTAAGTGCTACTGAGCATGACATAGTATTCTGTGTGTGTGATTGTGTTTGTGTGTGTGTGTGTGTGTGTGTGAGGGGTGTGTGTGTGTCTGTCTGTCTGTGTTTGAGGCAGGGACGGTGCCCACACTGGCCAACCTCGGGGCTTACTCCTGACTCTGTGCTCAGTGATCACTCCTGGCAGTGCTTGGCGGACCCTCCAGGGTGCCCGGGATCGAATCCAGGTCAGCTGTGTGCAAGGCAAACTCCCACCTGCTGTACTATTCTCTGGCCCCTGATGTGGTTAGTTCTGGGTTTTGCTTTCAAGATTTCCGACAGCATCCAGTTCCTGAACAGTAAGGATTCTAATTAGAAAGGAACTCGTGTCTGTATTCTAAATTGGGGTCACTCAGGATCACATCACTGTTCATTTCAGGCGTTTTCACACTCTTCAAAAGGAATCGCACCAGATGAGCAGCCAAGAGCCCCAAAGCCCCCTTCCCGGTCTGGGGCCCCTCCTCTGCCTCTGCAGCCCCTGAAACCAAGAACTCTTCATTATTCCTGTATTCAATGTGCCACCCAGCCCTGTCCAGTCAGGATGTGGACAGGCAACTCTGGACGCCCAGGTACCAACCACCCCTGCCTCGGGACGGCAGCTCGAGGCACACAGAGAATGACAGCAAAGGACAGACAAGTCACCAGGACACAGGTCCTCGGAAACCCCCACTTCCAGGACTTGTGGGAGGAGGCTGGCCATGGTCACATGGAGACTCAGAGGGGGCTGGATCCCTCCCGGAGCGGGGGGCCTGGAGGTGGGGAAGTCGGAGTCCAAGCCAAGGAGGAGGCAGAGGGTGACTTTATGTCCAGCACCCAGACCCTCGGTGAAAAGGAAAATTCAAAGGCGGGCAGGTTCCTGGGGTTGGGAAAGAACGCAAAGGGATGGGTGTGTGTGTGTGTGTGTGTGTGTGTGTGTGTGTGAGTGACACTCGCGTTCTCAGGTTCAACCCTCAGCACTGCAGGACGGGGCCTGCGAGATGGGCGAGTACCTTCAGGGATAATGGGGAGGAGGGGACCGCCGGACCAGAGGGTACAGGAGCCCAGCGTGGACGGGGCAGGGCAGGGGGCTGACTCTGCGGGACGGCCACGCAAGAGGGAGCACTGGCAGTGCTAAGGCTCACAGCTGAAAAAGGGGAACCGCACCCCCACCACCAGGGCCATTGTAAGGAGGACAGTAAATGGCCCTTAAGAGGCCTCCGCAAGAGGCAGTGGCCAGCGGGGTTCAGGCGGAGACAGGAGGCCACATAGGCAAGCTCAGGATGGCGGGGGGGGTGTATAAGTGAGACATCCTGGCTGCATGGGTGATGGGCAGGCTACAGGGCAGAGACGAGAAAAGGCAGGAGAGCGGATGGATGGGCGGGAGTGAGGAGGGGCCACGAGACCCCAGTGAGCTGTGGCCACTGGCCAGTCCCAACCATCTCAGACGGGCTGCAGTGACCTCTGTACTCTAGCTTCCGGCTGCCCGCTCAGTCCCCGGCCCTCTGGCCGGCACCCAGGGTCCTGGGGCCCCTCCGCCCAGCTCTGTGTGTCCAGGGGTGGCGGCTTACCCTGGCTCCCGGCTCTCGGCCGGTGGGGCTGGGAGCCTCTTGGATCTGACTGTCCATCTCGGCCAGGAGCTTCTGGCCCTGGCCAATCTGTGTGCGCAGGTTGTCATAGTGCTCCAGCAAGCCCAACACGTGGAGGCCGTCCTGGCTGGCCCACGGGCGCTGACCGGGGACCGAGGGGGACAGGTATGTGGCACTGGTGGCTGAGCTGCTGCTGTGGCTGGAGAGGGAGTCCACGTCATTTCCGGAGAGCGAAGGCGCCTCAGAAGCTGCCGAGCGAGGAGAGGTCGGGGGTCAGCTCTGCTCCTGCAGCTGGTGGCTGGCAGACTTGGGATGCTCCAGCCAGTCTGGTGGGCTGAGAGCCGACCCTGGGGCCAGAAGACCTCGTGCAACAGCCCTGCTGTGTGCCTGGCTTGGGTCTGTGTGTGACCGCGGGCTGGGCCGGTGTTTGCGGGGAAAGCGCAAACACGCAGTAGGCACAGGTTCTGCAGAAGACCCAGGGGTCCAGCTGGATCCGCCCGGGGCTAAGGGGAAGGCGGGAACCACATGCCCAGCGGGTGAGAAGCGGGAGGGGTGGCCGAGAGGAACCATCTCTAGCCATGCTCTGGGCAGCAAGGCTTTCTGTAAGATCGCAGCAGCCGGATTACAGAGAAGGCCGCGAGGACAGGAGAGGCATGTCCCGGAGACCAGAGAAGTCCCGCGGGAAAGCAGGATTTCCCCAGGCTGAATGGGGTACCCCCAAAGGTGGTCTGGGCAACTCAGGAGCTGCATCCGGAGAGAGGGAGAGAGCATGCAGCCTGTCTGCCCACAGCAACCCCCGTCAGGAGGCACCTGGGGTGCGGGCTGCAGGCAGGGTGGCCCCCCTCCAGTCCAGGACCCAGTGGGGTTCCTGAGCCACCGGGAACAGACACACTTTACACCTCAAGCCCGGCACTGCAGTTTGGGTTAGACTATACTCAAGCCGGAGTCACCACTGGTCCACGCCGGCATCAGGCATCAACATGTTAAAAAAAAAAATTAGTAGCCAGAATGCTGAGACAACCCCAGGCCCCCATAATACCCCCGCCTCTGTGTTGGAGGCCCAAGTGCCCCATCCTAGGACCCAAAGATTCCTGCAGCCAAACCCCGCCCCTGGGGTCTCTACCCAGACTGTACCTGATCTGGCTGGCATGGCCAGGTTGGAATCAAACAGATCATACGAATGATCCGTTGCCACGGGGCCGGGATCGCTGTCGCCATCTAGGGAATGCGAATGAGAGGAGAATAAGCTGCCCGGGTCCTGGTCTCCCCCCCTCAGCGTCGGGGCCCGACACGGGACACTGACTCTTTGACCCCACCAGCCACCTGCGGGCCTCAAGGAGGTGGAAGGCGGGAAGCAGGCGGGCAGGGCCGGGGGAGCAGAGCTGAGCGGGAGTCACGGCTATGGGGGCAGCAGCGGGGCAGAGAGGGGTGGGCACTGGGAGACACTCAGGGAGAGCCAAGCGCTGCTCAGGGCTGAGCCCCGGCAAGCGGGCAGAACCAGCGGGCCCCAAGGCCAGCCGGTGACGACTGCGGGGCCACTCCCAAAGGCAGCACGTCTCTAAGAGACACTGGGGTCTACATGGTGGGGTGAGAGCCAGGGCAGGAGGTGACGGCTGGTCACAGGGTGAGGTGGCAAACCCGGCTGCTGCACATAGGACGAGGCCAGAGGCCTCCAGATGCAGCCCCAGGTCTGGCCTCCGCCCCCCACCCCCGAGGTTCCCAGAGTCCAGGGCGTGGGCTGGGGGGAGAGTGGTCAGTTCCGTGATGCGCACTCTGGCTTTCTGCCTGGGGACAAACACGGGCACACCGGGACAAGTCCTGCAAAGCCTTCGGCGAAAGAAGGAGTCTGCGGCCACTAACGTGGCCTGATGCTAACCTTCTCCCCCCTGGTACAAGAGCATTTCTGCGGAGGCAGCGCAGGGAGCTGTGCATGTGCCTCCAGGATACCTCTGGCTGACCCTGGACATCCGCCACAGGGGCCACTTAGCTGCAGCTGCCTGTTCTCCCCCTGGGCATCCCACACACAGCGTCCACCCTGGATCCCCACTCCCAGCCCACCCCCCACATCTCCTCTGAGTCCTCAGAAGCAGCAGACTGGTACTGAACATGGTCAGGATCTCGCTGAAGGGGCCCCTCTGGATGCCCCAGGGGAGGATTTACCCCGACGGCCCAGAGTGGGAGCCAGCATGTTAACGTGGGTGCTTCTTAGAGCGCCAAGTCAGAGACGGCCTTCTGGACCCCCAGCGCAAAGACCCAGTGACTGATGGCACTCCAGAGGAAATAATCAGAGGAGGCCCTTTGCAGCTAGATTGTTTTCTCCCCAAAGTATGATAATCAGATGGGCGGGGAAAGGCAAAGTCAAAAGTTCTTCTAAAATCGTGAAGGAACCTCCCATCTTTGTATTGGTACACCCGCCTCTTGGCTAGAGTCTTGGTTAGAGTCTAGCCAGTTTTAAGATTCTATCAAGGAGAACCAACAAACCCTTCTCTGCTAAGCCTGACATATGTGGACGAGGGTTGCTGAAAACCAGGCGGTTTCCGTTTTGTCTTGGCTTTTGAGTGAAAGGTCCTTGACATATTTTGCCAGGGTGAGGAGAGTGAAGGCTCAAGTTCTGCGCAACACTCGTTTCCCAAGTGTGTTAACTTCCCTGGCTGGGTGGCTGTGCACTCCTCCTTAATGCCCACCCCACGTGTGCCAGGATGGTGACGCCCTGACATATGTGTTCTGGGAAGACCAGGAGCAGCACTGGGTCCAAAGCCGGAAGGAGGTTTCTGGCTCCAGCCCATCGCCTACTTGTCAAGTATTTGGGACCAGACCCACCCCATGCTGGACCCCAACCTGCCCATAGGTCTGTAGAGCAAAGAGGACGCGATGGCTGATGGTGCATCCCAGGCCGTGTTCCGGGCTTGCTCCCAGCTGTGCTGGGTGTGGGCAGAGGCATGACGGAGCCCAGCTGCCCTGTCTCTACGCCCTCCCCTCTCCCTATCCCTGGGGAGCTAGACAGAGCGAAGCCAAGGTGGCCACGCCCCAAACCACAGACACTGCCAGTGACCAACAGCGAATTCAGCAGTGGGGTCTTGACACAGGCAGGACTGAACAGAGTCGGGAAAGGGGGGGTCCACACCGGAAATGCCAAGGGCAGTGGACAGCCCAGGTCCCTCCTTCCATAAGAACTAGGAGACCCAGACGGCCTGCCACAGGTGAGAGCTAATTCACACACCCTGGCTGGGCCGTGTGGTTGCTATCTGGGGAAAAGCCACCTCTGTGGCTCCATCACGGCGCACCCACCTACCTCCCCCGCCCCCCGCCATGCTTCCCAGCGGAGAGTACCGTGTGTGTCCAGCTGCTGGGGCTGCACGAGGCCAGACGGGGCCAGGAGGATGGCAGAGCGGGCAGCTCCGGGGACCTCCCTTGGCGCCTGCGCTAGCTGCTGCTCCAGCTTGCCTTGCAGCGTGCTGTTGGTCTCGATGCTCCTTTCCAGCTGTGCCCGCAGAGCCTGGATCTCTGTCAGGAGGCTGGGCAGGTCCGCGAGGGCGTCCTGCCCCCGCCAGCCTTCTCCTGCTGCCTCGGCTCTGGTCTCTGGGAGGAGAGCAGGCGCAAAGGAAACGGGGGAGGGAGGTGGTGGGGTGGGGGCAGGGGTGGAGGGGTGGGGTCAGCCCGCAGAACTGCCCTGAAGCGCCCATCGAGCCCCGCCACCCCACCCTGGCCTGGGAACTAGGTACAATTAAAAATAACAACTTGACTTTAAAAAAAAAAACATTGGCAGACTTAATTGCTGCTATTCTGCAGACTAAATAAGAGCTGGAAATTAATTTTCGCTTCTGGCCATAAAAGCCGAGCAAATTGCACACCAAACCCCGAAATTATGTCTTGTAGTAATAAAATCTATTTGGGCTGGAATTATAGAATGAAAAGAGCTGATTTTTAAGAGCCGCTGTATATTGTTTATAAAAAAAAAAGGCACAGCAGCAAGAATAAGGAAAGCAACTTAGAAGAAAATGAAAGCTGTGACCCTCTTCTAGATAAACTTTCAATAGGGAGAAACCATCTGGAAAATTAGCTTAGAAAAAAAATAAAGGGGAAAAAAAGAAAACCCACTACACCTCAAAACTGATTCTGTCGGTTTAAAGTGAAATCACTGTGATCCAGTATCAAATACGCTCAGGAAGCATGGTGGCCGGGCTCAGCACGGCCGGCCAGAGCATGCTGGTGAGAGAAACGCCTGCCTGTGGGGTCGGCAATGACAACAGGCACCTGCCCGAGTGTCTGCCCCACACCAGGCACTGGGTACGGATGCTCTGAATGAGCATCATTTTGGACACATGATTTAATCATTTCACAGTAATGTGACAGAAGAGAGATACCACCAGGCTTGTTTTTCCTTGAAAGACAGTTCCCAGGGCGGTGGGCCACGGCTGGAGGTCACACAGGCAAGAACAGAGGCCCAGGCCTCTGCCGGCCCGACTTGCGCCAACATGCTCCCCTGGGGTCCCTGTGCCTGTGCCAACGCCAACCCATGGGGCAAGAAGCAGCGTAAGCTTCACTGGTGCTTCTGGAAGGGCGGAGCCTGCTGTCCTCCTAGCCTGGAGGTGGCACTGGGGTGGGGACTGGAACAGGGCCACTAAGTACCTCTGGGCGCCGTCTGGTGCTCCTTGTCCAGCTTCTCATACACCTTCAGCTCCACGCGCAGGGCCTGGAGCAAATGCTGCCTCAGCTCCACCTCTTCCTGCACCCTGAAAGGGCCCGCACGGGGAGCAGAGGTCACAGCTAACCCAATGTCACTTCCCCAAGCCCATGGCCATCAGAGCAGGCAAAGGTGACAAATGTGGCTAAGAATTCGAGTTATAGGTAAGCAGCGATATTAAGCAATATTAATACCAGCGATATTAAAGTGGGTAGGGCGTTTGCCTTGCACACAGTCGACCCAGGTCCAATCCCGAGCATCCCGTATGGTCCCCAAAGTGCAAAGGCAGGAGTAACCCCCCGCTGCGCATCACTGGGTATGACTCAAAAAGCAAAAAAAAAAAAAAAAGAATTTGAGTTATGAGGAAGGCCAAGCCCAATTCGATCCCTGGCACCCCATATGGCACCCCTGAACTCCACCAGGAGTGAGCGCTGAGCACAGAGCCAGGAGTAAAGCCCTGAGCACTGGGTGTGGCCCAGAGACAAACACAAAAAGAATTGGAGTTAGGGGCTACTTCCCCAAGCTCCTCTCTGGGCTGAACTCTTCACAGGCACTAGCTCCTTGTCTTCCCAGCCACCCTCTACAGCTTGTGCTACCTGACCCCAATGGTGGCCCTGAGGAGGGGAGCACGCAAGCCTGCGCTGTGTGAGGGCCAAGTCTCAACCACGCTCACCCTCACCCGTACTCGGGTGCTGAGTGAGGAGCTGCCAGGCCCAATCACAGACGTGGTGACACCACACAGGGCCTGGGGAAAATGCCACAGTGCCGGGTAGGACCCCAGTAAAGCTCAGCTCAGACCCCGCCGGCCCCAACCTGGGTCCCCCAGTGCCCCCTATGATGCTCAAAGGAAACCTGGAGTCCTGAGCCCAGCTCGCAGGCCCCGTGACTCTGCCAGCTGCACACCCCTCGCTCTCCTGCAGGTACACGGCCACCCTGCTCTGCTCTGCTACAAAGGGGAAGGCTCCGTCCCTCCACTGGAGGTTTGCCCCGGGCATCAGCTGTCACGCCTAACAGGCTCTCAACAGGAGGAGGCGGGAAGTGGTGCCCGGGAGCAGAGCAGAAGCACTGACTCTGCTGGCTGGGATGGGCGCGGGCTGTGCGGCACTGACCATCCGGCCCTGGAGATGCCCGGGGAGAACACAGCTTCTGCTCTGGCCCCGAAGCCACGGGCGGTTTGCCTTGAAGAGGGCTTCTGCTGAGCACCCCAAAGACAAACTTCTAAGCATTCTCTCTCAGGTCAGTGTTGACTTGCAGAGATTAAAAAGAAAAGTGTGGGCTGGAGTGATAGCACAGCGGGGGAAGAGCCTTTGCCTTGCACGTGGCCGACCCGAGTTCGATTCCCAGCATCCCATATGGTGCCCTGAGCACCGCCAGGAGTAATTCCTGAGTGAGGAGCCAGGAGTAACCCCTGAGCATCACCGGGTGTGAACCAAAAAGCATAAAAAAAAAAGTGGTGATTCGAGCCACTAAGTGTTTAAGTGTTTTCCTTAAACACAGAACAGCGATGCTGATTACAGGGCCACAGGGAGGGAGAGGGAGGGAGGGAGGGAAAGGGAGAGGGAGAGGGAGAGGGAGAGAGAGGGAGAGAGAGAGAGGCCTTCCCTGGCCACCCCCTACCCCCGTGGGCCCTCCCCGCTGCCTCGTGGGACCAACCGATGCAGCTCGCTGCGGTTCTGCCGCTCCCGCTCGTCCAGCTCCTCCTGCAGCCGTTCCTTCTCGCCCTTCAGCCAGGCGTAGTCCTCCTGGAGCCGCTCAAAGTTCGCCGTCTTTCTGGAGAGGGACTCGCGCAACTTTTCATTCTCCTTCTGTTTATCTGCAGACACACGAGAAGGTGCCCCGACTTAAGAGACACCATTTGTCTTCCACAGCGCCCCCAGCCCACCCCATTCTCGCTGCGTCAACACAGCACTTGGGCTCTGGGCACGGCCGAGAATACAAAAGAGGGTGGCGATTTAATCTGGCATTTATGATTTTAGCATTCCAATTACCTGATACGTTCTGGGCAGATAAATCTGCCAGCACTGAGGCTGCAGATTAAACATCACTGGGATGAAATGGGCCTGTTTCGTTTTCTTACTCAGTACCGGGCGGGGCGAGCTGAGTTACTTTGCCTTTCCAGAGTTCACAGAGAGAGGCAAGAACAGGGCCCCCAAAGCTGACCTGGGGTACGGGGGTGGCGGGGGGCAGGAGGCCAGTGAAGTGAGCAAAGGCAGCCTCCCCCGAGGGCCAGGAGGCTGGGGCACAGGCAGAGGCTCAGGAAAACGAGCAGGAGGATGGGCGGCTGGGTGGGTGCGGCAGCTTCCCCTGTGATCCCAGACTCGCCCTCCCTGCCCAGTGAGCCTACAGCTCCGTGCCTCAGTTTCCCCGTCTGTTTCAGAGGGACCAACAGCCCTGCAATACGAAAGGGCTTAGCAGGGCTGCCCGTCATTACACTAGGCCAGATGGGGCCGCGTGGGGGGGCGGGGCGGTGGGAGGGCTGAAGCCACAACATGGAGACCGCCAGCTGCTCACCCCGCTCTAGTTCACCTCCCCACTGCCTTGTTCTAGGAGAGGAACTCTTGGCCGCCCCATTTCCACATAGGATGCAAACAACCAGAGCAGCAGTGACACACACCAAGGTCACAGGGCCCAGGGGTCAGGCGCAGGCTGACTTGCTCCTGCGCGCCCCAGCTTCAGGAACGCCTGGTGGGGCTCTGCCTCCCGAGACTGCGTCGGCTCTCCTCTTCCACAGGCTCTTCACCAATCGAAACACCCTGACTAGCCCTGACCCACCCTTCCAGATTCCACTGAGGAAGAGCAGCTTCGCCAGGGTCCAACGCCTCCCTGACCAGCCTTTCTCAGGGCTGGGCCCTGGACTCCCTCCTCTCTGTCTACACAGGCCCTGGGTGCCGGGGGAACGAGTGACGGGCAAGAAGCCCAGTGTCGTCCGGTGAGCCCACATCTGGGTTTCACTGTTTCCTCGGGAGGAGGAGACCTGTTGCCTTGTTTGGAAAATTAGAACAATACTGTGGTATCATTCCGAAAAAGTTGTAAGTGCTGAGAGGGAACATAAGTGAAAACTCCTCTGGGAACTCTGTATCTGGAGAGAGAAACTTCTAGAGAAATCCTCCAGGAGGAAGAATCTCCTGACAGGAGAAAGCTGGGAACTGGCAGGAAAACATCCCCTGTGCCCTTCTCTCTCCCGTGATGACCCGGGATGAAGGAGAGAGAGGAGGAGGCTGCAGAGGGGGCAGGGGTGACAGGTGAAGAAGGAATGACCCTGGTGGGAGGTCACAGCACTTCCCTCCACAGCCCCAGAGGTGATCCACGAAGAAGGCCGAGACCAGAGAGGTCAGGAAAACTGCTTAGAGCCAGAGACACAAGACTGGCACCCGAGCAGGCGTCTTCCCCCACTGCTCAGAGGCGGAGGGGCCTCGTTCACCCACCTCTGGATCCTTTGGCCAGCATGGCATTGAGGGCCTGGTTCTGCTTCCGCAGGAAATGTATTTCTGATGTCAGAGAAGTGTGCAGCTCCGAACCATAAGCACAAACGTTGGTCGAACCTAGAAAAACACACATAAAAAAATAACTCATGGGGGGCTGGAGCCATAGCACAGCGAGTAGGTTGTTTGCCTTGCACGTGGTCAACCCCAGTTTGATTCTCAGCATCCCATATGGTCCCCTGAACACCGCCAGGAGTAATTCCTGAGTGCAGAGCCAGGAGAAACCCCTGTGCATCGCCTGGTATGACCCCCCCCCAAAAAAAAAACAAAAAACATACAACTCACAGACAGAGTCCAGGTTATCAGTATGGAAGGAGCTTTCCAGAAAACCAAATTCCACCTGGGTATTCCCAGGACATACTCCTCAGAGCAGCGCTTCACACAGGGAGGCGGGGCTCGTTCTCTGTCTTTTCCGAGACCGGCACCGCGTGGCAAGAGTGGCGTCTTGCCACCAGTGAATACTCTATGAACGCAGCTCTTGCAAACCTTCCCATCAGAGTGAATTACTCTCCGGAGCAACCGCCTGCTCCGCAGTAGCTGGTGGCCATTCGAGCCCCCAAATAATTCAATAACTGAATTTACCAGGGAAAATGTAAAACAGAATGGATCTAATTCAGGCATTACCGAGAGTAACTGTGAAGGGTGGCAGCACGGGATTCTTTCCTGTGTTTGATAGGACTAATAACTCAGATTAATCAATGTCCCTGGTGGGGAAAGGAAGGTCTGTGATGGAGAAGGAGGGGGGCGAGGTGGGGGGAGGGAGTGAGCTGGGAGGTGGAGAGGAAGAGAGCGGAGGAATCACTGTCTTGCAAACTGCAGCATCTATAGAGCTTTGGGAAGAGGCTCCTCCAAGCTGAGGGCTCTGATGGGCTAGAGAGTAGAGGTGACGAGCTAGAGAGTAGAGGTCAAGGATGAAACGCAGCCCTGAGAACTCTGTCTTCTTGAGAGCTCTGTCTTCTTGTTACCAAAAATGCAGAAGCATTAGCATTCCCACCCAGAACAGACCTTTGTAATGCGAAATAATTCATGTTCTGCAAAATAGAACAGCAAAACAAAACTGACAATCATGGAAACAACCAGTTGCAGTTGGTCAACGGAGTAAGGCAGTGAGCAAGGGCTGGCTCCTAACTCCGCCTCACTCACGCGAGAACTCTGCCAGAAGAGAATGGAGATGGAGGAAGGTGGGGTGCCCCACCGAAAGACACACAGCTAAGATAGAAGAAGTCAGGGTCCACATCCAGGTCGGTCCAACTCCCCGGCCCACCCAGGTTTTTATCCTGACGAGAGCTGCTCTGAAGACAGTCTTCATGGAATGATGAGACTGTCTGTAGATCAACAAGGAAGCCTAAAATATTGCTCATTCAATGAAAACAGCAATCGAAGAGTAGATATACAGTGTTTTACCTTCCAGGGAAGGCAGGAAGAGACTGAGAATATAGATTTGTGCTTGTGTTTTAAGTAAACACAAGCGGTTACAGAAGAGTAACAAAAGCAGAAGAGAAGGAAGCATCAGATGAATGGGCAGAGGGCAGAGGCACTAAATGTTAAACCCTGTGAAAAGCAGTGAGGGAAAATGTCTTTCATAAGTGTTTCCACAGAAGAATCTTCCATTCAGAGATGACTGCGCTCAAGCAGGAATATTGGCAGCCTCGTGACTGATATGTGAGACTTCGCAAGCTGGTACAACACCAACACTTTTTATATTCCAACCTTGACAAAAAGACAAAAGACCGCTTTGTTTTCTGTTAAAACACCTATCTATTTCTCTTCGGCTGCCAAAGGCATCTGAGGAGCCAACCACCTCTCAGAGTGCCAGAGGATGGCTGACTTCACTGATGCCAAGGAATGAGTATCTATCTATCAAGATGCCGCCGAGTGCCAAAACACTCTTGGAAGTTATTCACTGACTTCTCATCACAACAAGACAAGAGGGGAACGCTCATTACCCCATCTTCCAGACACACTGTGGTCACTGGGGGTCGGTGTTAGGGTAAGTGAGCCACCAGGGAGGGAAAAAGTCAAGTCAGGACTGGGAATGAAGTCGGAGGTCCTTTCCCAAATACAGAGAGTGGGATGTCTGCCTTCATGCGGCCGACATGGGATTGATCCCAGGCACCCCATATATCCCATAGGGTCTCCAGAACCTGCCAAGAGTAATAATCCCTGAGCAGAGTCAGGAGTAAGCCCTGAGCACCACTGGGTGCAGCTCCCTGTAGAATAACATTGGTTTGTCCTTTCTGCCAGCCACAGGGAGCTTAGGTTTATTGGGCTGCATGCATTACAGTGCTCCCAAGGCACTCCCATTCCTCTGTGTTTATCTGTAACCTCTTTCTTGTATGCTTCCCCAACCAGTCAATCACCTTTATCTCCTAACAAGGCTCTGTTAACTTGTAAATATTGCTTTTCTCTTCTCCCAAAGTCCTCTACATAGTTACTTCAGAGCAATGTCCTTTTTGCATAGACACATGGAGACAGTTAATGGTAAGCTTTTGTAACTTGGGAGTTAACTGATTCCGAATAATATTCACTCCTGGGCATCTGTTCTCTCGACTTAAGCCTTAGTTGCCCTTACTTCCTAGCACCCCAAAAGCAGAGTCCCGACGAGGGACTGAATGGACCCAGGGCAAGCCGTGAGCTACCCTGGCACAGAAATGGACACGCCAAAGTGCCATAATACTTAACTATAAGTTCAGAGCATGGTCATGAACAAATTCTGTCATGATCCAAAAAGTAACAACTAGATTAGGACCCTGCTAGGGTTAGGAAGATTAATCTGGCCTGATCACTGTAGTCTGGGATCTATAATGAGATGTCCCCAGGAGAGCCACCCTACAAGATTAATGTATCTCTTACTGTGTTCATATAAAATGACTAATATTAGTAGAATTACAATGTTCATTAAGATGTTAATTAAGTTATTGGACTAAGGAAAGGAGAAAGACCCCTTAAGTGGCATTTCCCCCTTGAGCTGATCCCCTGGCTGCAGGTCATCAGGAAGGGTTTTGATATGTTTATTGTGCTACCTGACCTGAGTGTGGTTGCTACCCCCAATGCTAGAGTTGGGAGACCTTAGTGTGACCAAGGTGGCTCGGAGAGCAAGGGAGAGCAAGGGAGAAAGAAGCAGACAGGCTTGAGGGGCTTAGTGAGATTAGAACAGGAACGTGGGGAGAATGGAATAAAAGGCAAGTGATCACCAACCAGCCTGGCCTGCGTCTGCCCATAGCACATAGCACCGGCCGTCCTGGGTGGAAAGCAGCATGAGACCACCAAACGTAGGGAGGGAGAGAGGAAAGAAGAGAGGAGAGAGAGAGAGAAAGAGAGAGAGAGAGAGAGAGAGAGACAGAGACAGAGAGACAGAGAGACAGAGAGACAGAGAGACAGAGAGAGACAGAGAGATGGAGAGTGCTCCACGCCACAGGATTCCTAGTCACTTGGTGATTACACAGTCCCCAAACAAACATACAAATCAAATCAACCAACCAACCAACCAACCAACCAACCAACCACCAACCAGAGACAGCTTTTTTGGGCAAATATTTCCCAGAGGCTGGGCTCCGGGCCTTGCCCTGTCCTTGGTGAGGACCCTTCCTTACCTTGATCTGCTTCAGATCCTTGCCGTTCCAGCTGTCTCCGTAGCTTCTCATTTGTTTTAATAGATTCTTCTAGACGTTTCCTCAAACTTCGGATTTCTTGTATATGTTCCATTAGTAAGTCTACAGGAAAGAGGACATTTTAAAGGTATAGTCTGAAATCCCCAGCGAGGCGAATCATTCAGGGTGTGCTGTGACCCTGAAATTCCAAACAGCACTGGCCACATTCGAATCAACAGGCAATTCTCCCGGGCACCAGGGGGCGGCTGAGCGGTGGCCCAGGTTTCTGACACAGTTCTGTAATGATTCCGCAGCCTTCCACCAGGGAGGTATTTCAGAGCACATGGAAAAATTATATTCCATACAATTTTAATGCTAATTTGAAAGTAGCCTCTTTATTCTTTTAAATATCAAATATTAATTCAAAACCCTTCCTTATGGTGAAACTAACAGATGATTTTCAAGTCTGTTTGAATTGCCGCAGAGTTGATTAAACTACCTTTATAATGAATCCGGAAATCTTCAAAACTAATTCTTTGAAAAAGAATGTTACCCATTTATCACTTACTAATTTAAGACAAACCCAAAGTAAAACAGTAACCCCCCCCCTCCAGTGCCAGTGGGAACAGAAGTGGGGGGTGGTTTGTGCATGAATATAAAAAAAAAGTCTGACTTTCTGGGGTTGTTTTTCATCACTGGTCTTAGTAAGGTTCATTTCCAAATAATCTGCCTTTTCCCAAATAACTCTACTCTTAGAAATCCATTTAAAGAGATCAACAGAGAAAAAGGAATAATTGTTCCTTATTGGTGGGAATGCTGTTGGTTTGACTTGCATAAAAAATTTAAAAAAAATATATGGAGGTTTCTTAGTAAACTAAGACTAGGGCTTCCATATGACCCAGAGAAACTACTTCCTGGCATTGATCCCAAGAATACTTGATCACTTGATCACCTGACTTGATCACTTGACATTCCGTTACTCATCGATTTGCTTGAGCGGGTGCCAGTAACGTCTCCATTCGTCCCTGTCACGTGCTAGTGTAGCCCAATGGCATCTGCTCACTCCAGGAACACGAAGACCCTCAAACCCATCGTTCAGGGTCTTGACAAAGTCAGACCATCTTGTAGGTGGGTGGCCACACGATCTTCTGACATCCTGTGGAATCCAGTTGGTAATGGCTCTAGTCCAGCGGTCATCTCCAAATCACATTACGTGTCCAGCCCAACTGATTTTCAACGCCTTGGCAAATGAGACAGCGTCCGTCCCTGATTCTTGCCTATCAACGGAATTCGGAAGTCTGGATTCTTTCTCTCTTTTGAGTGAAACGTGATACTCCAAGCATAGCTCTTTCTATTCCTCTTTGGGAGAACCAAATAGCATTCTCATTATGTTTTCGTAGGGCCCAGGTCTCTGAGGTGTATGTTAATGCGGGAAGAACAGCGGAATCGAAGACATGTGCCTGGAGTTGGAGGTTCTTTGTCCTCTTAGCTATTTCTTCGACATTCTTGAAGGCATTCCAAGCCGCTCTCTTCCTCCTGTGCAACTCAGGTGCCAGATCATTCATCATGTTGAGTTCTCCACCTAGGTACACATAACTATTGCATTTGGAGATGTCATTCTGTTGAGAGCGAATGGAACATCAGGAACGAGACCGTTTCTCATAAACACTGTCTTTGTGAGATTCAGCTGTAGCCCTGCTTTTCCACACTCACGGTCGAAGTCGGCCAGCATTTGTGCTGCTTGGCTAATGTTTGGTGTTATTAGAACGATGTCATCAGTATCACTACCCAGCCGCTGTCACGCTCCAGGCTGCTTAGTGGTCGCAACACATCATAACACACTTAATACCCATCTTCCAAGAGTATCGCACCATATTTGATGGGGTTCAAATATGGTTTGAACCTTGGGAACACCTGCAAGGGTGATTAGAGGCCACCCTAAAAGCCTCTATCCCTCTCAGAGAGGTTGGCAAGCTACCGAGAGTATCCCGCCTGCACAGCAGAGCCTGGCAAACTATCCCAAGAACACAAAAACACTAATTCGAACAGATCTAGGTTCACTGCAGTGCGTGGTATAGTACTAGGATATGGAAGCAACCCAAGTGTCCAGCAACAGATGAACAGATTAAGGATTTGAGGGATATATACATGTGGAACACTATGAAGCTGAAAGAAATGATCAAATCTTGCAGCACACTGTGACTGGGATGGAACTGGAGGGTGCTGTGTTAAGCAAAGTAAATCAAAGCAAGGAGGGAAAACAACACTGGCTGATCTCATTCATTCTGTGGTAAACAGAGAAACAAGGGAATAAACACTTATAAATGATGGCAACCCCCTGGCCATCATTTACAGGACTGATATTACCAAGCTGGGGAAGGGGAATGGAGAGTGGACAGAAGGACAGCGGTGGGTCTTGAGCACTTTGGTGGTGGTGGACTCAAGACCACAGATAGTAACAGGGCTGTAAACTCACCACCTTAACTGAAAAAAAAAAAATTGGAAATTGTAAGTAAATAAATAGGCCGCCAGAGCTGCTGACAACCGTTTGCCAGAACGCATGGAAACGCTCACGAGGTAAAGAACTGAGGGCAAGGCTGCAGAGAGAGCACAGGGAGTAAAGCCTCCCAGGTGGCCAACACAGTTCAGATTCCAGGCACCACACAGGGTCCATGAGCTCAGGAGTGAGCCCTGAGCACAGGTAGGAGCAGCTCCCTGGCCTCACTCTGCTGGGTGTGGCCCAGAACAAACAAGACACTGAGGATAGTAACTCCAATTACTGTTACACCTGTTCCGATCCAGTTACACACAGGCTATTATCATCACATTATGAAGACCACATAAGGTCATGGAAAAATCAAGATCTAAATTGGTTCCTCGGCACAATCAAAACTCTATTTAAAAAGCAACATACATGAAAGACACAGATCTACTACCAAACGTTACCTCTGTGTGGCAGATTTCAGTTTTCAAAACGTCTGCATTATCTCAATAAGGTATTTATTAATATGTAGAATTTACATTTTCCAAATTTTCTAGGACATGTGTGTGGGAATGTTTTTTTCAGCCCTTGCCACATCTTATCTAACAAAGAAATGAAGGAAGCACAGTTCCAAACTAGAGGTAGGTTTCTAGAATCAGTGTTTAAAGCATAATCACATTAAGCATCCAAAGGCAAAAACTAATGCCTTTAATTCATCAATTAGGGTACACTCAGTATGTCTTGGTAATGTTTGCTTTAAAGCATCACACTAATGTTATGACCCAATTTTAATTCCTCCAAAACGACTTTCATTTAAAAGTAGCACAATGTGAGAGATCTTTTCCTAATTAAATAGTAATTTTGCCATGAGTTTGAATGTTTATGAGATGACTTAATTCCCAGACCTTCAGCTCGCTCCTATTAATGCCAGGGGAGTGGCGAGTCACTGGATGTGAAGCCCGCAGCCCCCATGGTGAGCCCGCTGCAGAGCCACGTGCCTGCAGTTGACAGCTGAGGCCTGACGCATCCCTGTGTGGCCCCTCGGTCCTGCTGGGGGGCTCTGTGAACTTCCCAGGGGTCGCTCAAACTGAGAGGCTGGGCCATGTGCTCTGACTGCGGCCAGCCCTGTGGCTGGCTGACCCACGGTCCACGCTGCCGGCTTCTGGGACAAACCCCCTCAGTGGCCATGGGCACAAGTCATCTGCTACCAAGTTAGGCAGGAGCTGGGATATTTCTAGGGCGGCAGGGAAGATTCCCGGGAACAGGACACCACTGTTTAATTTTGCAGCTGGAAGCCTTGAGAAGGAAACAATAGCCTCAGCCTTTACCAAAATGGATTAAAGAGAAAAAAAAAATTATATATCCCTCTGACAGGTAATCCTTGAAACCCCAGAATTCTCGACACAGCAAGGACCGAGAACAATGTGCCTGGCTAGTGGGGGGAGCGGTTCCCATGGACGGAATCTAGGTTACGAAGATGCCGCCCGGGAAGCCGAGAGCTCTGAGTGCTGGGATATTCCCCGCAGCACTGTTTGCAGTTATGAAATCTTGGAAATGACTTAAATGTTCCGCAACAGGGAGACATCAGGACAAGCGCCGCCCGGCTGTGCCGGGGGCCAAGCTGAGAGCTGGGTAACAGCAGAGCACCAGGCTCACGAGTGCAAGGGAGCACCAGATGAGCACCGTGCCGCCTGCACCCACACCAGACACAGGGCAAAAGGCAAAAGGGCAAACGCAGTGCTGCCAAGGCAACTCAGGGTCGGCGGGGCGGCTTCAGAGAGCACTGTCCTGAAGAGCTCATGGCTGCCGGGAGGACACAGGAGAGACACCAAAGTCACACCTCGAAAATTCCAAGTGAAAACAGCCACGGTTGAGGCGGCAGACAGGAGGAAGGGTAGAAAACAGTGGGGCGAGGGCTGCGGAGATCACCCAAAGGGCTGGAGCCCAAGGCCCGCTAAGCACAGAGATCCTCATCTGGTCCCCAATGCCAACAGCTGCCCGGGCACCAAGGAAAATAGGTCTGGAGGCTCCCAGCACCGCCAGGGAAGCCCTGAAAGGAAAAAGAAAGGCAAAGAAGAAGGGGCCAGAAAGAGTACAGCACCCTGTGTGCAGCTGACCCTGGTTTGGTCCCTGGCATCCTGAGCACCACCAGGAGGAATTCCTGAGAGCAGAGCCAGGAGTAAGCCCCGAATACTGCCGGCGGGGAAGAAAAAAAAAAAAACATTAAAAAAAAGAAAAAGACTGGGTATGGTGCCGCCAACAGGCCGATCTGTACCTGTGAGGCGAGTGCATCAGCAGCCTGTGGCGCCTTCAGACTTCCAGATACCCCAAAATTGCTGCTGTGCCTTTGGCCAGACCCCAAAAACTTGGGGCAAAGTTTACCAAGAAAGTAAACGGCCAAATGTTAGGTATGTGGGAGACACACCCACAAACCACCTCCGGCTCAGCTATATAATTGGAGGCATGGCCTCTCTGGTTCCTGATCGAAATGCTTAACAGCCATGATCCCAGAGACTCAGAAACAAATATCGAAACCCAATGGCTTTTGGCAAATACATCCTGTCCCTGCAGTAGGTTACCGGCCCTGGGCCATCAAAGGTGGGAATAGGTTTTGGGCCTTGGCCTGTTCCCCCTGCCGGCCCGGTGGCCGTCATCCTCCAGAGGCCACTGGACAGTCAGGTTTGGGCCCGCAGTGACGAGACACGTGGGGCCTCATGAGATGGGGGTGGAGCCGGCCTTTTCCTCCCCACCCAAATGAGACCCTGAGTCGCTGCCCAAAAATGGCCTCTCTGGTTCCTGATCAGACTGCTTAACGGCCATGATCCCAGTGACTCAAACAAATCTCGAAACCCAGCGGCTTTTGCCAGAAATGCATCCCGAACGCACAGTAGGTTACTGTTGCCGAGCCACCCCAGGGGGGAAAGGGTGCTGTTCCTCCTCCTGCTCTCCCTTGGCGGTTCGGTGGCTGCCATCCTCCAGAGGTCATTGGACAGTCAGGTTTGGGCCCTCAGTGACGAGACACATGGGGCCTCATGGAATGGGAGTGGAGCCGGCCCTTTTCTCCCATTCCCAACAAGATCCTAAGTCACCGCCCACAAACGGCCTCTCTGGCTCCTGATCAAGCTGCTTAATGGCCATGATCCCAGAGAATCAGGAACAAATCTCAGAACCCAGCAGGTTTTGGCAAGAAATCCCTCCAGATTTAATTGTTAAAATTTCGGAATTTCAAAATCACGCGGCCACTACTGCAGCCACGCAACATATGTTATTCATAACCAGCAATAGAAAACAAATTGTCTATTGTTGCCTTTTCGGCAGATCTGAGTTTTGGGGTAAAATCTCAAATAATAATGGTGGGTCTGGTGTCAAAATACTGAATGTCATCAAAGTAGAGAGAGAGTAATTTGGAAATCATCTGCCCCACAGGTAGGGGGAGGGTTTGGGGTGGGGGTATTCTGGGGGTTTTGGTGGTGGATAATGGGCACTGGGTGAAATGTACGGGTGTTTCATTGTATGACCGAGACTTAAACCCGAAAGCTTTGCACTGCTCTCACGGTGATTCAATAAATAAAATTATAAAAATGGGGGGGAAAAAAGTAAGGTGGAGTTCATGCACATGCACAATTCAATCAGCCTAATCAGTGGCTGAATAAATAGCAGTACTCCTACATAAAAAAAAAAATAAAAAGAACAGATAAAAGGGACAACAGGTAGAGAAGAGAGACATGTCCCCGGTCACAACAAGGACGGGAGGGCCTGCAACATGCCTGTCCACCAGCTCAGTGTCTCCTCGCTAGTTCTTCAAGTTGGCCCCGTCCACAAGGAACTATGAGTGGTCTCGGGGGTTCTTAGAAAGGGGCCGAATTTCGAATTTTCGATGATCAACGGGAGGGCCTTTTCTATCAAAGAGGCCAAGTTGATAAAAGTGCAGAAGCTGGTGGAAGGGGAAAACAACACAGCCTGCCCTCAGCTCAGAGAAGGCAAGTGGTTGAGTCAGAAACATCGGAGACCATGGAGAGGCACACAAACCTGGGCGGGATCCAGCCAGGAGTCTATCCCAGCGGACACCTGCCTTCCATACTAAGCTGGTGTCAAGTAGCAGCTATGCTCCGAGCTGCACCTCTCTTGGGGCCCTACAGCGCCCTTGGACACCACTGATGCTCCACCCCTATCTCCCTGACAGACTATCCCGCTGAAGTTTCATTCGAAACCAAAAAGCAACAGAACCTCCTGCCCTTGAGCCAGGCTGTCTTCACTGGGGCACTTCAGAGGGGGGAGCGGGTTGAGTTTCCCTCCCCACCCCCAGCAGAACCCCGGCAGCCAAAAACCTCCAGAACCAAGCCACAGCCATGCTCAAGGCCGCTCTCCACATGCTGGGACGAGTCTCACCCATGAAGGAACTGGCAGAGGAACCCAGGTATGAGGGACCCGTGCTGAGATCTCCAAGCCTGCTCGGAACAGGACTGGGCCTCCTCCAGCCCAGATCCCCGGTTTTCCAGCAGCTTGGCAGTCACACCCACAAACTGCCCTGGGTGCCACATAATCTCATCAAGGGCCAAGATCCAGAGACTATAAAATGAAGCTCCTGGAAGAGAGCAATGCAGTATTTCCTGGAGTGAGCGGCCACACTTGTGGCCAACGCGACCTCTAATACTCTAGCCCACTGATGTACCTAAAGTAGCACACATTTGTTTGGTTTTAACATACTTGCTTGTATTTTCTTACATAAGGGCTTAAATGGCCCCAGAATGAAATGCAACAACCTTCACACACTTCCCTCTTATTGTGGTGGGAAGATGCTCACTGGTGGGGTGGGTGTTTGAATATTATCTGTAATGAACTATTGTGAACTTTATAAAAATAAAATGCATCAAAATTGCAAAAAAGAAAAAAGGAAATAAAAAAGCAAGGGCTGGGGAGGAGAGGGGGAAACAGAGGGTTCACAATGCCAGAAAAAAAAAATGTTAAGTTTTTGAAAACCACTGTTGGATGCCATCCGGTTTCAGCGAAGAGCTGGCAGACGTGCCGGCGGCGTCCGAGGCATGTTGGATACGAGGTCATTCTCAGGGCTGTGCAAACAACCCACAGGAAGAAAAAGACGAGGATGTCTGTGAGCCAGAGTCTACACCAAGGATCTGTGATTTATAGACCAGGGAATAAATCTAACCCACTTCCTGTGCTGGGAAAAATCGGTTTACTGGGTCACAGTCATGTTTTCTCCTTTCCAAAGTGTCCATGGTAGCTTCGAAGCAGCACCAAGGACCAGCACTGCACAGAGGCTCAGTCCAGTACTCACTGAGTCAGCACTGCACATGTGTACTGAGCCGTGGTCTGTGCACTCTTCGTGACCTCAGTTTCTCAAGCTCTTCCAAACTGCGCCCCCTTTCTGACCCTGTTTCCTTCCGGTGGCCCCCACTTCTGTGATTTTCACCCCTCTAGCTCCTGATTGAGAAATGCTGGTCTCGACTCTCCCTGGAACCCACTGATGTATTCGATTATATACTCTAAGCCAGGGCTGCTGCCCAAAGGGGACAACCAAGAGTGCAAGGGCCTAGAAGACCAAAGGGGGGGCCAGAGGTGGGTGGAGCTCTACAAGGCTAATGCCACCACCTGAGCCCAGGGCTCCATCAGCAGAGGCAGGACAAGGAGCGGAGCCAACAGGCCGAGGGGTCACACCAAAAAGAAGCCCAGCAGAGCCATTACATTATAGAACGACCAGCACCGGGAGCTGGGCCCACTCAAGGACCCGCAGGGGTGAAGGCAAAAGTCATGAGGCTGACGCTGCCTCAGGAGGTCCCAAAGCAACCATAGGTAGTGAACCACATGTGGCCTTGGGGCCGGAAGTCTGTCCCTCTGGGATCTCGCTCGCTTGCTCACTCACTCACTCACAGATTCTCCTGCCCTCAGTGCTCACCCTGAGAAAGAAGAGTGTTGGGCCCCAGAGAAGTCTTCTCCATCTCGCTGTCTGGCTTCTGGTCTGGTGAGGACGACGACTTCTCCGACGTGTCAAAGTCAGACAGAGCTTGAGACACGGAAGGTCCAGGAGACTCAGGCAGAAGGTGCTGGTAGGTGGTGCTGGTCTCTTCAACCCTGGGCCACAGGGGCAGAACGAGAAGTCACTCGAGGAAAGGACTCTGGTTTAAGAAACCCTGAGATTATGTGGCCGTGGAACCGTCCCCACACTCGCAGCTCTGCTCTACATCCCTTTTTTGTTTCTCTGGGGCATTAAAATACAAACAAAATGAAAGGGCACGAGTTGGGGCAGCTGGTGAGGGTGGTCGGCCCTGTGCCGGCATTCTTTCAGCACACTGTGGGAAGTCGATCCAAACCCACAAAGCGGCATTACGGGCTTGAAGATAGTGAAACCCATGGGGTCCCTGAGCCAGTCCCACTATCATCACACGGTCATCAACCTGCATTTTCCAAAGGTCACCTAAGACTTAAGGAAGAAGACCCAGACATCTGGAAAAAAAACCCACAGGAATCGTCATTACAGATATGCTTCTTCATTGAAGCTCCTTCTCCTCCCCACGCCCCCGATTTTCCTATTACTTTGTGTCTCATTATTCATGGGCTCAGACAACAGCAAAGACGCCAGAGCGGCAATGCATTCCCGAACAGGTAAACACCAGACACGCCGTCGCTCGGACAGCGTGACGAATGGGTGGCCCAGCTACTGTCTCGCAGGCGGATGGAGTGGGCCAAGGGCACCCACTTCATTAGCTTGGGAGTGATCCACGTTGAGTGCTAGGTCAACAATGGAAAAAGGCAGAACGGAAGGAAAAGAAACCCGTAAGAAACGCAACAAACAGGAGACATGCGGCTGAAGAGTAGCAAGAGGTCCACTGTGCCCCTCCAGCATGCTCCAAGCAACAGCCTGAAGGACCGTGGTCTTTCAAGGTGGCCCGCCTGGCTGTGCAGAGTCAGGGCTGACCTCCCTCCGAGTTGCCTCTTCCCGTACAACTGAATCTGAGGACCGGCCCCTGAAGCCTGGATCCCAGCCTTCTACTCTCATCCTTTTGATGTCAGCCGAGTCTGCACCCTGGGCAGCTTCCTCCCCTCTCCACAGCCTACCACTGGGTCGGGATCCTTTCCTTTTCTGACGGAAGAAGAAGGCTGAACGGGGGAGAGGGGTTCTGAAAAGAGGGAAACAGGAGAGGGGTACTGCACCGAGCTGAACTGACTGAAATAAATGCCCCTCTAGGAGCCGTGATACTTCCCTGCCTACTGGTTCAAATAAAGCTGGAGGCCTTGATGATGCCAATAAAGTTGAAAACTCTGGACCCTGGGCTGGTCTCTGTTTCTTTATTGTATCCCTGAAAGCCCCCCAAAGGAGGGCATGAACAGCACTCAGAACCTTTAACAAAGAAACCAAAGAGGGTCTGACCTCGGCATTTCCAGGTGGTCACAGAAGTAAGCTAAAGAAGCACACGACCCACTAATTCCATGAACTCTCTGCAAATAACTACATGTCAGATCCCTGGGGGCTGGGGAAGACTGAGATATTTAAAACACTACCTCAAAGCAATGTGGAATTAGAGTCCAGGGGTTACAGGACCACGGATTCAAATTCAAGCTCCTGCGCTCTCTGCCCCTCAACTCTGACCCTTCACACTCCACCTTCTCCAATGCAAAGAACAGTGCTGATCATGTCAGATTAGAGGTAGTGAAGGTGCCAACACCCAGGGTAGTACCGGGTACCTAATCAGTACCCAGTGGACACAGAAAGTGCCTTTCCTTGTTTCAAGGAATTCTGGCAGTAGAAAGAGAAATTGGGAAGTATTCTCAAAGCCACGTGCTAAATGCTGGAATTGCGTGAGTAGCGAGGTGCCCAGCACTGTCCGGACAGTGGCAAGGAGAGATGGGGAGTCGGGAAGAACAGGCGGCTCTGGAGAAGGATTTTCAAGGACAAGAGAAGAAGGGTCAGTGTGTATGGCTTTGCGTCCAGGTCAGGCCTGGACAGGAGGATGGAGGGGAATGCTGGGCAACACTGAGAAGGGCCCCCAGAGGCAGGCTCCGGAGTCGGGGCTGGACCCTATAGGAGGCCAGGAGGCGAAGGGAGGAAGGACCATGTCCTCAGCACCAGGTCCCCTGGCAGAGCAGTGCCACGAGTGTTCTGAAGCCACCACACGCATGTGCCCTTGGTTCCAAGCGTCACTGTCACTTGGCCAGGCCTTGATGCTTTACTTCAAGCAGGTAAGGAGGAGGAGAGCACGTGGAGCAGGAACACGGACACACCACATCTGCCAAGTCTTATCAGGGCTGGACACTCACCTCTCGAGCTCTTCGTTCTGGGGGTTCATTTCCACTTCCGCTACTTTACCTGGAAGCAGAAAAAAATAAAATAAAAATACCTTAAGCAGAAAAACTTCTTTGGTTAAGTATCCCCCAATAATCTCCCACAGAAGTACAGTTCCACTCGTTGACATACTTGCTCTAACAATCCTGAATGTGAGAAGTGGGATCACCAAGGATCTAATGCAGACTATTAGGGTCTCTTCGGTCATTGCCCTGCCACCCGCCTTAGGAGGCAGGTGACAATGGCACTGCTCCTTGTCTGTCCCCAAATCTCTGACAATAACACTCGCGGCAGGAAAGGGCTCAAGAACAGGAAGGTTCTCGCCCAGCCCCCGCCACAAGCCCCTGCTGCCTTCCCTCCTCTACCTGCCCACCACCATTTGGTCCGACTATTCCCTCTGAACTCCATCGGAGCACTTCTCTGAGTTTGCCCAAGCAACGCCTGCTCTGTGCTGCCATTAATATTCCGCTGTCAGCATGCACAGACACCACGATCCTTCCGTTTCCTGGTTGACATTTCGGTCATCTTCAACTCTCTACTTGTGCAAATAAATGAAATAAACATCTTTGTGCATGCAGTTTTCTCTGCATCTAAATGACTTCGTTAGGAAAGCCTCTCAGAAGTGGGATTATGAGGGAAAAGGCCAGCGTCTGCAGTTGGGAGAAAGATGGAAAGAATGACGGAAACAAACTAAACCCCGGCACAGAGCTGGGTGAAAGACATTCAGCGCGCTCCTGCGTGGCATCAGTTGCTGTTTCAAAGGAAGCAGAGGAGCCCGATTTCAAAGAGGCTAACGACTTTATTTTTAAAAAGACTTCAGAACTCTGGAAATTGCAGGCTGGGACGAGCTCTTTGAAGAAACCAATGCGTGGCTAAAGGGGGGTGGGTGGGGGAGAGACCCAACCCTTCTAGAGCAGTACGTGGAAAATGAGACTATAATTAAACTGCACCCACACATACCATTTGCAAAGCTACTCCTCAAAGGAAAAGTTCTCAAGCACGGGGGTGCGGAGGGAAGGTCGGCTACAGGCTGGCACACTGGCGTGTGTCTATCATCCTCCACCTGCAAACCACCGAGTTCAGCTGCCAGGCTCCGTATTCGCTTCACTGGGCTGGCCACTCGGTGCCAAGAGTTCCGCACCACCGGAAAGGGGCTGGCAGTCACCACCCACCCCCCAAGCACTGCACCTAAGCCCCATCTACAGGAAAAGTGGAACTCCCGGCAGTCCCTGCTTCCCCTCCGCCCATGCCAGGCAGACACTCCCTCTAACGCTACCCCCAAGCTCTAGCAGGGCAGGGGACACAGCAGCCACTCTTGTCGTGTCTGGATCCTCTGGGCCGCGTCCTGACCTGAAAAGGCATGGAATACTGGTTCCCCAAGAGGTGGGGAGAGGCTTCCCGGCATCTCCAGTGGGGGGCACTCACATAGGCACCCCTCTTCCTGTCCCCTACTTTCCTCCTTTAGCGGCAAGACACCCCACTGGGTCAGACTCCAAGGCTCGGGTATGAAGTCCCGGATGGCGAGGCCACTGCCCATAGGCACACAGGGAGAACTCGGCAGGCAGAGTTCAGCTCACAGCAGCTGACATACTCAGTGGGGACAATGGGGCCCGACTGGCCCCCAACACGGCCCTCTGCCCCCATCTCCCAGAGAGCGGAGGACAGAAAGGCCAGATCCTGCTTCCCGCTCCACATCTTCGGTTCTTCTGGAGTCCATTTGCTCAGAGACCCCACAGGCCAGAGGATCCTTCAGAGCTCAGGATCTCAGCTGAAACCCACAGCCCCTGGCTCTCAGTTCCCAGCAAACCCAGGTCCACAGAAGGAAATGCCCCAAAGCCTATAGGGGTTCGGGCAATCCAGATTTACAGAAGTAGATCTTTGCGTGCGCGCGTGTGTATAAGTGTGTGTGGTGGAGGGGGTGTAGGGGAGTGGAAAGCTGGGGGCAGTCATGGCTCCGTGACCTTACTCCACCCACCCCTCACATAATAGTTCATGAAAACCAATGGAAAGGCCATTACTGTGCTATCTATGCTGTCCTAGAGACCCTGAATTTCTCCAGATGGGGGCAGGGATGAGCCTGGGTACAGGGGATCTGTTTCCTCCTGTCGGCTGGGTCGTGCAGGCTGAGCCCATCTTTCTGGACCATTCCACCCACCTGTGAGCTAGGTGTGGTGGGGGTAGCAGGATGAACAGGCTTCTAAGCCGCCCCATTCAACTGCAACCGAGCAAGAGGTAGACTAGGGTGTGGGGACTGGCCATCTGCTCCTCCACGCAGACCCCTCCCAGGCACCACCCTGTGTCAAGAAGCATCCTGAGATGCAGCCCCAGCTCCAAATCCAGAGAACACAGGGAATTCAGCCCAGCCTAGCAGCCCAGCCTGGCACAGGGATGCCAAAGCCGCCTCCTATCCAGAGGGCAGGGAAGGAGAGGGGAGGCCGGGGAGAAGAGAAAGGCAGAGACCCAAGCATGCAAGATGCCCCGCAGACAAACCCGGGACTCAACCTTGGCTGTTCAACCGCTCTGAGAATCTGAGGGTCACACCACAGACCCTTGCCCTGAGGAACACACAGACCTATGGAACCACACAGGGTGTCTGCCCCCTCGTGGAAATCTGGCCCTGTGGTGAGGAGGGCAAGCCCCAGCCCTGATCCATGAAAGAACAAAGCAGCTACTCCATCACCCTCCTTGGGTTCCACCAACGTGGCTAAGGAGAGGGCATGCATGAAGATTAAAACCTGGACTATTCTTCCAAAGAGCCCCAAAGTAGAAACCAGCTGAATGGCCAGCCCATCCACTAAGGAACCATTATATTACTCATGCCCCTAAAAAAATAAATAAATAAATAAATAAATAAATCATCTTAAAATACATTTCATCCCCAAGAACGCTTTGTGGCCACAAAAACTTATAATGTAGATTAACAATACCAATACTAGAACAAAGGAAGAGGTTGCAAATAGTCCCACTTCCACAAAAAAAAAAAAAAATAGACGTATAAAAATATACACATAGAAAAAGGCCGGGAAGTATAAACTCCAGGGTGTTCATGTTTTGCTGTACAAATGATGCAATTATATGAGTACCTGCTTATCCGTTGCTCCACAATAAACATGCTCTGCTTTGTATTAATACAAAGGAAAACTATTTAAATTTTTTAAGAACTCATGCTATGCAACTGCCTCAAATGTAAAACCGCTTTATGATAGGCCTGTTTCATAATTCAGGAGGCAGATCTCTCAGATAGCATCCAAGAAAGACCTACCTCTGTTACAGCTTATTCTCTGGGAGAAAAAAGAGCTGCTATGTTTCCTGGGACTTTCGTGCCGGCTACAGAAGGAAATCAAGGTCTGTTTGTGCTGTCTGCCAAGCGGTCGGCTTCAGCTTTCAGAAGCGACAGGAAACAAGCCATGAGGATCTCGCTGAGCGTGTCATGGTACAGAGTGAAAAATCAGCCGGGGAGTGGATAGGTGGATGGGGCAGGAAAGACAGTGGGGAGCAGAGCCCTGGGCCAGGGGCAGGCAGGCAGAGGAGACAGAGCTCGGGCCTCGGGACCCATTTTGTTCCTTACTGAAGGGAAAACTGGCTTCTTCGGAAGACCTCAGCCAGCACAGAGCAGACTTCCGGGAGCTGGGCAAAGTGCACTGGCCCTCCAGGTCCTGGGGAACGGGCGTGAGAAAAATCATTTGGAGCTGTGGGGTTCTCAAGCAAATCTGGAGGAAGCTGCTAGACCCTCCCCTGGAATTCAATGGAACACGTGCTGCCCCTCCCAGGCCAGTGGTTCTGCGCGCGTGAAGACAAAGCAACACTGGGGTCCAATGTTTGCTCCTGCCTTGGTAATTGTGATGCCGAACATGCGACTCCTCTCTGTGAAGGCAGAGTTTGTCAAGGCCACAGGCTGTGCCCGAGAAAGAAGCCCTCTGGCTTCCCACCGGTCCCCACAACAGGCACGTCCCCTGAGCCAGTTACAGGTCCCCCTTCAACTTGCCTTTTACCCTGCTGACACAGAGGAGAAACCGAGAACTATAACAGATCACCGGGAATCTGTCGACAGGCAGCAGATGGTGGAGCGACCAGTGAACTGGTTCCCATGTGAACTGGTGCTAAAAAAATGAGGGCTGGGAAGGGGTAGTCAAAGGGCTGTGTATGGGCGGGAAGGAATGACCCAATACTGCTGGAAACCAATCACAGACCAATGCAGAGGCGGGGGCGGGCTGATGAAAGCAATGATGAAAGTCTGTTGTGGGGCAGGGGTGGGGGTGGGTTTAAGAGAGAGAGGAAGCCAGAAAGTAGTGGCTGCAGAAGGGAAGGACCAATATCAGGACTTCAGAAAGACCACTGGAAAGAAGAGAAGCTTTGATTTTGGAATCACCTTAATCAGTACCATAAAATTCACTAAGAATGGGGGAGGGGGGTTTCCGAAAGTGAATACAGATTTACACACATTTAATTATACTTCAGAATAAATAGAAAGTATGGAACACACCATGACTGAATTCATACTTAGGATTTTAAACCTGAGTATAGAATCCTTAGCCGAAAAACAAGGGACAATTGTAAGGAAGTCCTGAACTTTCAGGTATGGTTAAAGTGAAGCGATTCTGGCACTCTCTGAGGGGACCACGGAATTCAGCAAAGGAGCACGTGAAGGGCTGCACTGGGGAGAAGGAAAACAGGAGCCCGGGAGCCGCAGGGCAAGAGAGATCAGGCAGGCAGGAACTGGAGGCCTAACCGCAGCGCTGTGAGAAACCACACACGCACAGATTAGTGTAGTGCTTCTGTGAACATGGCACTGTGTGTGAGTGGAGCGGGGCGGTGTGAGGGGACTGAGCTCCCTGGCCTTGGGATCTGACCCTGTCTCCTGTGAGATGGTGAGATGGGAAGTCAGCAGGTGTCAGAACTGTGGAGTGTGGGGGAAGGTCTCAAGACTTGGTGCCCACCAGGGTCAGAAGGGAAGTAAGCCACAGAGGAGGAAGGGAGACATAGAGAGACAGACCACGAAGAGCACAGCTAGTAATTTTCTACCCCGGAAGGTGAATATGGGAGGTTCTGCTTTCAGAACTGTAATTAGAAAATACTGCTTCCCGATCTGGATCATCAGAGCATGGTTGGAGAAGAGAACATCCCTGGTCTGAGGAACTGGCATCCTGATGGGGCCAGAGGAATGGAGCACGGAAGTGACAATCTAATCACTGGGCCCCGGGAGATGGTGCGAGTTAGTCCTGATAACTGTGTGAAAAGTGAAAATCTGTTGTGGGGCAGAGGTGAGGGTGGGTTTAAGAGAGAGAGGGAGCCAGAAAGTAGTGGCTGCAGAAGAGAAGGACCAATATCAGGACTTCAGAAAGACCACTGGAAAGAAGAGAAGCTTTGACGTTGGAATCACCTTAATGCTGTCCATCAATACCATAAAATTCAATAAGAATGGGGGAGGGGGGTCCAAAAGTGAATACAGACTTACACACATTTAATTATACTTCAGAATAAATAGAAAGTACGGAACACACCATCACACCATGTGTGTATGTCCATGTGTCTGTGTGTGTGTGTCTGTGTGTCCGTGTGTGTGTGTGTGTGTGTGTATGTGTCTGTGTGTAAGCACTCCACACTCACACATGTTCACCACAGCAAAAATGGCAACAATTTATATGGCTGAATGGAAGGTGGGTAGATGGGAGTTCTTTGTCATAGTTTCAAAATAATAGCAAAAGACGTTTATGTAAACCCTTTTAAATGCAGTCACATTTAAATGCCTAGAGCTTCACATTTAAATGCCTAGAGCTTAGGCAAAGGTTGGTTTCCACCCTTTCCTTATCCTTAAATGTCCTTTTTTTGGGGGGGGGGGAGGGGCTTGGTGGCTATACCCAACAGTGCTCAGGGCTTACTCCTGGCTCTGAGCTCAGGGATCACTCCTAGTGGGCTCAGGGGATCCAATGGGGTGCTGGGGACCAAACCTGGGTTGACTGCATCCAAGGAAAATGCCCCACACCCTACACTATCGCTCTGGGCCCCCTTGAATGTTCTTTTTTCACCATCAGGATTCTGTTCTGTTTGTTCTTTCCAACCGAAAACACACAAATTTCCTTCCACTATCCTGAGGGCCATCTCCTGGAGAATTCACAGGATATGGGCAGCAGTGGGGGGTCCAGGGTGAAGGGCCTGGCCCCAGGCACCCAACCTGAGCCCCAATTTGGAGTAACGTAGACAGACCACCAACCACATGGCTACAGCTTCGGGAAGGACGAGCCCCGGGCGGCTCGGAGAAGCCCCGGGTCACGAGCCAACCAGCAATCCGAGGCCCTGCAGCCCCTTTGCCCCACTTACCGCTGAAAAAGAGCGTTTCCAATTTCTTGAGCAGCTCAGCACATTGATTCAGCTGCTCCTGGAAACCCTCAGCCACAAAATAATCCACCTGGCTCGCCTGCAGCAGCTCCTTGAACGCCTTGATCATGGTGTCCATGTGTTGGCGATACACGATACAGATGCCACGGCCATCTTTGAGCTGCTGTCGGTGAAGGGACAGCTCCCTGGCTTGGGACTGAACTAATGAATCGTACCTGACAAAAAGAGGGAAAAGAGAACGCTTATATCACATTAGAATTGAATATCGGTGACCTTAACGCTAATTGGAAAAATGACAGGGCACGGTTTTTAAAGGCCTGCAGCTGTACAAGGAGGTACCGACGTTTGGAGAAATTGAAACTAGTCGGGGTCACTCCTCCTTCGATTTCAAGACAGCCCCCAAATGCTGCAACAGAGGGTCTTCTGCAGTACTTTTAACCTTGTAGAGCCCCCAATTAAAGTACAGATTGCCAAAGACTCTGGAGAACAATTAGTTTCCAAAGACTCTTCACAAATGCTATTGCAAACTGTAGAAACAAGTACCCCAAGGGTCAGGAGACCCACCGCCAATATTCATGAGGACCACGAAAGAACCTGCAAGGCAGGAAAGCCAAGAAGAAACTCCTCCCTCTCCACACAGAGGCCAGGGAATAATCAGAATCCCGTGGGCCACTTAATGAGGGTCTGTGACCTGCCCTGCAGGTCACCGGAATTGCTGTTTGCATCAGTGATCTGGGCCTCCCAATGTGCTAACGAATACAGGAACTTTACTGACTCAGAAATCACAAAATTACTCCATGGTGAAGAGCCCATCCTCAGTCCGGCCAGCAAAGTCCAGTGCCCCCCACACTAACACACTGCCCCTTCCTGTGTGGGAGCCACAGGCGGGGACGGCACTGAGAGAAACACAAGTGACAGGGAACGTGGCTCATCCAGGCCGTGGCCAGGCACACCCGGCTTCAGAGTGGCCTGGAAAAGCGTGGCCCATTCCCCCTTCCCTGCACGGGCGACCACAGGCCTGCAGCTCACATGACACCACAAGAAGGCAGGGCTGACCGGGGGGGGGGGGGGGGGGGGGGGGGGGGGGGAGGAACAAGAGCATTCAGGGGGATACTAGGAGACTGAGCCCTCGAGGGCCCTGGCCAGCCCTGGGAGTCTTCTCAGGCACATCCTGCATCACCTTTGGGGTTCAATTACCATATCTACAGAAGCCCAGCTGGGAATGCCTCACCCCCCAGCAGCTGTACAGATCCAACAGCGAAAAGGGGCTGGTTGGAGAGTCTGGCGCCACCAAGCACTCCCCACCCCGGTAAGCACAAGCTCCCTTCGATCTCGCTGCCTGGGAAGGCTTGAAACGTTCACTCTGCCTCTGTCTTAAATTAGTGATGAATGAAGGTCAACTTTTCAAACGATCCCATTCCTCCTCCCTATCTGTGGAAGCAAGCCTGGCTCTATCTATACCCATAAAACATCTCTCCGTGACCCGGGGACACTCTGCTTTCAGCAGAAGCTTATTTCTCCAAGATGACCTTCCAGGGTAAAGATAAGGGAAATATTTCTATGGTTCCTACCCCATCTAGCGCATCAGCCTGTGGGCTGGGGCTCGGGACAAGCCAATACAGGGTTTCTGGGATGAGCACTTCGATTCAGGAACAGACTGAGCCCTCTGGTGTGACTGGGACGAAACGTTTCCCCCAAATCCCCAATCGGAAGAGTGCATGACTGCAGTTTCAGGCAAACCAGCCACATTGCCCCTCCCCAGGTTCCTCTGGGGGGGGGGGGGGGGGGGGGGAGAGGGCACACCCTCAAGACTTCCATGTCAGCTCGTGAGCACCGCCCTGCTGGTGACAAGGGGTGCTACAGGCCCGTGGAACTCCCCACCCCCCACCCCCAGTCCCGCACACACCTGGATGGAGAGAGATCTTGAAACCTACTGGGCAGGTGACGGATCTCACTGAACAAGTCCACGTCCAAGTTCTGCCCCTTCTGCAACGCACAGTCCTGCTCCACCAACTGCTGCTGGAGGCTCTCGAGCACCCCATCGTCACCCATCATCTCGGGGGTCAGCGGGTGGAGGATCTGCATATGCTTCACGTAGTGGACCCGGTGCAGACTCGAAAAGGTCATCTCCTCCTCGTCGGCACTGCCCACGGACTTGCCGGCGCCGTCCTGCAGGACGGTGATGATGGCCTCACTGCACTGCGCGCGCTTCCGCAGCTGGGACAGGAAATGCCGGTAGGCCTCGTTCTCCGCCTCCAGGTCCAAGATCTTCCGCTTCAGGAAGGCTGTGTCGTCTGAGGCGTCCGACTCCTGGGTCCCGCTGCCAGTGACGGAGAACTGGCTCTTGCAGTCCGCGGAGGTCCCAACGGAAATCGGGTCGGAAAGGTCCGGGGAAGGCGTCTCTCTGTGCACCAGAGAGATGGGAAGGTCGTCGGGCTGGTGGGTCTCGGGGTCTGAGAAGCAAACACAGCAGTGTGAGGATTGCTGCGGTGACCGTCTAACTCTGCGCCCTTCCTCACAGCCGCCACGGAGCCCAGATCACGGAGCCGAGAGCCTCCTCATGAACTGTCCAGACTACATCTTTTTTTTTTTTTGCTTTCTGGGTCACACCTGGCAATGCAAAGGGGTTCCTCCTGGCTTTGCACTCAGGAATTAGTCCTGGCAATGCTCGGGAAACCATATGGGATGCTGGGAATTGAACCCAGTTCAGCTGCATGCAAGGCAAATGCCCTACCTGCTGTGCTATCGCTCCAGCCCCACATCCTGCCTTCTTACCTCTCAGCCCGTCTTCCCCTCAGAGTGAGTGCTCCAGAGAGTAAATCTGACTCAGCGACCAGCCTCCCTCTCCCCACCTAACACCTCTATCTCCACAACCTGAGGGCCACACAGAAACCCTGTCCCCAATTCTGTACTCTCCCATCACACGGAGGGGGACCCTGCTCAGAACCCCCCTCCCTGCAAACCTGGGAACAGTCCCCACAAGGAAAACCCCTCCTGGCACAGTCTTCACACCCTTCAGCCCACCTCTCACCAGCCCACCAGCCCCCTGACTCCTTGCAGGGGTCACTTGCCGCAAACACACTGCAAGCTGAGTGCTCATGCTGGAGTCAGAGTTAGTCGGTACTAAGTACAAGTTACTTGTCACTTGCAGCTGTTGGGAACCGGGAGCCCTCGCTCTCCCTCACTGGACTGCAGGTCCTTGCCTGCCCGGCCTGGTCTGACTCTTCACATTCCCGGCGTCTGCCTCGGCACCTGGTCCCAACAAGGTCCTGATCAGCTCAGGTCTGAGAAAAGCCGAGGGACCTGAGTGAAGTGCCCTGAAGGCGCAGCAGTTCCAAACACTCATGGCAGGGCAGTCTCCCCATTTCCGGGCCAGCCAGTTTCCCCACAATGTCCCCTGCCTCACAGACCTGCAGGGAACATTGCCTCTGGCCGCCATGAAGCCCCCGAGATGCAGCCCCACTGGTGTGACAGGTGGCGTAAGGATGCAGAAAGAAGGGCGAGCGTCAAAGCCAAGCGATGCACGCTCACAACCAGCCTTGCTGCTTGTAGGGTGTTACGGAGCCCGGCATCCACCAGGCACCAAGCATGCTTGGCCTCAAGCTTGGGTCTGAGTCCAGAGCTACAGTCACGCTCACACACCACTCAGCCCGCAGGGCTGGGAAAGATCCGATCAACAGGAGGAGATTTTCGGAAACTTAAAAGGCAGCAGGAGGGGTCAGAGGGATAGCACAGTGGGAGGGTGTTTGCCTTGTACGCGGCCGACCTGGTTTCGATTCCCGGCATCCAATATGGTCTCCCCAAGCACCACCAGGAGTAATTCCTAAGCACAGAGCCAGGAGTAACCCCTGGACATTCGCTGGGTGTGACCCAAAAAGAAAAAAAAAAGGGCAGCAGTAGATAATGGTGACGGGAGATACATCTCTCCGATCCACAGACCTGCTTTCTGGCTGGGACCCTGACTAGTTCACAGCCATGAGCATGTTACTTAACCTCAGTAGTTTCATCTGCAAATTGGGAAGAACATCGCTCACTGTGAGGGGCTGTGCTGGATCTGGGTTTTGGTTTCCTTGGGTTCAAATGGGACAATGATCTGCCAATAATGTGGCTTCTGGCACTTAACCGCAACCCTCCTTTGAAACTGGAAGGAGGAGGCAGCTGCCTGGTGCTGAGGGCACATGAGAGGCGAGGGGAGCTGGGGGCAATGGAGCAAAATCAACAGCACGGCCACAGGAGTGCACCATCTCTCAGAAAGGAACGGACCCCACACCCCAGGTCAGACTTCCCGTGCTGTGCGGGTTCTGCAGCTGCTCCTTGTGAGTTCCTTCTTGTCCCAGAGCTCACGAAGCAAACACCACAGACAATAAACCTTCCTAGGAGGCAGTGACTGCGTGACCCTGGGCAGGCGCGCCTTCAAACAGCCCGTTGGCAGTGAAGAACGTGTCATCATCAATAGTCTCCAGGGTCCCGCGGGGTAGCCCTGTGCCGTTCGTCTTTCCCCAGTCTCTGGCACAGAGAGAGCCTGGGGCACGAAGCATCGAGACAGGTCCGCGGGGGGCGGCGTGTAGTCGGCTGCCGAACATGCATAAAAGACACGGGGAGGATCTTCGGATCTCCGCAGGCCTCTGCCTGGTCCATCTCCCACCAGAACAAGGAAGTATCTGCCTGTGATTCTAGGAATTTCACGCCAGAAACAACGTTCACACATGGGATGCAGATCAACTCCGATGACTTTCATTAAGTAATCATGAGGGAAGGATGGATGTAAGACCCAACATCTCCTCCCGTGAGCAGCTACACACACACACACACACACACACACACACACACACACACACACACACACACACACACACACCTCTCACAGAATGAGAGGTTTTATTCTCATCGTTGCACTCAGACTTACACTTGGAACTCTACATCCTCCAGTGAAGCACACCTCATGCTCCAACATGTGTCCCGCCAGCTGTGCCCTTCAGAAGACCCCTCTTCGGCTCCCTCTTCGGGGCAGGGGTCTGACCTCTCGGCTCCCAGGCCAGGGTGAGCGTGGTGACGAGGCCCTGCTCCTGTGATCCTCCCTTGGCCCTTCACGCAGGGCCCTTGCATGTCCTCAGGGAAGGGGAGAGGAGAGGGCGCGACGGCAGAGGACTCCATGGGAGCCTGCGCAGAGCAAGACCTCGGGACAGACGTCACCACTCTGAGCGCCTCTCGTCCAAGCAGGCTCAGTCTCGGCCAAAGTCCTATGTGACAGCTCTCCTTGCGCAGGCGAGGAAACTGAGGCATGGCAAGAGTAGAACTTGCCCCAAGTTCCAGGTGAGTGGCCGTAGGGTGCTCGCAGAGCTTGGCAGCCCCCTGCACCTCTGGGGCCTTCCATTCAGGAGGAGTGCAGATGCAACAGCCCCGGGGTGCAGACATGGGCAGGTCTGTGGACCCCACTCACCTCAGCTATACCCGGGGTGGGGGGTGGAGGTTACTGAAGAAGAAAAGGGGTGATGGTGAGCGCCGTCACCAACCAGGTCAGATCCAGAACCAAACACAGGGGCTGAGGAGATGTCTACATCAGTGGGGGAGTCAGGAGGGCCCCTCCCCCAAAAAAGCAAGAGGCATTTCAAAAAAGATTTAAAAGCTTAAGGCACCAGCTGGGCCTCCACAAGAGCTGGGAACTTGGGGCCGGGCGGGAGCGGGAGCCAAGCTCAAGAGAAAAGGGAAGCGCTTCGGCAGTGGGGCACCAAGAGAGCTGAAGCCTCGCCTGGCCCCGGTGCTGGCAAACCCTGCACACTGCTGGCACTGCTCTACGGCCCCTCTGCCCCGGGGAAGCTGTGTCTCACCAAAGCCAGGCACACTGCAGCCGCCGCACTCACCAGCGTCCTCAGGAACCCGGCTCAGGGCTTGGAGGCTTCCCCCCTGCCCCCAAGCCTGGGGCTCTCATGGTTCGTCCACGGGGAATTTAGAATTCCCGAGGGAATTATTTCTCAGGGAGTGAAACAGGCCAGCTAGCTGTGCTTTCCGCCTTGTCTTTTGCTTTTCTTTTTGGGTCACACCCGGCAATGCTCAAGGGTTCCTCCTGGCTCTGCACTCAGGAATCACTCTTGGGAGCTGTGCAATGTGTCATTCCTGCCTCTCTCCCAGTTTACCAACCCCTCAGAGTCAGAGATGGAGGTCAGTGAGAAGTAAATATTTGCTCAATAGAAATGAACCCAACAGAGAAAGGAGTTTTTGTTGTGGGGGCGCGGAGGGAGGTCTGAGACATATAGTCTAAATTCTGGTCATGCCAAGCAGCGCCCTTTTGCCTTTCGCCCTCACAGACTGCGCCCATCCTGCTCACTGGTCCATGGGAGGTGGCTGAGCAGAGGTTTGCAACCTTTCTGCATCTGCGCACTGGTACCAGTCTGTGGATAGGTGGTCAAAGACCACCGATGTCGGACTTCCTTGAAGCAGACTTTAAAAGGCACTGCAACAATTGATAGTCTTTTGTTGGTTTTTTGTTTTGTTTTGTTTTTTTGCTTTTTTAGTCACACCTGGCAATGCACAGTTACTCCTGGCTCTGCACTCAGGAATTACTCCTGGTGGTGCTCAGGGGACCATATGGGATGCTGGGGATCGAACCCGGGTCAGACGCGTGCAAGACATATGCTCTACCCGCTGTACTACCGCACTGGCCCCTTCTTTTTGTTTTTAAATAAAGGCCAGAAAGGACAGCAGAGAGCTAGTAGAGAGGGAAAGGCGTTTGCCTTACACATAACCAACTCAGGTTCAATTCCCGGCACCCCCTTTGGTCCCTCGAGCCCATCAGTCGTAAGCCCTGAAAATCACCAAGAATGCCCCACCCCCACAAAAAAAGAAACAAAATAATAATGATGATTGATAATGATAAAAGGTAGAAAGAACATAACATAGAAAAGAAAAACTGTAAGCCTTCGTTCTTTCTGACTGAACAAGGACATGGTAACCTGTTGTGCTCTACTTCATCACTGCCTGTGTGCTTCTAATACCTCCTAACCGCGAGAGCAAAGACATACAGCTTGCCTGGTCTCACTCACACATGCACTGTTCCCACTGACCTTTCTGGGGGCCAGCTCGGGCCCCACCTCAACAGCAGCCACGGCCGGAGGGACACCGGCTGCCACAGGGCAGGGCGTGAGGAGGTACCAGGTGGTGGGGGCAGCCTAGGTTCTCTCAGGCAACAGCTCCAGGACCAGCAGCTAGACAGGGAAGCAACAGACCCTCCCCCAGGCCTGGAAATCTGACACACAGACGTCTGGCTACCCCCCAATTGAAGTCCCTACTTCCCGGGGAGGCGACCCTGGGCCAGGCCTTTTCCAACCCCAGCTTCTCCGTGGATTGACTGAGACAATGACAACAGCCAACACGGCTGCTGCAGGATTTAGTAATGAGTGTGCATGTGTGTTTGTGAGTGTGCAAGTGCATGTGCATGTGTGTATGTGTGAGAATGTGTTCACGTGTGCATGCGTGCACTGTGTGTGCGTGTGCGTGTGCATGTGCTGGGGACAGGGGCAGGGATTGCTCCCAAGTAGTGCTGAGGGCAGAGGGGCCCCTTCCAGCCAACTGGATCTGGGGTTCAATGCAAGGTCCTGAGGCTGGCGCTGCTGGGACCTGTGGTGCCAGGGGCTTATGGGGCAACCCCCCGCCCCCCACTATGCCAGGGGCTTACAGAGCCACGCCAAGTGGTGCTTGGGGCCTCCAGTGCTGGACTGGTGGTGCCGGGGCGGGAGGGGTTTCAGGATATTCCTGGTGGTGATCGGGAGGGCATCCCAAGGCTCAAACTCGGCTCAGCCGCATGCCAGGCTTGCACCCTAACCATTGTTCTATTCCCTGGCCCCAGTAACGACTTTTTATAGGAAACATCCCAATGGTGCCGGGCACACGAAGCTTCCCCAAACCCACAGGACAGGAACTGACCTGTCTCGTGGCTGGATCGCTGACCATCGTTCGCCACCTTGTCCGTCCAGACAGAGGGTGAGGTGCTCAGTCCTTTCTGCTCTCCTGGGCTCTCCTGGTACGCTGCTCCCACAAAGGGCTGGCCTAGGGCACACACACAGAGGAAGAAAAATAAAGAAAACCACAGGCTGGAAACTCGGCCAGGCAACTGCAAGGAACGCAAAGCTACAACAGGGAAAATAAAAGCACTGGGGAGGCAAAATGCAATTTGTAAGATAAAATTAATCCATCGAGCTGCCATAACAGGACATAAAAGGCATAAATATACTGCAGCTTGTCTAAAATGGTTTAAGTCCCGGCTCTTAAAAAACTGGGAGTGAGAAAACGAATTCCAGAGCTTCGAGCCCACTTTCCACACAAGGTCCCCGGGGCTACCGGGCAACCGGCTGAGGCGCTTGGTGTCTCAGCAAGAAACGCGGGGTGGGGTGCAAATGGTGACTCCCCCCCCACCACCACCACCCTGGGTCAGAGTGCCAGGGCCTCACGGTGGGCTGCATCACCCCAGCCAAGAAATCATTTCGCTCAGAAATTTGGTCCCCAACACCTGTCTTGCACCGGTAGCTCTAAGCTAGCTCAGTCCATCTGTCAGTTTGTCTCTCTGTCAGTTTGTCTCTCTGTCTCTGCCTCTGTCTCTCTCTCTCTCAGACACACACACACATACACACACACAGAGACACGCTACACATGGTGCACACGGCTGAAAACACAGACAGACAGTAGTATCAGATGCCTGGGTGGACAGATGGTAGAATGAGAGAAGGCGGCTTCCGGAAGGGGAGAGAACAGAGCAATCGCGCCCAAGCCCAGCTTGGCCAGCAAGGCCAAGCCAAGAGGAGACACGATGGCAGAGAAAATGTCTCTGCTGGAGCCCAGGTTTTGGGGAAGAGTGGCCCGGGCCTGCCTGTGCGGATGGAGCTCGGGGGCCAGAGAGAGCTAGAGGAGCTAAGCCACACTGTGGCCCCCGCTGCAGCTTCCCCCGGGGACCAGGCAGGGACGACAACTTCCTCCTGCAAGGACAGCCAAGGGCATGGCCTGAGAGGTGCCTTTCGAGGGGCATGATGAGGGCTTGGGGAGTATCAGGAGTTATTCCAGCTGCCGAGGGCGGCACAAGGCTCCCATCATTGCCCGCCCCTGAGCTCCCCAACCCCCCTAGGCAAAATCTCAGAAAAATCTCAATCTACCTAATCCCGCATCTCACGCCCTCATTCTGAGTGGGTGGGAGTGGTGAGGCCCTGACCCCTCCTTGTTCTCACAGATCATTTATTTGCTATCAACTCACTGTCCTTTTCTACCTCACCCTCTTACACACACACACACACACACACACACACACACACACACACACACAGAGGAATGTGAGTCAAACAGAAATTTTTGCCTATCTTCTTCACTGTCTCCCCGATGCCCAGAAAATGCTTGGCAGGCAAAGATCAAAACGTGCTCTCTGAGCAAATCCAGAGAAGGCAGCTCTCGTGCTGGCAGTCAGCAATTCCGACCAGGAGGCAGCAGTCGCCGGCTCCCGTGGGTGAACTGGCGCCCCCGCGCGGCAGACGTGCCTCCCTGCAGCATCCTGGGAAGGCCCTCCGCTTTCTCCACCGCCTGGAGGGGCGGAAGGGAAGGAGAAAATCTGTCTGGGCTAAAAGACACCCCCGGGGCACCCCCTCCAAGTCTTGGGAATTCCCCCCCCCATACTTTTAATCCTGGGGCTCCCTTTGGGAAGCCCCAAGGGAAGCAGGGACAGTCTTCCAGAGGAAGGCTTCAGGCATGATGAGTACTCCCAAGGAGCCCCAACTAGGCAGCCTGCCTGGAAGAGACAAATACATGCCCTCCTGCCACACATCTGAGGGCTCCGTGGATGAAGCCCCCAAAGCTGGATTCCAGCCATCACACACCCAGGTCACCCACCAGCAACTCCCCGAGAGCCCCACATGTCCCCCTGATCCAGACTCCGGGGCACAGAGCAAACACCCAATCCACTTTCCCCATCGCCTTCCTGCCACTGTGGGAAGATGAATCGCTGTGATCACGTGGCACTGAGACACAAACCCACCTGACCTCCACGGCTGACATTTCCAGCGCTGTAGGCGGGCAGAGGGTCGGTTCCTCCCTCGGGGACTTACCGTTCCGGAGTGGCTGCTCTGCTGCCGGGCTCCCCTCCATCATGGCCTCAGCCAGGATCAACTTCTGGTGAAGGTGCTTGTTACGGATTTTAAACTCCTTCAGCTCCCCCTGCAGTTCCAAGACCTGGCCCTGCAGCTGGGCCACCAGGCGCTGGGTGCCCGGGCGCCGGTACATACTCCCCAAAGAGCGGGACGTCTTGATGGGGATGGGCAGGCGGGACTTCTTCGAATTCTGCAAACGCAAAAGGACGCAACAGTGAGTGCCCGGCTTTTGGTCTCGTGGTCCCATCCCACACTCTCAGGCCGGCCCCGTAAAACGGGACTTGAGCAGTAGCCCGGGCTTCCAGTGGCCTCGAGACTTTTCCCCTAAACCCGCAGTCTGCATCCTGCAGACCCATTCTGACTGATGAGTACCAAGTTTGGCTCAGTACCATCTCGGTCCTGGCCCACGGTCTTTCTGGACAGCCCAGAAGCTAATACATGCCGAGCCTTTCCCCCACAATCTCTTGGGGGACATCTGCTTGCTTGTTTATTTTCCTCGTATCCCATACGTATAGTCCTCATTCTAAGTCCCTCAGCCTCCCGTCCCTGCTAGTCCACCAAGACCACATCAGCCCCCGCCTCCAAAAAAAGAACTTTTATTTATTTACTTATTTTGGTTTTTGGCCCACACCCAGCAACGCTCCAGGACCACATACGGTGTGGAGATTAAACTCTGGTTGGCCACATGCTAGGCAAGTGCCTTCATCCCTGTTCTATCTCTCTGGTCCCACACTAAAGTTTTCAGTGACTACTGGGTCAGTGATCCAGTGGGTATTTCCTGGGCGTCTGGTGGGTTTCTTCTGGAAATCATCACTTGGGGAAGAGGCAGAGTTTGGGCTATCCTGGTGGCGCTCCTGGTTTTGTGCTCAGAGGCTAACTTTTGACTTGTTTCTCTTTTGGGCCCCCTCCATCAGTGCTCCTATCTCACTCCTGCTGTGCTCAGAAATCACTCCTGGCAGTGCTCAGGGGACCATATGTGGAAGCGGGGATTGAACTGGGGTCAGGTATGTGTGGCAAGCGCTGTGACTCCAACACTCTCTGTCCAGCCCCGACATCTTCATTTTTGATGGCTTTCACCCAGAATCGGCTCCATACTCCGGTGTGCCTTCCCCACGCGAGACCCCTCTAACAGCCTCAAACCTGGACTCCACTGTCCAGCTCCTTTCATGCCCCCTTTCCCCACTCACCAAGTTCCATTAGCTGCAGATGTACGTTGCCTCTGAATTCTCCCCCTGTCCACTGCAACCGCCCAATTCCCTGGACACGGCAAGCTCGCACCGCAGCCATGGCAACACCCTCTGAAGCTGTCTCCTCACCTGCCCTCTTGCCATTTCCAATCCACACTTCACACCACCGCACAAAAGGCAACCCTTTCCGAATCCCTCTCCTCTGCTTAGAAACACCTTAACTGCTTCCCTGTTCTCTCAGACAAAAGGGCCAAGTCCTTACCGCAGTCTACGTACTAGGTATGACCTGCAGCTGAATTCAAAGATGGGCAAAGGATCTGACAGATGTTTCCCAAAGGAGGGACAGACACAGCCAACAAGTGCGTGGAAAGATGCTCCACTTCACTGGCCATCAGAGAAACAGAAATCAAAACACAATGAAGTCTCACCACTTCCTGTCCCGTAGGACAATACCATTTAAACAAGTTAACTGTTGTGGGCAAGGATACGCTAAACTGGATCTTTCACGAGTGGCTGGTGGAAATGCAAAGTAAGTGGTCATTTTTCAAAAGTCTGGCAGTTCTTCAAAGGGTTAAAAAAAGACAGTTACTATATGACCTAGGAATTCCACTCCTACACATATACCCAGAAAGAATAAAAAGGCATGGCCACTTGGGGCTGGAGCAAGAGTACAGTGGGTAGGGCATTTGCCTTGCACACGGTCAACCGGGGTTCGATTCCCAGCATCCCAAATGGTCCCCTGAGCATCGCCAGGAGTGATTCCTGAGTGCAGAGCCAGGAGTAACCCGTGTGCATCGCCGGGTGTGACCCAAAAAGAAAAAACAAAGGTTTGGCCACACAAAACCTTGTACATGAATGTTTGTGACAACATTATTCATAATAGCCTAAGGGCAGAAACAGCCCAAATGTCCACAAATTAATGAATGGATAAAGCATGGCTTATCTATACAATGGACTACTGGCTCACAATAAAAAGAAATCAACTGCTGATAAATGCTACAGCATGAATGAGCCTTGAGGACATAAGGCTCAGTGGAAGTAGACAGTTACCAAAGACAGTAAGATTCCATTTCAATGATCTATCTAGAGAGGGCAAATCTCTAAAGACAGAAAGCAGATAAGAAGTTGGCTGCAGCTGACGACTGCGAGCGGGGCAGGGGGAATAGGAGGGGACTACTAATGGGTTAAGGACTTTTCTTTCCTTTACAGGAGATTTGGGCATCGCTAAGAATCAACCCGTGGGTCTCACAATTACTACGCATGTGCTCGACCACTTGAGCCATATCCCTGGGTTCTAGTAAGTCCGCACTGGTTATCACAATAGCACAAAATAACCAATGATGTAACATCATTGGCTATTACATTATCATGCAATTTCAGGCATACAGCATTATAATTCAACACCTGTATATCACCTATACGTCACTTGACATAATTGTAACACTCAACACGACACTGGGATCATCAAGAGAGTTCACTTTCACCTCCAAACGACTGGCCCCCTCGGCTCATCTCCTCCACCCAGCCCCCTTTCCCTTGGGCAGCCACCTCTCTGTTTGCTCTGGACCCCAGAGTTTGATGGTCTGTTTATTTGCTTTCTTCTCTATAAGGTCCACATCTGAGTCAAACAATATAGTAGTCTGTCCTCTGCAATGCAGTTTACTCGGCTTAGAATAATACTCTCAAAGCCAACCTATGTAATCACAAATGATGTGATTTCTCTCCTTTATGGCTAAGTCGCATTCCTCTGTGGGCATGCCTGTGACACGCACACACACACCCCCCAACCATCTCTTCTGCATCCATTCATCAGATGATGAAGATCTAGGCCATTTCTCTATCTTGGCTACTGTTGATAAAGTGGCAAGGAATACAGAGGTGCATTTATCTTCGCAAAATTAAGTGTCCTCGGGTTCTGCAAATGAATACTCAGGAAAAGGAGGAGCTGAATCACATGAGATTCCTATTCCTCTTGGGGGGGGGGGGGGAGAAACTTCCATACTGTTTTCTGTCATGGTTGCACCAACTTACACTCCCAGTGTCTGAGGAACCCCCTTTCCCCTGCATCCACACCAATGCTTGATGCCTCTTGTCTGAGGACAGTCATCCTCATGGGCCTGGGGTGGGATCCTCATTGTTTACCTTTGCATTTCCTGGATTAGTAAGTCTGAACATCTTTTCATAGGCCAGTTCAGTGCTTCTTCCTGAGATAATGGACCTGTTCTAAAATTGGTTCTGGAGATGGTTACATGACTCTATGAATATACTTTATTTATTTGCTTTTTGGGTCACACCCAGCAATGCTCAGGGGCTACTCCTGGCTTTGCACTCAGGAATTACTCCTGGTGATGCTGGGGGACCATATGGGATGCCGGGGATGGAACCTGGGTTAGCTACGTGCAAGGCAAATGCCCTACTCGCTGTACTATCGCTCTGGCGCTATGAATATACTTTAAAAACTCCTGTGATATATACTTTGAGACCTTGTATATTTGAATAACATCACCAAAAAATGGTTTACTTTAAAAAAAAAATTGGGGAGGGGAGTTGTTTGGCCCACAACTGCTACAATGCTTGAGGACTACTCCTAGCTCAGTGCTCGGAGCTATTCCTAGGGGCTATCAGGGGACCAAGTTGTCCCAGATCTCCTCCAGCATGCAAAGGACACACTCAGTCCTCTGAGCTACCTCTCTGGCCACCAAAACTTAATCTTTTAATCAAAGCATAAAAGAAGAAACTCGAGAGGAAAATGGAAAATAGCTGAGATTCTAGAAAAGAGAAAATCACCGAGTTCTCTCGGGAAGAGCAAAGAGCCTTTCCTGCAAGCTCTACAAGGCCGATGCTTTTAAGCAACTCTGGACTCCTGGGGCACACGGTCCCACAGGATTCCCCTGCAGATGGAAACGTCAAACCACCAGCTGAGTGTCAGAGGATGAGAACATCTCTGCGGATGGCATTGCTTGGTTAGAAAAAGTCCCAACACTCTTCCATCCCGGCAGGCCGGAAGACGCAGCACGGGAAGGAAGCAGGTTTCAGGGAAGGAAGCAGCTTTCAGGGTGCTGGAGAACAGGAGGACGCAGGGAAGGAGCAAGAGCACCCAGGGGAAAGCCGGCACCTCCTCACAGGGGGCTGGAAAAACAGTGCTCATTGCTTAGTCCGCAGTCTGCACCCAGCTTTAGTCTCGAAAACAAATCCGGGCGTCGGATGGAAATAGAAAGATACCTAACGGTGCACAAACAACCAAGGCTCATTTCAGTCCGACAACCACAACTGGCTTTAGAAAACTGCTACACTGAACGCGGCCTTACAGACACGGAGCCGGGTGGCACCTAATGAAGACACGACATTTGAGGGGGTCAGCACAGCACATGCCCGGAGTGCCCACTGTGCCTGTACATCACCTCGAGGAGCGGGCACACAGGCTCTGGGGCCTGCTCACAACGGGAGCCCAAGCGGGTCAGGGTCGAGGCAGCTGCTGTCTCCGCAGCACCCATCAGGCCCCGGTGCTTGAGTGGCAGGAAGTCTCTGCAGTCTCCTCATTTCTCCCATGGGCTGCAAGGATGTTCTTTTCAACAGGATGCAAGAGTTTAACCCACAGGATTAATGATTCCTTGACTAATGGAAGAAAATCATTATAATTTCTTCCACTTGCATGGCCTGGAGGCCACAGTGGGGATAAGGGGGAGGGGCTGGGGGACATGGTTCTTCCTTTCTGAGAAAGGTGGGCTTATATTCTCCCTGGCTGCATCTAAAGTCAGGGCTGGACACACATGCTAGGGGAAAAGGGAGCTCAGATAGAGAAGGGAGCACCAAATAAAGGGTGTTGGGAGGATCCCCCCCCAGGATGGGAGATGCATGCTGAAAGTAGACTATAGACCAAACATGATTGCCACTCAATGCCTCTTTTGCAAACCACAGCACCCAAAAGGAGAGAGAGAACAAAGGGGAATGCCCTGCCACAGAGGCAGGGTGGGATGGGGGGATGGGGAGTGGGAGGGATACTGGGATCTGTGGTGGTGGGGAATGGGCACTGGTGGAGGGATGGGTATTTGATCATCGTATAATTAAAACCCAAGCACAAAAATTTGTAAGTCTACAACTGTACCTCATGGTGACTCACTAATAAAAATTTTAAAAAATAAAAATGAAAAAAAAAATAAAGTCAGGGCTGGAGCAATAGTATAACGGTAGGGCATTTGCCTTGCACGCAGCCGACCTGGGTTTAACTCCCAGCATCCCATATAGTCCCCCGAGCACCGCCAGGAGTAATTCCTGAATGCAGAGCCAGGAGTAACCCAAGCATCACCAAGTGTGACCCCCAAAATAAATAAATAAATAAATATATAAAGCCGGGCTTCCGTGTATCGCCCTATTTATTATACGTCTTAACAGCTAAGTTGCTCTGGACAATTTGCTGAACCTTTGTAGAGATTCTAATAACCACCAAACCCATACGTTTTGAGGGACATGATACATGCATAGAATACACTCAATACCCAGCATGTACAACAGATGCTGAAAAATAAACACAGTTGGGGCCTGGAAGATAACTCCAAGGGCTGGAGCACTTGGCTGGCATGCAGAAAAGCTCTGATTCAATTCCCAGCACCACAGGGGGCCCCGCCCTGCTCAGTGTGGCCCAGGAAGGCTAAGCAACACTGGGAGGGGACTCAGAGCACTGCCTGGGGATGGGAGGGAGGAGTTCAAAATAAGCCCAAGCACAGAGTCAGGAATAAGCCATGTGCATCATGGAGTGTGGCCTGAACCTGCTCGCCCCATCCCCAGAAAAAGGTAGATGGAGAGATGAAAGTTTCCTCATTCTGAAAGCACAAGCAAGAAGAATTATACTGAACTAAAAACTTTTTTTCAGCACATTTAGGAAAATGAAGTTCATTTGATTATCCAATTCTCCTGAACACAGAATGCTATCTCCCACACAAACAGGAAAAAATACGCACACACAACATTCCATTTTCCTAACAGACAGGTACAAGCTAAAGGAACTGGGGCAGAGGAGAGTGTTTCTATTCCAGCCAAAATGCACATGCTTGCATCTCGAGTACTGCGAATATAATGGCAGCATCTTTTCTTTTTTTTTTTTCTTCTTCTTCTTCTTCCTTTTTTGGTCTCTACTGATATCTTTAGAAAAACCCTTTTTCCAGAAATTACAGTTTTGGTGCATAATTTAAAACAATCAAAAGCAATTTCGCTAATGATATATCTAACTCTCTTTGGTATGCACAAAAGCAGTAATTTAGTGGTCAGAAAATAAACGTAATTCTCCATTCTGATGCGATGCGGCAGCGCGTACAGTTGCTTCCTCAGACACAAAACACCCCTCAGAAGCAAGAATCCCCACAGCATCGCCCATGCTCTATTAGAAACACCACCTCCTTCCTTCTCTCCCAGGACAATCACATCTCCTGCCACCCACTGGGCCCGGGAGGACCGTGATGACAGAGCCCATCAAACACTGCCTGGCATTTAATAAGCTGGCAGGGAGCTCGGAGACAGCATCTGGATGAAAGCAAACTGTGGACCATTGCCCAACAAATCCAGACCAGGTCGCTGCGGGCCACGAGGGCTAGAGCAATGTAACTCCTGGGGAAAGTCAGGTTGCGGAGGTCCCCCCCCGGGGGGTGGGGCACCGGAACCACCTGTTAGCTGCCATCACTTGGGATCTTGTTCCTCGGCCGAAACCAATACCATAAGGCTATGAGAATAAGGAGAAAGTCACAGATGCAAACGCTGCACAGAGAAGAGCAAAGTTCCCACCCTGCCCCTAAAGCCAAGCTCTGATGGTCTCAAGATGGTTTTATTCTGATGGTGCAAAGGAAATGTCCGTGATCAGATTTTTTAAAAAAAAGTACAAATGGTGGCATATTCCCTGCAACACAACCTGGTAGGAAATGCAAGAGGGGAGCTTGATCAATAGCACAGCAGGTAGGACATTTGCCTTGCACATGGCCAACCTGGGTTCGATCCCCAGCATCACATATGGTCCCCCAAGCACCGCTAGGAGTGATTCCTGAACGCAGAGTCAGGAGTAACCCCTGTATGCATCACCAGGTGTGACCCAAAAAGCAAAAAAAAAAACCCAAAAAAAACAAAACAAAAAAAAAAAACCAAGAGAGCGCTACAGAGAGAACGCAGATTCCATGACTACGTGTGTGTGTGTGTGTGTGTGTGTGTGTGTGTAAACATAAACAAGAAACACAAAAACGTCCTGACAGGTGACAGATGGGCAGGGCCCAGAGAGATAGGAACCATGGGTAAGGCGCTTATGTGCCGGCAGCCAATGCAGTTTGATCCCCAGAGCCACGGACAGTCTCTGAGTATCCCAGGAAAGACCCCTGAGCGCAGTCAGGAATAAGCCGTGAGCATCATGGAGTGTGGCCCAAACATACTCACCCCCAGAAAAAGATAGAGGAAAAGATGAACAAAAAGACAGGGAGAGAGACAGACAGACAGACAGGAAGCCGGGGCTGGGGCAGGGGGAGGACAGAGAGGTTGGAGATGTGAGTGACACTGGGCCAAGTTGGGGAGAGACACGCACCTTTAGAGGCCAGGAAGAGAGAAGAGGCAGCCACAGAAACCCAAACAGGCAGTAGAGCCGGCGGGGGAGGGGAGGGGGGATCCAGAAAGTTTTTTTGTGCATCTGAAACCCACCTCTAGCGCGGGGACGGTCATCCTCTGCTAGGCCCCCACCCCAGGTGCAAGGAGAGGCTCACCTGTCGCCTTGGTATCCTGTGCAAGGGCTCGTGCTCGGGCTGGTGCTCAGCGCTGCACAGGGCCTCGGGCGGCTTCTCCTCCCAAGCCTCTCTCCTACCCTCGTGGCGGAAGCGGGGCGCGTCGCCCTCCATGGCCACGGTCTGCGCCGAGGCGTCCTTCAGCTCCGTCTTGGGGGCCTCGCCCGCCTTCAGTCGGGGGACTCCGAGAAGCGACTTCCACGCGGAGTGCGGCTGAGCGAGTGCGCCGGGGCGGATGACGTGGCCAAGCTCACCCTTGAGCCGAGCGGCCATCTGCTTCAGGGTCTTCTTGGTCTTGCTGTCGAGGCGGTCTCCCAAGACCTCCTGCTCTAGGAGGCACATCTGCTCCAGAAGCAGGTCCCACAGCACCTCCAGCAGCTCCGGCCTGTCGCGCCCGAAAGGAAGGAAGGGGCAGACATGAGCTTCCTGCCCAGGCCTCAGCCCCAACCCGAGTTTTCCCCGCCCACCCTTAAGGATGCTGAACAGGGCAAGCACCTGCAGGGCATCAGGCTCTGTGCCAGTGCCTCACCCTCTTGTCACCTCGTGACAAGGACCGGAGCCTGTGGCACCACCACATTACACATTTGGTGAATAAGAAAAAAAAAAAGCAGGATATGACCCAGCGACATGGCATCTGACGGGGCCTTGAGGAGCCACGAATGCAGACAGGGGCCTCGGAAGACACGAACAGATCAAAATGGATGGTCCATTTTTCACATCTAACATGGAATCATCCATACCCTACAAACCATCTTAAAATTTAGTAAACCCAGATTGTAAACATATTCCCGGTATCTCAAATATGTTAAACTCAATTTTCCTTTCTTCCCCTTAATGTAGATTAAAAATAATGGCCATTGCCATCCAGCTAGCCCAAAGAGGACCGTAACTCACTACCAAACCACATAGCGATAAAACCTGGGAAGAGACTTTACAAATGGTAGTAAAAGGTGGTGAAAGAAGCCATTATAATACACGACAGAGGCTGCACTGTTAAATAAAACATTTCAAGTGTTACCTGGTTAGGAATCTGAGCAGCAGATTCATTAAGCTGTTGCCACAGTCAGGACCTTTGGAATAGCTCCGTGTGAAGGTCTTGTCAGAGGCCCGAACACTGTTTATCCACCCATCCCGAGCATCTTCCCCATGTGGAAGGCAGAAGGTGAGAGGGGCTGATATTTGCAAAGCACTTAAGAGTGCGGCAGACCTACTAAATATGCTAAATATGACTCTTCCTCGCCATAGGACCGGGAGGTGGGGTGTACAGAGGAATTCGCAGATGAGGACTCTGGGGTCCTGAAGGCTGAAGGGCAGAGCCAGACCAGAACCCAGATCCTGCAGGCCCCAGAGAAGCACCTGACCCTTTCTCAGGGGGGGTGCTTTTCGTCCCCCTCAGCTATGGTAATTAGGTTTTAATTGCCTGCCCATTCATCCAAAAGGCATTAAGTGGTCCCCTTTGTCAGGTAGAGCCTGGCAAGTACTGGCAAGATATGCCAAACACAGTAACAACAAGTCTCATGATGGAGATGTTACTGGGCCTGCTCGAGCAAACTGATGAACAACAGGAGGACTGTGACTGACCGTGACCTTTGTCAGGTGAGGCAGCGGGAAATGCAAGGTGAAGAGGCATCTTAGAGTTTACCTATCACTCAGACATTCAGATGCTGATAAGTCAAAGTCAGACCCTGATAAAGCCCAGGAATTGAGCAGGGGAGAAGAGGGAGGAACTGTGAGATTTAGGGCCAGTTTCCTTTTAGCTAGAGTGATCTAGGAAGGCCAACAGAGCCGATTTCCAGCAGAGCCACCCCCACCCCATCACGTGGAGGGAAAGAACATTCCAGAAAGAATGAATCGCTAGTACAAAGGTCCTGAGGGGAGTGCAGGGTTGGAGGAGCAGGAAGAAGGTCCTGATGTCCTGAGGAGGTGGACTGTGAGAACAGAGGGAAGCAGAGGCCACGGCGCGGCTCGCAGAGGCGGGCCCGGGACGTCTACCGCATCCTGATAGAGGGGACAGGATCTCCATTTCTGAAGGATGCCTCCGTCTGCTTTATGAAGACTGGACTGAGGGGCAAGCGAATTAGCGTTGGAGACAGGATGAATCAACAGGCCTGCTGCCACAGGTGATGGGGGCTGTGGGAACCAGACTCTCAGCTACAACCATCAGGAAAACTGTTAGGCCTTTCGCTGGGCTTGAGCAAGGAAGAACAGCAAAGACTGGACTGGAACGGGAGCTGGGCTTCAGACACTAAAGGGCCCCCCAGATACCTGGAGAGAGGTCGAGGCCCCGACCTGAGCTGAAAGTCACACTGGGTATGAACTCAAGCCAGGGGGAGTGAAGACAGACAGGGGAGGGGGCATAGAGCTCTGGGACACTCTTAAGGGTCATCGGTCAGCCTGCGTCAAAGGTGGGGCAGTCAGCAAAGTGGAATGAAAGGAGGGAGCCCCGCGTAGAGGAGAAAGAGGGAAGGCGAGAGACAGGTCACTGGGTTTAACCTTGAAAGCTGTCCTTGACGGCTGCTCACACCCTCTGAGCCCACACAAGGACTCAGCGTGGACCCGAGAAGTTGGAAAGGAAATGGGCACAGAGCAGGGGAGATGATTCTTCCAAAGGAATTTTTGCCTTGAAGGGAAAAAAAGAAACGGGACAGAAAGAAGCTCAAGCAAATGTGAAACTAAGGATAGGGGAGACCTTTCCCTGTGGTTCATAGTACAGCCTGGCTTATGCGAGTGGAAATTGCTCAGAGACAGACAAGGACTCACGATGCAGATAAAGGGTGTGTGTGAGGGGGACATAGGGTGGGGGAGTCATCCAGAGAGGCCGGAACTCACTCCCAAGGGTAGGGAGCACTGTGGTTGAGCTGTTTTTTCATCCCACAGTGCGGAAGTCTGAACTGACTGAGTGCTGCTGAGAACCCTGGGCTGGGCTGAGGTCCACTGTGCCTGTCCCTACAGTGAGGAAGCAAGCAAGGCCGCAGTCAGCGCAGGGACACAGGGGACAGATGCCTGGAGGTTCCAATGCAGCCTCGGGTGGCCATGCTGAGCACTTGCTGTGAAAAGAGAGAGGAAGAGTCTGACCTGCTCCGGGAGACTCTTCCAGGCGAAGCAGCACAAGCAACCAGGGTGGGGGGCTCCTTCAGAGGCACCCCCACCTGCAGAGGCTGTGATGTGGGGGTACAGGGAGTCATCCCAGGAGCTGAGAGAACAGTAGGGTCAAAGTATAGAGAACCAATTGAGAACAGCTGCCTGAACAGAGCTGGCAGGCCAACGGGCTTCAGGAGGAATTCTGAGGCCGTGAACTGAGGTGCCTGGGAAGAGTGTTTCGAGAGGCGAAAGATAACTGCACCGCAGAGTCACAGCCCTGGAAGTCACGTGGAAGGAAACGGACAAGGATCTAGTAAGGAGGTAGCTGCAGTGAAGTCCAAGAAACGAGAGGGGAACTGTGAGTGGAGAGGGGGCAAGGAGCACAGACTTGGGAGCTTCGGTCTGGTAGGTTGGGGAGGGAGGGAGGAAGGGAGGGAGGGAAGGGGGAGGGAGGGAGGGAGGGAGGGAGGGAGGGAGGGAGGGAGGGAGCAGGGAGGGAGGAGGGAGGGAGGGAGGGAAGGAACCAAAAAGGACCTTGGATTTCTGAGGTGCTATCTAACTCCCTCCCCCCACCCCCCGATCTAGTCAATTTAGAATCTGAAATCCACTTTCAAGCCCGGCCTGGTGTTCTCCCTCACAGCCCTCACAGTCTCCGGCAGCTTCTCTGCTGACTGGATAGGAGCCTCACCCCTCCTGGCCCTCAGCGTCACCCAGAGGAGTGCACCACAACTCCCAGGATGGACGCAGACATCCTTCCTCTGCCCCTCCCCTGCTTGGCTCCTGAGCTCTTGCTTTTCAGAGCTCAGGAAAGCATTTGCCTTATTAAATAAATAAATAAATAAATATCCCCCTGGGTTCCACTTTCAGATTTTTATACTTATTTAGTGATCAAATTTCACACCTAATTTTAAGCTGCAAAGACCAAAATATTTAAGTGAGGAAGTCGAAACCTTGGCTTCCAGGGAATGAATCAGAAACACAAGGAGAGCTGAGACTCCCACAGTGATGTCCCAGGGGAAGAGGACTTGCCAGTCACTCTCCATGAGCAGCCTGGGCCCCTTACCCGCCCCTTCTCCACCTGCAAGGCTAAGTTGCTGCTTGGTCAAGTACAATATAATCAGTCGGGCTTAAGTCACTAGTGGGTGTCTGCTTCCTTATTCTACCTGTGGGAAGGAGTCAACTTGAATCACAGAGACCATGCTGGTCCAGTGACTCTGAAAGCCAGTGAAGGACAGAACAGAGGCTGAGGAGGCTGAGGGGGAGGAGTCTGAAGGGGAGAAGTCTGAGGCTAATGAGTCTTGAGGAGGAGGAGTCTGAGGTTGAGGAGTCTTGAGGAGGAGGAGTCTGAGGTTGAAGAGTCTTGAGGAGGAAGAGTCTGAGGTTGAGGAGTCTGAAGGGGAGAAGTCTGAGGCTGAGGAGTCTTGAGGAGGAAGAGTCTGAGGTTGAGGAGTCTGAGGGGAGCAGTCTGAGGAGGCTGAGAGGAGGAGCCTGAGGGGAGCAAACTGAGGCAGAGAAGTCTGGGGGGAGGAGCCTGAGGGGGAGGTGGCTAAGGGGAGGAGTCTGAGGCTGAGGAGTCTTGAGGAGGAGGAGTCTGTGGGGAGAAGTCTGAGGAGGCTGAGGGGAAGAGTCCGAGGGGAGCAGACTGAGGCAGAGAAGTCTGGGGGGAGGAGCCTGAGGGGGAGGTGGCTAAGGGGAGCAGTCTAAGGCAGAGGAGTCTGAGGCTGAGGAGTCTGAAAGGAGGAGTCTGGCCTCAGACATGGGATCCCTGCCATGGGCTCCTCAGACACTGGCCAGCTCAGCAATGAAAACAGAGGCTTGAGTGACAGGCTGGCCACTGCCCTCACACAAAGTGTGAATCTTACCTAGTGTTGGCAGGAAGCGATGAGAAATAGTAGGGCCCCAGTGAAGCAGTGAAAGCACCAACCCCCTCTTCTCAACACTGCTCTAGCTCTCTACTGAACATCCACCATCTCCTTTACTTCTCATAAAGAGAAGCTGGTAAGTATCAGGTAGGTAAATATCAATCAGCACCCCCCCCACTCCCCCCACCCCCAATTACAGATGAGGAAACCAAACTGCAGATGATGTCTTTAGAGAGGAGATCTAGATGACACCACAGGTGTCAATGTACTCCTGAACATTTGTCACTTGCTTACATTATCTTGATTCCACAGCTTGACTCCAGGGTTAATTTGGTTGTTTTGTTCTGTTTGGGAGGGTGGTGATGACAGGAATGCCACACCGGCAGTGCTCGGGGCTGAGTCCTGGCTCTGCACTCAGGGAGCACTCCTGGTGGGCTTGGGGGACCGTATATGGTGCTGGGGTCAGCTGCGTGTAAGGAAAGTGTCCAAATCCCTGTGCTCCCTTTCTGGACCCTGCAACTTGGCGTTTTCCCCAGCCAACTAAACCACCTATGGCCAGTTGAAATCCTCGTAACCCTCAAGAGAGCCTTGATCTTAAAAGACTTCTTTTTTTTTTTTTAAGATGCCTCTCCAGGAAATTCTCCAATGGCCCTACCATTTCTGAGCTAAACTGACAGACCCCCGAATGTCACCTCCCACATCTGTAAAGCAGATGAAGAGCAGCAGCAGGCAGAGCTGGTGTGAGGGAAAACAAGACAGGGCATGCAGTGCCAGGCTGAGCCCTGGTGCCCAGCATGTGTGCAGGACAGAGGGACAGAACCCAAGCAGGCCCTTGGGAGGACCCTGAGAAACAGGATGTGGGGTGCACATGAATGAGTACAACCCAGACCCAGTGAGGAGGGCACTCGGGGGGAGCCCCACAGGGAAGACTTTAAAGCACAGAACAGGTCACCAGTGGCCTGGAGGTCCATGGAACCCTATGTGGTAGGGAACAGAGAATTGACATTCCTGCTGGACTGTGGGTGGTGTCACTGAGAGCTCCTCACAAAATGTAACTGTGACCCCCCAGACTTAGACAGTGAGTATGGGGCTTCTCCGGGAGGATGGGAGGGTCTGAGCCAGGGGGCTGCATCCTCTCTGCCAGAAGGGAATGCACATCCCCCATTGGGGGGGGGGGGGGCAAAACCCATCCCATTTCCCTGAGGCACCCCAAAGTGTGACTCAGTGATCCCGTATCAGAGAGAGACCGGCGCTTTCTAAGTCAGAGTCATTGGGCACCTAACTCCCTGTGATAACAGACAAGTGGGAACAGCCACTGTGCTTGGCCCCGCAGGACTCGGTCTGAAAACCTGTCAACCAGAGACCAGTGACCGGAGATGGAGGCGATCACCCCACACTCTGCCCCTTTCCCGGGTTCTTGCTGGAGGGCCGCGCACTGGTAACCAACTCCGGTGCTCGCTCCATCTGCCAAAGAACCAGGCACCACACTCGTGTCACTCTCCTTCCTCCTCGCAGCGACCCAAGCGCAAGTGAGCAGAGAAAGGGGGGCCCAGAGACATGAAGGATCAGACCTGGGCTCCACCGCCCACACTGGAGGAAAGAGGCAAGGAGGGGCACGGGCCCTGCCGGGGTTCATTTTACAGAAGCAGCTGTACTACTGCGCCTCCTTTTTTCGTCTGAAGCACTGTATTGTACTTCCTCACAGAGGAATGACTCCCAGCAGATAACATGAGAAGAAAATTTCAGTTCGCGTGTGCGGAGTCCCAGTGACACTGGAGAAACTGGGAGAGGATCCTGTAGGGTTTTTGCCTCTTGGTGACAGCCAGGCGGCCCTTTTCCAGGGCCCCCAGGAGCCCCTTCCTGCTCCTCTCTCTAATGGGCTTGTACCAGGCTCTGCTGAAGCCCCTCACAGCCACCAGCATGCACCTAATTACTTAATTGCATGACTGGCAAGATTCCTTCCAAGCCATTTCAGGAGCTCTCTCAGGTAAATTACACAGCACCATCATCGAAATCCATTTAGCAAAATGAGTTTGTTTTCCCCTCAAACCAGGGCAACAATGCCAGCCAGGGCCAGGCCCCCACAGCTACCTGGATTCCAGGAACGCCGTGGCCTTCTCGTTGAAGAAAGGGGCAACCAGGGTTAGCAGCTCGCCTTCTTCCAGACTCTGGGCTGGAGGTTTGTGGGCACCACCACTGTCTGAAACAGTGGGATCCGTGTGCCGAAAGTATCCGTTTTTGCAGCCCCCTTCGGAATGGTCCATTGTGCTCTGCGAATCAAAGTGTTTGGTCTCAGAGGTGGGCTAGGGCACAAAAAGAATGGAGAGTAAGAGTTGAAGGTGGGTGCAAGCAGACCAGAGAGGAGGGAGAGGGAGGAGAGAACGGGTGACCATGTTGGTCCCCACACTCTCACCTTCCAGTCGGGAGAGGCGCGGGCAGGGGGCAGAAGGCATCATCCATCACTTCTAATGCCCTCCATGCCCAAAACACACACACACGCACACACACACACACACACACACACTCTCTCTCTCTCTCTCTCTCTCTCTCTCTCTCTCGCTCGCTCGCTCGCTCAGGCATGGGCCAAGGGCAGAAGGCTTCCATCACTTCTAATGCCCCTCATGCCCAACACACACACACACACACACACACACACACACACACACACACACACACAGTTCTCTTGTCTATGACAGTGACAGGAATGCCATCTCCTGCCCCGGTATGGCTAGGAGACGGAAATGAGACGAGAGCGTCACCTCGGTGCATGGCACAGTGTCACCCGCTGGAGTGAGCTCCGCCAGCCCAAGGCCCATCCCTGAAAGCTCTGCCTAGGAAGGGTACGAGGCCCCGGCCCTGAGCAACGCGCTGGGCACTTCTTACCGCCTTCATGCCACGCGGCCTCCTCATAGGCTCTCAGAAAGCTGATGGACTCTTTATAGACACATCCTAATTAACACGACTTTGATTTGTCCCATTAGGAAGGCGGGGGCTTCCCAAGTTCTGCAGAGATGCTATTTACGGATCCACCTTCTCGGGTCTCCGCAGGTCCCCGAGGAGTGGTATCAAGGCTGCATCTAGTTAGAGCCTGTGCTGGGCATGTCTTGAGGTGCTGTAATTAGCATTCTCTCCCCCACCCTTTCCAGAGCTGTAAATTTCTTCCACCGGCCTATAAATAACTCCCCCTGACTTCATTACCGCTGCTGATATATACACTCGCCTTCACACCCCCTCTCTCCACACTTGTAAAATGATTAAGATTTTTAAATGGAAAAATAGGACCCACACAAATGAGCTATTATTTATAGGGTCATGTTTGCCACCAATCCGGTTATTAAATCCATCTAAATACCAGCTCCAAAGCAGGAACAAAGAACTCTAGAATACTGTAATAAAAATAGTAATTGCTAGCATATCCTGAGTACTTATTACATTCCTTTCTGTTTAAATATCACAACAATTCTAACAAGGAAATGCTATTATCTTCTCCCACAGGAAATTCTGGCCGAGGGAAGGGCTGAGAAAGGGCTAACCAAAACTTGCAAAGAATCCGAGCAAGGTGCAAAAACCATCACGATTTCCAAGGGCCCAATTTTAATTGCTTTTTGCTCCAAATCTGGTGGCCATATTTTAATGAGCATGACTGCAACAAACGTGAGTGCCCTGAAGGTCATCGGCCTGATATGCAGCCTCCTCACTCCGGGGTTCCTCAACCCCGGGGCAGACCCTGCAGCAAATGTTCAGCCCCAGTGGAGGAGCATCCTGTGTGGATGGAGTCAAACTCTCATCAACGACCACATGGCACTGAGATGGCCGCCAGCTCAGGAAGCTTCTGAGGCCCGGAGAGGAGAGTTTCATTCCATCAGAGGAGCCTTACCCTGAGCTCAAATCACCTGGGAGCTCACGAGAACAGAAACAAAAGCTCTTGGGCCAACTCCTATGCCTGAGAAAGTAATCGTCCCTCAAGTCTCAACCTCCGGTGCAGAAAGTGAACAGGCAAGTTCGCTCTCCAAAGATCTGTGCAGGTCTGCCACCCGCTGCCTGGGATTCCCGGATGTAGTTCCCTGCCTGCTTCCCCATCTCCTGCCCTGCTCAACCACTCACCCGATAACCACCAAGAAGGTGGAGACCCAGTTTCTGCTCCTTGCTAGCACACCGCAAGCGCTCAGTAACAGCACACTGGACGGGAGACTCTATCCGCCACTCTGGGAGACCCAGCCCGTTGCCGGCCGACATCTGGCATGCGCAGAGAGAGAAGCAGAGGGAGGCAGGCGTCAGCCGCCAGGTTCCTACCTCATTGCTCTGCTCCGAAGTCTGCCCACTCGGGAGATTAGTCTCGCCGTCCTCTCCACTTCCAATCGTGTCCTCGTCCTCCTTGCTAGCCAGAAGCTACACGGAGCATGGAATGGTGTGAAAAGGCAACCAAAAGAAGTGTGCAGCATAAACATGTATGAACGTGTCAGCGATGTCTTAAGAAATAAATAAATAAACCAAAAATGAGGCGGAAACAGGCACCAAAGCCATGGGATGGAAATTAAGCAGTTAGTTAGACTGTTAGCTAACTAACTAGCTAACAGTTACCTCACACGCGGCTGCCGGGGACGGGGCATACCGGAAGGACATATTTCCCCGGAAACCACTGCAATCCTTTCCCTCGGCCTCTGCCCGGCCTTCCCTGCGCGGCTGAGAGCCGAATATGCCATCCGTGGTGCCCGTGCCATTACTGCCATTGCTACATTCACTTTCAGATTACACAAAAGTAACAAGATTTGGAAAATAGCTATTGATGGAATTGGAAATATCACAGAGCGAGAAAGCAGTAAATGAAATTTACGGTGCGCTCGATTTGTGCCTCGCTTCTGCTCAGCGCAGGGCACCAGCCTCATTTTGGACCACTGCACGCACATCTGCGATGAACAGTCCCCGTGGCACTGTCAAGGGGCTGACAGGAGAAAAGTCCTCCTCACTGCAGAGCATCAAGTAAGCCTGACGACCACCTGATACTGCGTGAGCAACATCAGTGACTCAGGAAAGCTGTGGAAATCCCTGAGCTGCTGCACTCCACAAATGGAAGAGTCCAAGTGCTCAAGAGGACTGGGGTCGCTTCTCTGGAAGAGCAACAATCCAGTACTGGGACATCTGAATTAGCCAGATTTAGGAGGGAGGGAGGGAGGGAAGAAGGGAGGAAGGAAGGAAAGAAGGAAGGTAGGTCTGAGGTGTGTGTGGGTGGGTGTGGACAGGGGGGAGGATGGGGTTGGTGAGGATGGCCATACTCAGAGAGGAAATCAGGTGAACTCATCTCAAAGATGACACCAAATGACTCGCGAACATCAAGCAGTGTGGACGCCAGGCGGACTGCTTGCTGGCAACTCTGGGCCAGGCTGGACCTGCAGTACAGCCCTAGCTGTAGCTCCCTGGCTTCATTCTACAAATCCTTCCATCTAGCCAACTGTCCCCTTCATTCCCCCGACCCAACTTATATTTTTCTGATCTTTCTTTTAGAGGAAACCTTTTTGGTATTTTGGAAGAAGAAAGTCAACTGACAAGCCAACTGACCTTGAAACACCATTTTCTAAAAAACTTCCTAGGATCTATTCTGAAGATTAAACAGTCCTGGTGATCCAAAGGGAGATCTTCAGGGCCAAAGAGATAGTACAGTGGGGGAGGTGCTTGCATTCCATGCAGATGACACAGGCTCATTGCCCGGCACCCTATATGAAACCCCACTGTATCAGTCATCCCGTTGTTCAGTAATTTGCTTGAGCAGGCTCCAGTAACGTCTCCATTCATTCCTGATGCATGCAGGATAGCCCAATGGTGTACTGGGGGCTCTTTCAGGGTCAGGGGAATAAGAACCATCATTGTTACTGTTTTTGGCATACTGAGTAGGTCACGGATAGCTTGCCAGGCTCTGCTGTGATATGGAACCCAAGCCCCATAAAGGGTGATCCCCGAGCACAGAGCCAAGAGGAAGTCCTAAGCAGAGCTGGAGGTGACCCAAAACCCCCTTAAAAAAGGAAGTGAGATCTGACTCTAGTAACAACCATCAAGCACTAAAAGACGAGACAGGTCCAGGAGATCACAGTGGCTAGGCAATGGGCCTGGCACCACAGGAGAACCCAAGCTGGTTCAGTCCACTGGATGAATTGGTCAGCCCAGCACCATATCCTCAGGTCCTTGCACTGAACTGATGGCCCAGCTGTTCAATTATCACCAGTAAGGCCCCTAGCCTATTGAGCACCACTAGGGAGACACCCTCCACCCCCCAACTCCCTCCTCCAAAATATGACCAGGCATGAGAAAACTTACTGAGGCATAAAAGTCACAAAATTTTGGTGAGGACCGTCTCCTGCTACTGGCTTCTTCCCTCCTTGCTGAAATATTCTCAAGTGATAAAGACCAAAAAGGACTATCACGTTGGAAGCAAGCAGAAAATTTAAAACTTCTTTGGGAAAAAAACAAAACAAAACAAAACACTGGCAATTTCTGGTAAAACTAACAGTCTTGAGAGCCAGAAACTGCACGCCTAGGTATTCATCAAGAGAAATGAAAACAAGTTGCCCACATAAAGATTTGTACATAAATATTCACACCAACGCTTATCACAACATCCCCCACTGGAAAGCATCCAAATGTCCACCCAAAGGCAAACAAATAAGCATTCCCGATGCATTCGTACAGTGGGATACTGCTTAGCAGTAGCTTAGCAGCAAGAAGAAACAAATGACTGTAAGTGATGATGTGGACAAATCCCCTAAACATTAGGCTGAGTCAAAGAAGCTTTACACACACACACACACACACACACACACACACACACACACACACGTGATTTACAATTAGGGGTGAAACTAATCCAAGTTGGAACAGAATTTAGCTCAACAGCTTGGGGGGGACACCATGGTGATGGGTGTTAGGGTCACACAGGTACACACATAAGTAAAACTGAGCAGCAAATCTAGGGGCCAGGGAGTGACTACGAGGGTTAAGCCACACACGTGATATACCTGATGCTGGGTTGTTCCCCTTCCCACATGTACCCCTTGCCCCGATTTCCGCCCCTGCATCACCAGGATGTGGCCTGAGAGGCCCCAGTTCCACTGGACGGCTCTAGTGGTCCAGGATCCTAGCAGCACCACATCCTTAGGCCCGGCAATTCAACTGAATAGCCCAGTTGGCCACAGATAAATCAGGAGTGACCCCAGAGTTCCCTGAGCACTACTGGAGAGTCCCCACAACAATAAACATAAATTCTACATTTCATAGTATTGTCAATTTACTCTTTAAAAAAGAAAAAAAAAAAGAAAAACAGAAAACTTTTTTGGGTCACACCCAGCCATGCTCAGGGGTTCCTCCTGGCTCTGCACTCAGGAATCACTCCTGGCGGTGCTCAGGGACCACATGGGATGCGGGGATTGAATCTGGGTTGGCCGCGTACAAGGCAAATGTGTTCTCTGCTGTACTATTGCTCCGGCCCCTGACAATTTAATCTTAAAAGGAAAAATAACCATAAACAGACTGAAGTTAAAGAGAAGCAGGCTGGAGTCGCAGGCAGAAGCAGACTGGTACTGGTGCATTCAGATACAGCAGACCCCTCTCTACAGTGTCTCTTCTGCCACCACTCCCCAGAAACTGTTCCTCAGGGACCCTCCAAAACAGCAGTGAGGACCCCTGAGGGATCAGGGAAGAGGCATGGAAAGCCATCTCGGCACCCCAGGGAGAGAAAGGAAGAGTCTGGCTTTCCTTCCGTTTCAGTGAGCGGCGAACATTAAGCCGAGAAGAAAAGCATCAGCGATCGTTTTCATCTCCCCAACCACAACCACACACCTACCCGACACTCTGAAATGAAAATTAACTTCTGCCTCTCTTTACCATCGCTGCTGACTTGCTGATTAATAATCAACTCTCAGCTTCAGGCACTGGCCCAAAATCAAATGCTGCAGAGAGACAAATGTCCTTTATGCCATTGGTGAATTTATCAGTTTCAAGGACTTAGAGCCAGGGAGCAGAAAAACCTTATTCGTGACTACGAAGGGAGAAAAAAAAAAAAAAAAAAAAAACCTTATCGGTTACTCCGAGCTACCTCCAGCCCTGCGGCATCTGGATGTGCAGCCCGCCTCCCCCGCCTTCACCCCTCACTCGATGCGGGGACTGCCCAGGTCATAGCAGTGGCCACAGTCACTGGCAACACCTCACGCTCCCTACAAGGCACAGTGCTCCCGTGACGCTGGCCCCTTCATCTGTTCTGAAGGCTGCACTTCCTCTGGGAGGAACTGCCCTTGGCCCCAAACCAGAAGCAGGGGGCCCACTCTCCCTGCCCCTCTCATCTCCATCCTCCCAGCCCTCCCTGCTGCCTGGTCCTGCCCTCGGCTGCTCTGTCCCCAGCGGACACAGCAAGGTGTAAATCTGCACTGAGTCTACCGCCAGGGCCTGCTGCTCAGCCAAACAACTCAAAGAACAAAGATTATTTTTTCCCCCCAAAGGAGAACTGGAACTCAAAGGTTTTCAGGATTTCCTCTGGTCATGCGCTACGAAGTGTGATCTCTGGAGCAGAAAAGGCAGATCCGCGGGCCCCCCGCCAGGCCCCGTCACGCTCACAGGTGCCCGGGGAAAGCCACACACAGGTACAATGGTCCTGCGAAAACACCTCCCAGGCCGAACAGACAGGGGGTTGGGGGGGAGGGGGGGAGGGATCCAACTCTGTCACTGACTTTTAGAAATTTAATTTAAAATACCTGTTTTATTAAGTGCCTACTACTTGCCAGGCGCCATGCCAAGAACGTTATAGATAATGTAAAACTCATAACAACTTATTAAATCAAATTGTTCGAAACGGCTCCCTTGTAATGAAATCAAATTTGCTTCTGAGAATCCAAATTTACTGCTCCTCATAATGGGCACCAACAAGTACCTTTTCCTTCTGAGAACCATTCCTGTTCCCCTGTGAGTCCCGGGGGGTCTGTTTCTTATTCAACACGACAGGCGTTATGAAGACGGGGGGTTCAATTAATTATGCTCCTTAAACCTACGTTCCCCTCTCTAGCAGAAAACAAATGATGACCTGCTCTCTGGCCACTGCCGGCACGCAGGGCGTTCAAGTCAGCAGCAGCAGCTAACCCTCGGCACACAGCGCCCGCACACGTGGCTGTCTGGACCCGAGAGGCGTCACAGCTGCCCGCTGGAATCAAGCCAGATCCTGTGTCAGTCTATGGCCCACAAATAACAACTGATAAAGAGAGAAGCAGAGAGAGATTGGGACCGTCTCCTTTGGAGAAAGGACGTTAAAACAAAACTATGTTGGTCCCTGTTCCTCGGTTCGATTTTGGCTTTGGTTGTGCTGACAGCGGATCCAGGCGCTCTACCTGGGAGCCATATTCCAGCCTCCGTGCTGGCTGGTTTGCAAGAGTTCACTGTCCACCACACCCTCCGCCCCCCTTCAGAGGAACAAGCCCTGGCTGCTTGCCCAGCTGGTAACCGCCATTCTAAAGACAGACCCGAGCCACCTGACCATACCTCTGTCCAGTGGGAAAGTGGGGGTAAGGCTTAAGAAAATTCACTGGTGGGGCTGGAGTGACAGCACAGCGGGGAGGGTGTTTGCTTTGCACAAGGCCGACCTGGGTTCAATCCCCAGCATTCCGTATGGTCCCCCCAGCACCATCAGGTACAATTCCTGAGTGCAGAGCCAGGAGTAACTCCTGAGCATCACTGAGTGTGACCCCCCCCCAAAAAAAATTTATTGGTATATCACAGCACTATTCACAATAGCCAGAGTCTGGAAACAACTCGTGTACCCGAGAACAGACACCTGGTTAAAGAAACTATGGTACATCTACACAATGGAATACTATGCAGTAGTTAGGAAAGATGAAACTGGCTTAAAAATTGATGGGTATGGAGAGTTTCATGCGAGTGAAATGAGTCAGAAGGAAAAGGACAGATATAGAATGACTGCACTCATCTGTGGAATATAAAAAAAAAAGGAGACTAATACTCACGAACAATAGGAACAAAGGCAAGGAGGATTGCCCTTCCAACCGAGTCTATGGTTGGAAGCCTACCGCAAGTGCTGAGGGAGAAGGCAACGGGGATAGAGAAGGACCATTATGACCAAGATAGTCGGAAATGATCACTCTGGACAGGAACTGTGTGCTGAAAGTAGGCAAAGGAGCAGACACGATAACCTCTCAGTATCTGTGCTGCAGACCACAGTGCCCAGAAGGAGGGGGGAGGGGAAAGGCAGGCTGGGGGGTGGGGTGGCGGGAGGGAGACTGGGGTCACTGGTGGTGGGAGACAGACACTGGTACAGGGATGGGTGCTGGATCACCGTATGACTGAAACCTAACTATGAACAGCTTTGTAACTATGTATTTCACGGTGACTCAGTTGAAAAAAATATATAAAAATAAAGTTCTGGGCAAGTTTAGCAGGCTGGGATTAAAAAAGAAAGAAACTGCATTTGGTGATGCCTATTTCATATCTATCTCTGTCCTTCCGACCTCGTAATTCCATCTTTAGGAATAGAGTCTAAAGGGAAAAACGCATCCAAAGATACTCTGGGCTGACCCTCTGGAAGCAGATGGTGGGAGCCAGGAGCGAGGCAGCCGCTGTGTCCTGGGGCCTGCATAAGTGGAAAGATGAGGTCATGGTGGCCTAGCAGCTGAACAAAAACGGGCAACAAGCCTGCCCCCCAGGAATCCCAGAGGCCACCATCTTCCAGAACCCAATGAGAAGCCCAGGTACACAGGAGCAGTAACCGAAAATGCCAGACTTCACGGGATAGGGGGAGAGATGGTCCCTCTCATCCCCCTGCCCCAATGGGACACTGAGATGACGCCCATAAACTGCCTCCAACTACTATTTAAGCTTCCTAATGGCCTGATCCAGAAACACACAAAAAAATCTCAAAACTAAGCAGCTCACTGCAGAGATCTCCCCAGACCCTAATTATATAAACTTTTAGAATTCTAGGAGCGAGCGGCCGCAAGAGTGGCCGCACGGCATCATATGCTATTCATAACAGGCAATACAAAATAAATGATCTAGCATTGCCTTTTCGGAACGTTTGAGTGGTGGTGGGAAAATTCCAAATGATAATGGTGGAACTGGTGTCAAAATACTGAATGTAATCAAAATAGAGAGAGGGCATTGTGGAAATTGCCTGCCACCTGGGCAGGGGAAGGGTTGGGATTGGGCAGGAGGGATACTAGGGATCTTGGTGGTGGAAAATGTGGAGGGATGGGTTTTTGATCATTGTATGACCAAAACTCAAACATGAAAGTTTTTTAACTATATCTCATGGTGACCGGGAAGGGAGGGGAGGGGAGGGGAGGGGAGGGGAGGGGAGGGGAGGGGAGGGGAGGGGAGGGGAGGGGAGGGGAGGGGAGAGGCAACAAAGCTGCCTTCCTGGGTATGCATGCGCCTATCCACATGCACGCATTCTGATGGGGCAGGGGAGGTCCCGCTGCTCACCAACGGTTTGTGACCGGGTTAGTTAGGGCCATTTCTTGTCTCAGTTTTGCAAGTGTAAAGTAATTATCGTGGGTCAAATACCATGGGAGAACACATTCCGCAAACTCTGTTTGCTCTGATTTTGTTGCTTTTGCGGACGTGTGGGGGCCAGGAGAGGCCTGGTGCCCACTCCACAAGTCCCGCCCCTCAGGATAGCAGGGCAGGGTGGGCCTTCCTGGCCTTGCCCTGCTTCCCATGGATGGAGAGCCACGGGCACCCCAGGGAATGGCAGCACCCTCCTCTCTGGGATCCCCACTGTGCCTCAAACAACCTCTCCTCCCATCACAAGGCTATGGTGAGAACATAATCTTTCCCACACGGACCTTGCCACCCCACGGGGGGGGGGGGGGGGGGGTGGGGAGGAGAGGGAGAGACAACGGGGAACCAGGAACCAGGCCACAGAGGACCCAGCTTGTCACAGGGAACCTCAAAACCAAGCACCATCTGACAGATGACTCAGATCGGTGAAATCGGCTGGTATGAAGATCAGAGTGGGTAGCGGGAAAAGCCTCTGCTCTCCCAAGGACATAATAGGACATTTAACAGATTCTTTCTAAAGGGCAAATGAAGCAACAAATGCCATTTACAACTCAACTTCAGTAGGTGAAGAATGAGCTGCCTATTAAAAAAAAATGCAGACTTGGAGGAAACAAAGCCCAAGACGGACTGCAGATAGTCTTAGTTCTCAAAATTATTGGGAGCCCTGGAGGCTAACAGCGATAAGAGCCTGAGCCAGCATCCCTCACACTGAAGGGCAGGGACTGCTTGAGGCGGGCAGATCTTTCCCAGATGTGCCGCAGTGTGAACCCTCCATCTAGCTGGGGCGCCGGCTGGAGTTTGAGGCAGAACTCCCAGAAAGACTCTGAGGATGACCCTCGCACGAAAGAGCCCTGCAGGATTCTGGGCAGGGCAGTTCCCGAGCACAGAGCAAGATGTCTCCTGGGGCAACTTCAGGCCAAGTTAAGACTCTTGGGAGGTAGCAACAAGCCCTTCCTCAGCAAAACCCTGTAGCGCAGTAACTCTCAACCTTTCCCTTCTGACTGACCCTGTTTCCTTCCTGTGGGCCCCCGTTTACGTGATTTCGCCACTTGCCCCTTGGAATACCCTGGGTGGTTGGGGACCAGAAGGCCTTATGGCTGCTACAGACAATGCAGGCAGAGACCAGCAGAGTGAACACATGACAAAGATGAGCAGAGATCCATAGGCTGGCGAGGCGTCCGTGAATAGACCACAAACCCAGACCCCCACCCCCTGGCTTGAGAAATGTGTTCACTGATTTGTTTTCCAGAGGTGATGGATTCTTTCAAGCGGCATGAACGTGGCTCAAAGTACTGAGGTGGCCTGAGGAAGCCCACTGACCTGAGGGGCCCCCTGAACAGGAAGAAGCCCACCGACCTGAGGGGCCTCTGAACCCAACCACACAAAGGGGGACTGCAAGGGGGACCTCCCTGGAGACGGCAGTTGCGAGCAGGGCTGGGGATTCTCTAGGGGAATGGGCGCGTGCCAGCCAGGGCCAGGATCCCTGGACGAACACCCGTGGCAATCTTCTTACCTCCGTCTGCACGGCTGACTGTTCATCTCTGGGGACACCCAGGCAGGAGAAGTCAAGAATGGTTTTCTTCAGGTGCTGGTTGTCCGTGTACAGCTCCTTCACTAGCTGAATGAGGTTGATGACCTGGCAGAGAAAAGCAGCGTGAGGACAAGCTGCTGGGCAGCAGACTTCAGCTTCCGGCCCCACACACCCCCATGCAGATGCCAGTCCCTCGGTACAGTGGGGAGGCAAGTGGAATCCCACAGCCTCCGCTTCAGAGCATCCTAATGGAGGCAGCCTGCCCTGAGCCTCCACTTGCCCCACCTGTGAAATGGGTCACCGAGAGACCTGACCGTGGCCGTGGCCAAGAGCTCCCAGGTAGCCACCATGAACCTGAGTATCTCATCCGTGAGACCCCCCCCCCCCCCACCCCAGAGGAATAGCCCGATATAATAGCCCCAAGTAGGACTAGCATTCTTGAGACTGTATCAGAACTTGTTTTACCTCCTTGACCTCTCATCCCTGGGCTTCTCTTACAAAGTCCTGAGGTGCTTGGCCGGCTGGCACGGTGACCTCCATTTTACAATGGGGCAGGGGTGAGGAGGTGTGGGGGGTCGGTGGGATGCAGAGTTCACAAGGTACCACAGCTGGAGAGCTCAATGACATAAACCCACAGCAAAGGGGAGGGAGACATGGGAGAGAGCAGGTCTCCACAGCGAGGCGTCTGAGCACGTGCCTCCACAATGAGGTGTCTACGGCCCCCAGTCCCAACAGAGACTGGATCCCTGCACGCTTTGAATCCTGACCCACCAAGAGTTCTCGCAATGGGGTGATCGTAATCCTCTCCCACCCAGACTACACAAGTCCAAAACAATGAAAGCCTGAATGAACTGTGCTGAGCCCCCAATAAGTAAGTTGCACAACACCTTCTGACTCTGTCATCACGGAGTGTCAGCGGAGGGAATGAGCTGCCTGCCCCCAGAGAGCTGCAGGAGTTGCCGCTGTGACTAATACCCCTGTATTCCTCAGCTTCAGAAACTAACCAGGCTTCACTCCTCCACCAAAGTCCCCCACTGCTCGACCCCTTTCCATTTCAGGTGTGTCTACACCTGCTGTCTGCTCTCTATCCGCTGAGAAATCCCCCTCACTGGGCCTCTACTGACCCTTCAAAGCCCACCAACTTTCCCCCTCATTCCTGCTCCCCTCCCATCAGCTAAGTGGTCCGTGACCAATAGCCATGCACTGTCTGTCTTCTCCCTCACGGCCACACCAAGTCACACCTGGCCACTGCACCAGGAAATGAATGGTCCTAAAACAGAAACCAGAAGCTGTCACACATGGTAATGTCACAGCCTCCTGGGAACTCACACTGCGGTTCCTACAGACTCGTCCCTGCTGAAGCCCGCTAATGGCACCACCAACTAATCAGCAGCTGGAAACAATTTTCCAGCTTTTAAAATTAAAAAAAAAAAAACCTTTTGACCAAACCCAGAATTTTATTCTTTCAAAAAGCACCTAGTCATTTCCCCTATAGGTGCCTGGGACTGGAGAAGCAGAAATAACTAAACCCCCCCCCCCCCCAGAGGGTCAACCACTACCCTCAAGATGTTCAGCCGGGCAGGGGACAGAGAGGAGCCACCAGATGTCCCGGCGCTGTATACGCAGCACCAGGAGGTGAAGAGAGTGAGAGGACGGGGCTGGGGTGCTCCCGGGGAGGAGGATGTGAGCAGGAGCAGCGGGGAGCAGGGGCACAGACACGCGGTGTCCACAGGATGGAAAGAAGCCCTTCGGGAAGGACAGGAGAGGAAGAGGAACGGGGGTGCTTGGGTGAGTGAGGACCAGCCCTGGGGTGTGACCTTGACAGCACGCCTACACAAGGTAACCCTGTGATCCGGCTGCCAGGAACTCACATGATGCTATAAGCCACCGCGGCCTCAGCAAAAAGGCACGGCACAAAGGACCCAGACACCCTGTGCAGGAACCCGGGAGACAAGCAGCCCCCAGAGCACTGACATTTAGGAGGCCGATACCTTCTCCTTAAGTTCTTCTCGAGAGAAATGCTCCACTTGAACCCGACTGTGCTCCTCGAGGCAGATGCTCAGGTAGGATGTTTGATCGCTATAAAAGGAGAACGACTCTTCTGGCCGGTTTCAAAAGAAAGTGAGGAAGGGGGGAAAGAAAGAATATGAGAAGCAGATCTTTGCAAGATCAACGGGGCAGAACCCTGTCTACGGACAGGGCAGGGTGGGAGCAGGGAGGGGGTATAAATGCCTACGGGGAGTTTAACACTCCCCCTTTCTCCCTCTCTGCACAGGCCACTCTATCCCCCACCCCAGTAGAGCGCTGCAGCAAGGGCTGTGGGCTTCGGCGGTTCTGGATGATAATCTGATCATCTGCATAGGAGGGGCACGAGTGAATGGTGACCCCAGTTCAAACAACGAAAATAAGAGGAAACCGGAAAGCAAAGGAAAGAAACGGGCCTGGAGAGTCTTCCCTGGCTCCAGGCTCACCAGGGGGTAAGGACAGCTGAGACGAGGAACTCCGGGTGAAATCCCACGGGGGCCTCATTTCCAACTGAGGCTTCAGAGCGCTCGGAAACACTGGGCCACCGTTTTCACCCCAGTTGAAAGGAAACCAAGGGAATTACATACAAGAGTGTGGGTACCTTCCCGCCTCCGGATCTCACTGGTCTGCAACTCCAGCGTCCTTTTCAGATTCTGGTAGGAGAGCACGTCCTGCTCCAGCTGCGTCCGCAAGGCCAGAATGTGGTTCAGCTCGGCTTGTAGGGTGCTGAGACTTGGAAAACAAGACAGCGGAAGTTTAAAAAGGGGCCTCTTTATTTTTATTTTATTATTATTATCATTTTATAGTCTCTGAAAAAATAAAATCCAGATCCCGGACGAGAACAGTGCAGTCTTCTGCCCCCGCGCCTGGGTGTTCCTTCCCGGAGCCCCTTGGAGGGGAGCGGGTTGAGCTTTCCTCCCCACCCCGACCAGGGCTCCGGCAGCCGAAGACCTCCAGGACATCTTATCAGAACTTTTTTTTATGACATCTTATTGTCTCATTACTACTTTGGAGAAACTTGCAGGCTATCGAATGTAGCCTGCCCACAGGGCAGAGTCTGGCAAACTCCCCGTGGCGTACCAAATATGCCAAATACCAGTAACAATGATGGGTCTCATTCTCCTAAATAGCCTTGAATATAATCTCAGGGCTAGGATGAAAGAGACGTTACTGGGGCCTGCTCGAGGCAATCGACGAATAACAGGATGATGAAATGAAATGAAAAAATGAATTATTATCATCATTAATTTTTTTTTTTGCTTTTTGGGTCACCCAGCGATGTACAAGGGTTACTCCTGGCTCTGTACTCAGAAATTACTCCTGATGGTGCTCAGGGGACCATATGGGATGCTGGGAATTGAACCCGGCTTGGCCGCGTGCAAGGCAAACGCCCTATCTGCTGTGCTATTGCTTCAGCCCCAAAAGGAGCCTCTTTAGATGTGAGAAGGCAGATCCTACCAAGTCTTCATTTGGTTTTCTGTCATCTGTTTTTTTTTTTTTCTGGCTATGAAAGTACATAAATGCTCATGATGAAAACTCTTCAACACAAAAGAATTTAAAAAAAAAATCCACAAAATTACCATAATCCCACAATCAATTAACACATGGCAGACTGTCTCTCCTCCACCTTTCCCCGTAATATTTTTAGAGGTTGAAACCACACAAAATGTACCAGGCTAAACTGTGCCTTCCTCACTTAAAAATTTCCCCATGCTTCAGGAAATTATTTTGCAAGTATCTTCTTTAATAACGCCACGATGCTGAGTAAGGTGAATAGCCCAATATTTACTTGAGCTAATCCCCTATCCGTGAGGACTGGGGTCATTTCCAAGTTTAGGCAGAAATAATTGAATTCTCCGGGATGTTTCTATTTGGAGTAATATCTCACCGAGGCCCAGATATGGAAGCAAAGGTTCTGCAGAGCCTGGGGGCCACCTGGACCCCACAGGAGAAGGGAGAAGAGGGCAAATGCCTGCTTTGGCACGCCCAACAGATGGCGCTGGGGTCGGAGGGAGGGCGGAAAGAAAGAGACCACATAAAGGAGGAAGAGCCGGGAACAGGAGGGAGAGTAGGAGCTATTGGGGCCTGACCGAAACGGGTCAGCAGAAGCCAGTGTGATCCAGTTAGACTCTCGCAAATGCACGGTGGAATAGAACTGGGGGGAAGGGGTGTTGAAGTCCGTCTAATCACCGTGATATGAGCCCAGGCTCAAGCCCCACATCCATAGCCCCTGAGCATGCTGGGAGCAGAGCCAGCCCTGAATACAGCCCCGGGAAGGAGAGAGAGGAAGAGGGAGATGGGGAGGGAGAGGGAGAGGGAGATAGAGAGGGAGAGAAAAACAGGCAGAGGGAGGGAGACAGAGAGGGAGAGGGAGATCGAGAGGAGAGGGAGGGAGAGCAGGCTGGGGGGGGGGAGAGAGAGAGAGAGAGAGAGAGAGAGAGAGAGTGAAATAAAGATCCCAATCCTGTCTCACACTTTCTATGCTTCACACACAGGTTAGTTTCTGAAGGCAGATTCCCAGCAGTGCAATTAATTAGTGGGTCAAAACATACGAATACTTTCCGAGGCTGCGAAATGCATTAACAACTCAGAAAGCCTTTTATTAAACCCCCAAGAAATAACCTCCTCCCTGTCCAGCACCAGGCCTACGGTTTCATCACGAGGCACTGCCCACACCTGGAGGCCGAGGATTAAAAACGTGTGGGGGGTGGGGGGGGATTTTTCTAGCGGGAGGGCCCAGGAGGCTTCATCGGAGTTTTCAAGGGGTGCCCATTGTGCCCCCCCCCACGCAAAAACGAGGGACAGAGTGCCACAGACTCAAGCCCCACAGTTCCTTCCTAGATTCCTCTGGGTTCTGACCCTCAAGGCGCACACTACGATCAGCACATGCTGGAGGCCAAATCAACCATTCTGTCTCATCCACGCGGGAGGCTCTTGACGGAGGGCCCCACTGATGCAGGCTTCTGGCGAGGGCAGGGGCCCCACCAGCAAAGCCCTTTGCACAGCTCCTTCTCAGAATGCATCATAACGATCCACTTGTGCGGCTGATGGGAAAACCCGAGGGGGGGGGGCACTCCCCTGATGCAGCCCACTGCAGAGCTGGTTAACCAGGGAGCAGACAAAGGCGGCTGAGCATGGCTCAGGCGAGGCCTCCCTGCTGCCCTGTCCCCCTCTGACAGGGTGAAAAGCACACAGCTGCTGCCCTGGGCATTGTCACTTAGGTCTCCCGGACCCCAGAAGCTTCTCAAGGAGCCAGGAAGAACAGTCGGGGGAACAGAAGGTGCTCTTCGGGGGCGTGAGGAGGCAGGAGCCCCCAGGCCCTTCTGCTACCGGAAAGGAGTGGGGAGGGGGCAGGGATGAAGAGCAAGATCAGCTCCAGACCCCCCTCCCCTCCCCCCACCTCTGCCTATGTGCTCACAACCATCTTTTGTACTTCCGCTGTCAGAGGGACAAGACCCCCCTCACACACGGCTTTGAGGAGACAGTAAGGTGATGTAAAGCGGGGAGGGTCAGCACTGTGCACAGAGACCCCTTCCTCCCTCGTGCGCCAGACAGACCCTCACACCTTCCAAACACAATGCTGGCAGTTCTGGGCTCTCACTGGAGGGGACTCTCACATCCCCGGGGGTTGTGGGCCTGTGCCTGCAGGTATTGATTGGGGAGAGGAGGGGGCCCCTGGCGCGCCAGAGAGCCACTCCTTGGGACACCCAGTCCCGGCAGTGCTGAGGGTGTGACACTGAGTTTTTGGAGCTTGTGAACTGGACCCACCCTCTTGGCCTGGGCTCCCTCACCCCAGACCCTCCAGAGCTCCATCTGCCCAGCAGAGTGGGAGCCACAGCCACAGGCGCTGCTGTGAGGGGCAGGAACAAAGGCCAGGCAGGCCCACAGCTGCTGGCAGCTGGCTTCCTTCCTCCCTGCCCTTGCTTTGCCGGTCACTCCAGACCTCCCCACCCCGACCGCTGCTTCCATCGTGAACCAGGCTGGCATGGCCAATGGGGCACCACCTGCCTCAGCCCACCATTCTGCCCTCCAGGTACAGCCAGACCTGAACACCCGGAACCCCCACAGGCCAGGGCTGTGCCTACAGAGCCGCTGAGGCCGACAGGGGCTCTCCGTGTCGCTGTCCTATTCTGGGTCTGTGTGCCAGGTCAGAGAGGGACTTTATGCATTACCATCGCTTATTCTAAAATAAGCCCAGGAAGCCCACAGGGGGCAGGGGGGCAGGGGGGCAGGGAGGCAGGAGGCAGGGTAGGAGAACAGGGGAGCAGGGAGGCAGGAGACAGAGAGGCAAGGGGCAGGGGGACAGGAAGAAGGGATGCAGACGTGCAGGGGTGCAGGGGGTAAGGAGGCAGGGGGCAGGGGGGCAGGAAGCAGGGATGCAGGGGGCAGGAAGGCAGGGAGGTAGGTGGCTGGGAGGGGGGGCGGGGGCAGGTATGCAGGGGGCGGGGCAGTTTCAATTGTAGACACATCCGCAGGTGCAGTGGAAAATGACTTATTCTGGCCTTCAGAGCTTCTGAGTGGCAGAGCTGGGATTTGGACCCAGGTGCCCAGCAAGGAATCTGGTCCCAAGAAGAAGCCACACAGGAAGCCTCCCTCAGCCCCGCCCCACGTGCCCTCTAGCAGCAGCTGAGCCTTTGCGGGGGGGGGGACACACATGGGACATTCACTTCCTAGTGAGATGCCTTCTCCCTGAAAGTCAACAGCATGTTTGCATCTGCTCTGAACTCAAATTTGCAGGTCTTCAAATCTGGGCATGACCACCTAAGTGAGATGATGGGGTTGGGAGGGGCGGCGGGGGGGGGGGGGCGGGGGGCGGGGGGGAGGGGTGGCGCATGGATCCCGAGTATCAGCTCTGTCCTGGTTCCAATGAGGGGCCCTGAGAAGTGAGACAGAATGGGACCCCCGCCCTGAAGAAGCACACAGTCCAGCCGGGAGGGCGACTGAGGGGGCAGCAAAATGGGGGTGGGGCAGCGGTGCCTCATAACAGGGCACAACCCTCAAGAATTCTCAAGAAGAAGCGGCACTCAAGTAGATGTACTCACCTGGGGCAAGGCACATGCATGAGGGCGCATGGCCCAGGGCACAAAGGTGGTTTCATTCTGCTCGACGGGCCAACCGGAAGCAGTAGACATGGCAGTGAGCCAACCACACTCCCCTACATACACACAGACACACAGATACACAGACACACACTGGAGCCCCCTTAATACATAGCCCACCCCTCTCCAACACACAGACACACACAGACACATACACACATACCGGACCCCTACCTACACATATATACACTGGGCCCCCGCCTACCTACCTACCTACCTACCTACCTACACACACACACACACACACACACACACACACACACACACACACACACAGGCCCATAGCAGCCAGTGCTGTGCCATCAGCATCCCCAGCCACTCTGTGTCCACTGCAGCTGCAGACACCCTTTCCCCTCACCTGCAACCACCACCCTGAGCAGAGAGACAGAAGCCAGTCCTGCACCTACAGATCGGCACGCAGAGACCCAGAGTGCCCACTGACCATGGACACAGAGCTGGGGGGACCTCTCGTGAGCTCTCCTCACACGCTAGTTCCAGCAATCCTGGAAGGACTCGAGCAGCTCCATGGACAGAGGCTCAGGGTTATACTGGTCACCGCCAGTGCAACCAAGACTTCGCAGCTCTTGGTCTCCGTGCCCTGAAACAGCATTATGCAGCTCCCAGGAGAGCCGTGAGGAGCTCAGGAGCTCAGACACGTGGAACTGTTCCCTTGATCTACAATAAATACGGTGTTGGACATGTCCGAGTAATTACTCATGAATTTTGCCCTGGAACTCGTTGCCCCGTACCAGGTCATTCTTGGGAAGAAAACAGGTATTTCTGATAGAAAGCAAGGCCACCCCCAGCGAGCAGACTTGGCAGGACGTGGAGCGCTGAGTCTCTGACGTGTGTGTGGTGTCCCCACAGCAATCCCGGGGCCGGGACATGACGGCATGGGAGGTCGAGCACATGCCTGACATGAGAAAGGCCCTGAGATTTCACCCAGCACCCCCACTACCCGGTGTCGTCTCAATTAAAACGGAATCAATAACCAGCCCGCCTTACCTGCCCGAGTCCCGCAGAGACTTGACCAGCTGGGTATAGATGGCCTGCTCTTTCTTTAAGACCTGGATCAGCTCCTCGTAGTCCAACTGTTGCTTTTCCTGGAAACGACAAAGGGCACCTGACATGAAGGGCAGAGTTTGCAAAGAGCACATCCTCCCATTATGCAAACAGCACGTGGAGAGTTCTGGCTCTACCGCTGCCCTGAGGGTGAGTCCCCCTGGGCCCGGCAAACTGGCGATCCGGAGACAGTCGGAGAGCGCCACCTGCAGGAGGCGAGGGGGAAGGACCGTCCACTCCTCCCACAGCTGCACTTCTACCGCAGAAAGCCAGGGATCACGCTCCTTCCCATCCCCACCCCCACCCCCACCTCCCAGGGAAAAGTACCCAGCATGGCTGTTTTCACAACACTACAAAACAAGTCTTTCCATGTCTGTCCTCCAGCCAAAGAAGTTTCACAAACCAAGACCGCCCTCGTTCTGGAGGAAGGGGATTGCAGCTGAACTGAGCTGCAACTTCAAGGTCTCCCCAAGAGAAGGAGACCTGAGGGGGAGGGGGTTCACTTTCCAGCCAAGCGGCCTCAGGGTCACAAGCTTGCCAGACTCCGGGGAAGTTTCATCTCTTCAGTGGCCAAGCTGCGCAGGCAGTCACTATGTACATAGGCACAAGGAACACCGAATAAAAAAATTTTTTTCTTTTTAAATTCAGGTTCTGGCTCTTACATATAAGAAGGTCTAGGGTCTCAGGAAAAGACTTAGTAAAGGCTGGAGCAATCATGGGTGAAACTGTCGTGGAGATATGGAAAACAGCACAGGCAAGCTGTGTAGGAAATCTGGGGTCCTGGCAGAAATGTTCGCTTACATACAGAGGGACAACGGGGAAAAAAAAAAATCCAGGACAATACAAGACACATTTCACAGCAATTTTTCATGCCAGAAAATAGGTGTTTAAATGATGATGCAGTGCTGTTGAAAGGACACTGGAGCTACTTTGATAGATCAAATCTGGGGCAATTTGAGCAGCAAAATAAATCAGAGTGGTAACAGATTATAATCTGAACAAAACAGAAATTCATGAGTCCATACTGATGCGAATCCGTGAATAAATGGGGAAAGTCACAGGCTCTTCTTTATAATAGAACAATTAATAAATAGAGAAGGAAGGGATAATGGAATTTTTAAAAAATTGCCATTTGACAACCATCATAGTAATATGTCAGTCAGGAAGTACAAAAGGCTTAGGGTAAAAGTCATGGGCAGAAGCTTCAAGATTAGGATATTTATATAAACTCAAAATGCCTCCAAGAAACTGCTAAATTACAAAGGAAACAAAGAAGGATGCTGTCTAGTGGGGACGCCCAGCAGACGCCGCCTTCACAGTTCTCTGAGTCAGCATGGGCACATGGAGAAGACAGCCCGGCTCCCAGGCTGTTTCTGCTAAGGACGCCTCACCTGCCTCCAACCACCAAGAAACGTCAAGGCACACCCCCTGCGATCTGTGTAATGGGCCTATATGCTTCAGAAGTATCCGGGCAGTGGGGAAAGTTCTGGAAGACTGAGTAATCGCTGCAGGCTGATGATGAGAGAATCGAGACACGGCAGCGGAATGCTGAATGGGACCCTTTTTGTATCAAAGGGCACCAGGGACCCAGCAGTGAAGCGGGGAGGACAAGGGCAGGGCTGGGTCTCTGCAGAGTCTGTGGTGCCCCCCACGCCCACTCAGGCACCAGGCCTGCCTAGAAGCGGCAGCCTCATCCTTGGCGCTGAAATACTAAACCCCTTCTCTATTGTGAATTGCCTAGAAATACAAAATTCTTTGCAAATAAAGAAGAGATTTGTTAAAATAAATAAATAAATAAATAAATAAATAAAAGGCCATGCAAGCAGCAGGCCTAGACAGGGTTCAGGGCTTGGGGGCGAGGGAACAACAGTCTCGAGCAGTGTAGGCATTCCACAGCGATTCACACTTTCTCCCCCAAGGACAAGCCCCTAACTCCCATGCAGGGTTTCTGAGCCTGAGTCAGTCTCAAGGGCTCAGCTCCATGAAAGAGCAAGGGGCAGTTTTTATTCCCACGGAGCTCAAATGGACAGCGGGCACTTCCTTCCATCACGGCAGGAAAGACTGCAGTCTGCTACGGCCACAACATGCCAGTGTCCCCTGTTACTTGGTCACGGGAAGAAAGGCTTGGTACGAGTAGCAGGCATCTCAGAATCCCTCTTCTCACCGCCGCCCCGATACCCAGACCTTATGCAAGTACCATTTTGGCAGGATTCTGTAACATGGGCTCCAGATTGGGCTTCCTTTCTTGTCCTGCCCATGTACTTCACACAATTAAGGTTTTTTTTCCAGAAAAAAAGTTCCTTGGCTTGGCAGATGACAAAAAGAGATGCAGAAGCCCCCAGAGCTCCACACCCCCCCCCAAAAAAAGGTTAGGGACCTCTGACCAAGGATACTGCTATGCTTCCAGCTTTGAATAAACAAACCAAAGGCAAAGGTCATCCCTCTACGGCAGGAAGCCTGACAGGCAATTCAGGACCAGGGACAGAGACTAGTCATTCCTGAATCAGGCAACAGGCCAACCCTCAGGCGTGAGGCTCCCGACAGGTGCCCAGGGGTAGCATCTCCACCCCAGGGACCGGGGACCTTAACTGAATCGCCACGGGCCAGAACTTCCGGTTCTAGAAGACGCCCAGCTGCATGTCAGGGCAGGGGTGCCGGGCTCAGCCCCCCACAACTCTGTTCCAGTCCTCCTCCAGGTTTCCACAGCCCTTCACGTCCGTCATTCGCCCTCTGCAGACACACTCCAGGACCGCTCTTGGGACCTGCCCAGAACACAGTCACCCCCAGGAGTCTTCCCCGACTCACAGTCAGCCTCCTCCAGCTCCCAGGGACCCCGGCTTCACCTTCATCCCAGAGCAAGTGATCCAAGTTCCTGCTCATGGGCCTGGGGGCTCCCTGCGGGCAGCCCCGTCCATCCCGAGCCGGGCACAGTGCCGGGGCCCAGACCCACGGCTGCCACGGCTCCCTGCCAAACCGATGATGAACAGGGCAAGGCAGGAACGCAGGGACCGATATAAATCTTAAGAGCAGAGATTCCTGTGGATATTTTGCATAATGGAAGTCAGAGTGAGTCAACGTCTTCCTAGCAGCAAATTGCTCACCCATGTTAAATAAATGAACTCTTCGGAGCCATTTGGGTCCCATTTCATCAATCACCTATTCCCCTGCGCTGAATCATGCCCCATTAGAATGAAGTCATTTGGCTCCTTCGGCAGAAATGGTTAAGGCAGAGGCGCTGCCCAGTGGAGAGGGGGCGCAGGGGGTAGACTGGCTCGAGGAGGCGCTGACACCCCACCCTGTACCGACACACCACCCTGCGTCTCCCAGTAAGCAGCCAGGCGAGAGGGCACCCCCCTCCCCGCCCTCCCCACCTCCTTCACACCCCAAGCACTTCCCCATGGAGATATGACAGCCACACACCAGCGCATCTGACTCTGCACTTCCTCCTCCACGGCTCTCCACCATTCCCTGCCTCTTCTGACAACTCTCCCAGCACAACCCTCTCCTCTGTGAGCCGGCGTCTGAGGCCACGTGCATCCTGCAAGGTTCTCTCCAGGATGCCGAGACTGAAAGCAACACGCCACGCAGGGCCGGCTCCCCGCGCAGGAAGCACGGCACAAACAGCCCTGGAGTCCACAACTTCCACTGCGGAGGCCCAGGGGGCTGCTGGGGCCCCACCTGCCCCAGGACACAGCAATTCCATACCCTCCTGGAGCTTCCGGTACAGCCCCCCCAAAAAACACACTCCCTGTGGTTTGCTTCAACTGGATTCTGCAGCCTGCAACCAAAAGCACTTTAGACTAACACACGATTTCTAATCCTCTCGGGGGAGCTAAGCGTGTAATTCCTCTCTTTGGCCCAGATCGGGATGGGGAGTTTCAGAGAGATTAAGTGAATGGTCCGAGGTCAAAGGACTAATAAGCTGCTGAGCGGGGAGTCCAGCCCCCCAAGCCAGGGCGTTTTTCTACCCCACTACCAGGGGCGCCTTCACAACCAGGAGGTGCATGTGTGACGCACAGACCACAATCTGAAGAGACAGCAGACATGCAGAGCACGGGACGGCTCACTTCTTGGCAATCAGGGAAATTTAGCGGCCTGCTGGATCGAGGGTGTCTATTTCGGTCGCTGTGTCACAGCTCAGCAACAAAGGCATTTATTTTAATACTCGGGAAATTCAGCCGCCCTGTCCCAGCCACGTCAATAGCTGCGCTATAAATCTCGGGCTGCGGGAAGTTAAATACGGCCAGTGTGTTTCTTACTCTTGTCTTCAATTCCCTGATCACCCAGCATTAATTCTCAGGCTCACACAATGATTAGGAAGGAAACAGACTGGCCACGGCCGATGGAGACATCGCAGCCCTAAGTTCTCTGTGGAAATGGGCAGCGGATAAGTCTTAAATCAACATGAAATAGCCCGGGGCCTAGAAGAAGAAAATCCACATTTTCTACAAAGAAAGAACTATAATCTGAAAAGTATACCTTTCTTGGAGGGCTGGGGGCAGAGGCAGAACTGGAAGCTATGACATTTGGAGTTTCTTAAACTGACACCTACCAATAAGATGTATAGTTCGTAAATAACAATATTCAATTTTTTTTTTTTTGCAGGGGTGGGTGGGCCATATTCAGCAGTATTCAGGGGTCACTCCTGGCGGGGTTTGAGGGGACCATGTGAGATTCCGGCAAGTGCCCTCCCCACTGTACGATGTCTCTATTCCTGTGTAATTCTTTATCCACAATTTGTAACTAGTCTTGTGACGGAATTAAAACTTTGCTAAAACCGTGGGCATTTTGCACAGAAACTTGAAAGATCACAAGGATCTAGATACAACCAAACAGCCTGTGAAACAACTTCGACTTGTAGTTATACAAAGATTGTGCAGCACAGGGGGAAAAAAATGGAGCTAAGCAAGTACTCCTTAAATGAGTGAGAGGAAGTTTTGAGGTACTTCGTCTATTCCATCAATTCATAAGCATTCTGTTCAACATTTGGACACTTTCTTTACTTGACTGAAATGTGATTCAAAATAGCACATTTCACTCAATGGCTCCAAATCAGTGAAGATCTGTCCATTTCCGACACCGGAAGGGGTGCGTTTGGTTTCAAACACCTTGTCACAGGTCAGTGTGGCTCAGCAAGTCAGCCCCTTGGGACTTAGGGGTCAGACCTACCAAAGTAATTTCAAGTAGCATAGCAGAGTCACAGAGA